AAGCATAGGTAGTGTGGGACTTACTCTTCAGTCTGTGAGAGAACGACTGAAGAGCAGAGGCCTGCAGAGTCCTCCTTATATACTACTGGGGAGGACGATGAGTAAGCGTATAAGAAGAGAGCATGTGACGTCCAGAGGACGCTGACTGAGCGATGAATAACGCTGAGTAAGGGAGCATAATCGACATAAGGTCAGATAGTCCATGGCTGAGTAATGCGAGTAATCCGGACGCTGTCTAGAATAGTCCGGAACATCGTAGAACGTACCAGAATCATATGGAGGGATGGCAGGATGCCAAGTAAGTACAGAACAAAAGAATGTACGTATATGGTAAGTAGGAAAGTCCATGCTGGCGTAGGGTAGACGCACAGCCACTATCACTGCCACTCCCGGTCCGGCACAGCCGTAGACACAGAAGTTCAACAGTGCACCCCAACACTTGGTGTGGCGGACTCTTTGCGCAGCCCGTCCCTCCTCTGTTCCGCTGCACATCATGTGTCATGCGTTTTCAGGCAGCTGCGCTGGTGTCTCTGCCTCAATCTACATTCACGGAATTGCCCCACAGAGGGGCAAAGACCCTTTCAACAAACTGCCCACACATCACGATCAGTCATGTTCCCTGTGCGCGACGGGTGATATATTGTTGTCTCCTTCCAGCGCCCTCATAAATCGGGTATCGCCCGCGCTGTAAATATCCGCCGTTATCCTACATGTATCGCCATCGTATCCAGCCGTCAAAAGTGTGACATTATATGAGGTAGCGGGACATGCCGCTTGTCGGCGCTACAAGACTTATCGAAATCAGGCCGACGTCAAGCGCCGTGCAACCTGCAATAACGACAAGCGCCGACAGAAGCGCCTGCGGGGGAAACACATGTGGGGAGCGGGAGGTCGAATGGCTGGAGCAGCCGCTTGGGATGGAACGACGATGAACGTCCTCCGCGCACACTCCACCTCCCTCGCCCGCCGTCTGCACGCCCGCACCGGCGCAGCTCTTCGCCGTACAACGCTCAGGCTGCTCTCCAACGACACCCGCTCCCGGGGCAGCGACGGCTCAGGCTCCCACAGGGAGCCGCTCTACAGTCAGTCTCCCTCTTTTTCCTCATCCGCTGTCCGTGCAGAACACCGACGGTCCCCGCAGAAAGGCTCGCGGATGCCTGGCAGAACACGCCCACGACGTGGTACCCTCTCCCCATCGCCGCAGGCGCGCTTCTCCTCATCTTCATCCAATACCGAAGGAAGTCTGCCACGAAGGAGGTCGTCGTAGACGAGCACGGGAATGAGGTTATCCGGTTGAAGGGCCCTTGGCACGTATGTACCCTACTCGCGTGCCTGCTCACCTGCAAATGCGCGCATCATATTGGGTGCGTCGCCGCTCACTGTATTTCCTAGGTCCATGTCATCGGTGCCCTCCCCCTGCGCAACATGTCCCGCCTCTGGGGGTACCTCAACTCCCTCGAACTCCCCGTCTGGGCTCGCCCTGTCGGCTTCCGCGTCTACGCCACCATCTTCGGCTGCAATCTCGACGAAGTCGAGCACGACCTCACCGAATATCGCTCGCTCGGCGACTTCTTCTACCGCCGACTCAAGGACGGCGTACGCCCCATCGCCGACGCTGTACTCGTGCATTTACCTTCGCCTTCTCCCCACCATGTGCATCCCTAACTTTACGTACTTCTAGGTGAGCCCAGCCGACGGTCGCGTGCTCCACTTCGGCGTCATCAAAGACGGGCGCATCGAGCAAGTGAAGGGCAGCACGTACTCGCTCGACGCGCTCCTCGGCGTCGCGCGCCCGGGCAGCCCCGCGCCCGCCTCCGTCGCCTTCCCCAAGGACGACCTGCACGAAGTGAACCACAAGCACTTTGCCGACATCAACGGCATCGAGTACAGCCTGCACGAGCTGCTCGGCACGCCCACGCCCTCCACCTCGGGGACCTCCACGCCCACGACCGAGGCGCCGCCGCGCGCCCCCGCACCGAACACCCACAGCAGCACGAAGCACGGCGAGCGCGTCGACGCGTCTGTCCCGCGCGACCAGTCGCTGCCGGACGCGGTCGCGCAGGACGTGAGCCTCGCGTCCGAGGTCGGCATCCGGCCGACGGCCGTGCGGCGCGACAGCTTCACGAGCGTGCGCACGAAGCCGGGCAACGACACGTTCTTCATGGTCATCTACCTCGCGCCGGGCGACTACCACCGCTTCCACTCGCCCGCGTCCTGGGTCGTCGAGCGTCGGCGGCACTTCGTCGGTAAGCCCTGCTCTTACTCTCCTATGACGTCATCTGCCGGGCGGACGCGCTGACCCTCGCGTGCGCAGGCGACCTGTTCTCCGTGTCGCCCTGGATGGCGAAGCGGCTCGAGAACCTGTTCGTGCTCAACGAGCGCGTCGCGCTGCTCGGCCGCTGGCGGCACGGGTTCTTCAGCATGGTCCCCGTCGGCGCGACGAACGTCGGGAGCATCAAGATCAACTTCGACACCGACCTGCGCACGAACGTCGGCCGCCGGCGCGACCACCCCGTCGGGACCTTCACCGAGGCCGTCTACGCGGGCGCGTCCCCTCTCCTCAACGGCCAGCCGCTCGCGCGCGGCGACGAGATGGGCGGCTTCTGCCTCGGGAGCACGATCGTGCTCGTCTTCGAGGCCCCGCACGACTTCGCGTTCGCCGTCGGCGCGGGCGAGAAGGTCAAGGTCGGGCAGGCGCTCGGCGACCTGCGGCCCAAGGAAAAGACGGAGTGAGGGGGCGGCGGGGCCGCCTCTGTTCCGCTCAACCGGACGCTTGCCAGTACACTGCGCTACCAGTTCCTGCATGCCACGCCCCATGTCCCATGTAGTTTAATCTAGTAGACTAATGCCACACACGCCCTACACGAGCCGCAGCACCGCGATCGCTTCGACGTGCGCCGTCTGCGGGAACAAGTCCAGTCCCGTCAGGCTCTCCAGCACGTACTTCCGCCCCTCCACCCCCGCCAGCTCCGCGCTCTTCGCGAGGATCATGCCCACGTCCCGCGCCTGCGTGTGCACATTGCAGCTCACATACACGACCGTGCTCGCGCCAAACGCAAGCATCTGCTCCACGAAGCGCTCGTCCGTGCCCTTCCTGGGGGGGTCGATGATGAGCGCCGTCCTCTCCCTCGGGAAGTCCTGCACGGTGTCGAAGATGTTCGCCGCATCGCCCGCGAGGAAGGACACCGCCTCGGGCGCGAGCGCATTCAGCGCCGCGTTGCGCTGCGCGGAGCGGATGCTCTCCGCGGAGAGCTCGATGCCCGCGACGCGCGCGAAGTGCGGCGCGAGCATGATCGAGAACAGCCCGCTGCCGCAGTACGCGTCCACGAGGTGCGTCGGGCCCTCGCCCTCTCCCGCGGCGGACGGGGGGAAGATGGCGGCGCGGACGTAGTCGGTGAGGGGGACGAGCGCGGAGTTGTTGTTCTGGAAGAAGGTGCCGGCGGTGTACTCGAAGAGCTTGTCGCCGACGCGCTCGCGCACGGTACCCTTCTGGTCCGTCACGCAGATGTGCGCGCCGTCGTCGGCGGTGATGCTCAATTCGGGCGCGGCGGTGTCCGCGTCGAGGGGGAGGGAGTCGCGCAGGAGGAGCGTCGCGCCGTTCTTGAACTTGGTGATGTTGCTGGGGGAGGGGTCAGCGTGTAGTACAGCGCAGCATGAGCGTGGACCATACTTGATGACATTATCCCGTACAGGACCTAGGGCCTTGTTAATCACCGGGGTCGCAATTGGACACTCCTGGAAATGCATTGAGAACCTTGCTCTCAAACACTCAGGATGGACTGACCTCTATGTCCATGACATTTCGAGTTCCGACTTGGTGGAAGCCGATTTTCAGCCAGTCTGGCTTGCCCTCTACGGGCGGTGCATCACCCCGTTTCTGCGCCTTCTGGAAGGAGAACGGTGGGCGTTGGAAATGAGGGGTGAGTTTTGTGCGGTAGTTGTATTGCAGTGGTGAGCCGATGGTGGGCAGTATGGTAGGCACCAAATCCGTGGGTATGTCTAGGGCGCCCATAAGCTCATTACGCGACAGGCTGGTCTCTGGACTGACTGGAGTAGTTCTTGTATGCCTCGACCACGGTCCCGCGTTTCAAGTTGAGTTGCTTCTCATATGGAAGCATCTTACAGAGCGTCTTTAGCCGCTAGAACCTACCTTGTCCCAGAAGTCGCTCACCTGATATTGGCAGCCTGCGCAGGTACCAAAGTACTTACACTGGACTAATGACATGTCTCGCCATTCTGAATTGGGCTCGATGACTTCGAGCAAATCGGCATGGGAGTAGAGGCGAGAGTGGCGATATACGCGGACGCGGATGCGTTCGCCAGGCAGAGAGAGGGGAGCGACGATGACCCATTTACGGTCACCGGCGGTGGCAATGGAGAGGGATTCACCTAGGAGAGTTGATTAAACGATGCTATGTACATGAGATATGTCGACAGTGGAGTCCAGACAGCAACAGACCTGTAGACGGAGAGATGCAGGAGACGGTGAGCTCGAGCTGCTGAGAGAACTCGAAGGGGGAGGACCAGTCGAGGTCTGCTGCCTTGGCTGCGTCTGCGATGTCCTGGCCAAGGAGGGCAGTGACCTCGCGTGAGAGGATGTCGTCGTGCGAGTACGGCTCTGGAGCGCGCCGAGCGTTCTTCTTGTTCTTGTGTTTCTTTGGCTGTTTCTTGGACGAACTTGGCGGGTGCGGCTTATCCGCCGGTGCGTCCCCGTTCTCTGGCGGTGGCTGCTGATCAACGACTGGCGAATCGACCTCGATGGCGTCGCTGGCGTCGAGTCGCAGCCTCTTTTCTGGAGGCTGAGCTGGTGAGCCTGAGCGGGAGCGGGGGTGGGTGCTCGCCATGGACCTGGCGGAGCAAATGAGAGAGAGGTGAGTGGCTGGGCGGCGGACGAGGGCGCGTCTGAAAAGGGCAAGTGCAGAAAACATGAGATGGGCGCCTACCGAGCGCGGGGAGGGAGAGACGCGACGCACGTGACGTGCCGAGTGACGCGCCTGGGCGTCTGCTCTATGACGCCAAGAGGGAGGCTCGCGCTCAAGAAGTGCTCGAGCACTCTTTGCCTCCTCCGCCCATGGTCCTCCCCCTCCTCCTCCCCCTCCTCGGCGCCCTCCAGCCCGCAAATGCCTTCCCCACACTCCTCTCACTGTTCAATGTCGTAGCACCCGTCGAAGATGACGAGCCAGGCGAACCTCCCGGCTCCCCCGAGTTCTGGTACAAGCTCATTGTTGCCATCATCCTCGTCCTCGCAGGCGGCGTGTTCGCAGGGTACGCTGCTATCGATCTGCCTGTGTGTACTCGCGCTCACTCTGCGCCGCAGACTTACCCTAGGTCTTATGGGCTTGGATGAGCTGCATCTTCGTGTCCTGGCCTCTTCTTCCGACCTCCCGGTCGAGCGCAAGAACGCTCAGAAAGGTCCGCCATCTCCTACTTTGGTTTCGGCAGTTAGACGTACTCACCCCGCCCAGTTCTCAAACTTCTGAACCGCGGACGTCATTGGGTTCTCGTCGTACGTCCTACTTGCACCTTCCCCGTCCCAGCAGCATGCTCACGTTCTTTCCACACAGGTTCTTCTCCTTGGCAATGTCGTAAGTTGCGCTCCTCTCGCTTAGATGTCGCAAACGCCCACAGTTCGTAGATCGTCAACGAAAGTTTGCCCATATTCCTAGACAGCGCCGTATGTCTTCCTCCCCGTTCCGTATATCTCGTCTAGGTCTAACTTGTGTTTCCTTTAGCTTGGAGGCGGTATCCCAGCCGTGGCCATTTCCACCGCCATGATCGGTATGTCACTTCCGTACCTCACTGGCCGACAAAGCCGATCTCACATGTACCCTCGCAGTCATCTTCGGGTATGTCTCCGGCCCCTCCGCACGCTGCGCTCACCATCCGTTCTAATGGCATTGGCATCATAGCGAGTGAGTAATTTGATATACCTCTCAACGTGATACCCAGAAGCTTACCATTCTCCTATAGAATCATCCCCCAGGCTGTTAGTGTCCGCTACGGTCTCTCAATAGGTGCCTCATGCGCACCCATAGTCCTCGCCATGATGTGGTTGTTCGGTAATCGCGTCACCCTTTGCCCCCATATCTTTTCTTACCAAAAATTTGTAGCGCCCGTTGCCTACCCCATAGCGAAGCTCCTGGACTACGTGCTCGGACACAATGAAGCGCATACATACAAAAAGGCCGAGCTCAGGTTCGAGCTCGTATGCAACCCCTATATCTCAAAATACTTATCAGACAATACATCAGGTCATTCCTTGCTTTCCATAGGCAAGGCGAAGAGCCCCTCCGGGACGACGAAATCAGCATCCTGAACGGCGTCCTAGAACTGAACAACAAAAAGGCAGAAGAGATCATGACTCCCTTAAATGTTCGTTCGCCGTCACGCTACTACACACGTTCAGTATGCTCATGCCCTATATCGTGCAGGACGTCGTCACCGTGAGCGCCGACCGCATCCTCGACCACGCAACGGTCGATTTTGTGTACGCCTCCCCGTCAGTACGCTAAACTGGGCGCACCGCTCACATTGAACCCCTCAGTTTGCGCAGCGGATACTCGCGCATTCCCGTGCACAAGCCCGGTCACCCGCTGGCCTTCGTCGGTCTCCTCCTTGTCAAGCAGGTAGGGGACCATCTTTTCCCCTCATATAGACCCATGCGCTGATGCACGATCTCAGCTTTCTGTATACGATACATCCACGTCCATCCCCGTCTCCGATTTCCCCCTGTCACTCCTTCCGGAAGCCCCTCCAGACATTAACTGCTTCCAAGCGCTCGACTACTTGTACGTCGCGCCGCATGCTCTCTTCAGCAGATGCCCACCACAACCGTGCTAATGCCTCAACCCACCCAGCCAAACCGGCCGCGCGCACCTGCTCCTCCTCAGCCGCACGCCCGGCGTCGAAGGCGGCGCGATCGGCGTCATCACGCTCGAAGACATCATCGAAGAAATGATCTCAGAGGAGATCGTGGACGAGACAGACCGGTACGAAGACAACGTCTCCAAGCGCCGCGCCCGCCGCATGAAGAATGCCGCCGTCATGAAGGGTATCGTCGAGTACCGCGTCGGCGGGCGCGCGAACTCGCTCGCGGAGGGCGACCGCACCCCCCTGCTTAGCCGCAACCAGAGCCCGCTCCCGCCCCCCGAGGGCGAGCGCGCCGCGGGTGCAGGCGCGGGCGGGAACACGCTCGATGCGACGACGTCGGCGGTGCAGGGCGCGGGCAGTCGGGCGACGAACGCGACGTTGCGCCCGGGGTCGAACTTGAACCCGCAGTATGGGAGCGTAATCGTCGGCAGCCCGCGAGAGTGAGCTGGCTCGATACATGTCGTTCTTGGGTGCGTTGCACGCGCAGTTGGGTATTGGCGATGTGTTTCCTTCATCTCGGACTCCTGGACCGTGTAAAGCTGTACATACGTATTTAATGCATTGATAGCTCGCTATACTACAACTGTTCTTGCCAAATAATATGGCGCGCACCGACAATCTTCTACACCCCATCCGCAATGAGCCTCTGCGGCGCCTCGACCCACGCCCTCCACGCCTCCATAAACGCCACCATCTCCGCGCCCTCCACAACCCGATGGTCCGCCGTCCAGCTCACACCCACCTTCAGCCTCCTCTCCCCCTCCCCTCCCCCCTCTCCACATCCCACACCCACCTTGCCCTCCCCACAGCTGCGATCGCCACCCCGCCCCCGGCACCAGCACGGGGGCCGCGCTCTCGACCTGCCCGACCCCGCCCACGTTCGACACGCTCACCGTCCCGCCACGGCGCGGCATGTCCCGCGGGGTGAGCGCGCACGGCACCTGGCGCCCGCGGTGCGCGAGGACGCGCAGCTGGGATGCGAGCGCATATATAGTCTGGGTGTCGGCCGCCTGCAAAGTGGGCGTGTAGAGCCCCGTGGGCGTGCTGAGCGCGATGCTGATGTCCGCGTGCGGGCGGATCACCAGCGACGGGCGCGCGCCGTCCGCAGCGGCGGGGGCGATGGAGGAGCGGAAGAGCGGCCAGTCGCGCATGGCGCGGGCGAGCGTCTTGAGGAGGACGGGGAGGTACGTGAGGCGCGTGTAGTGCGCCTCGGGGGCGAGTTCGGTGGGGGGAAGGGGCGCGTAGAAGGCGGTGGGGGAGACGACTTGCGCGGTGGAGGATGGGCGGGCGGGTGGGGGGAGGTAGTGGGTGGGTATGTGTGTGTTGAGGATGGGGAGGATGTTGTGTAGGTCGGTGATGTCGAGGTAGGTTGAGAAACTACAGTAGTGAGTGTGTTAGATCTGTAGGCAGTGATCAGAACGAGAATGGTCTTACGAGAATTGAGGGATTAAAAGGCTCTGCACGAAAGTAAGTACATGACCAGGAACGAGTGAGCATCGAGCGCACGCACCTTTTCCATGGCTTTCCACATGTTCCAACGTGTCCGGTTGAGTTCGACAGTAACGTCCTTCTCATGTTGCACATCTCCCACTGCCGGCGCAAAAGCATCCTGAGAGGCACCAGTCGGAGGAGCACCGGCCTGCGCCGAACCGCGCTGAAGGAACGCGTCCACATCGCGCTTCTCGACGCGGCCGCCCTTCCCGCTTCCGGGCACCAATGCGTGCAGATCGACACCGTTCTGGCGCGCGTAATGTCGAACGGACGGCGGGGCGAAGACCTCCTTCGTCGCGGAGTGTACGTGTGTACGCGCCTGCGATGGGACGTTCGGGTCGAGTGGGTGTGGCCGACGCGCTTGTTGTGCCGGCGGCGGCGGATAGTCTTGCGTGACCGCACCGACGTCTACCGAAGGTTGCGAGTGTAGTGCGCCATGCCCTGCAACTGCAGCGCTGGACTGCTCGGGCGCGGCGCTCGGAGACGTCGGCTCGGCGTCATCTGCAGCGGCGACGTCGTCCACAACCTCGATAGTGCAAAGGTCCTGGCCGACCTTGGCGATTTGGCCCTCCGGTACGAGCAGCTCGTGTACAATGCCGTCAAAAGGGCTAGTGATCTCGACGCTCGCCTTGTCGCTCTGGACCTCGCATAGCGGGTCAAAGGTATTGACGGCACTCGAAGGCTTCACGCTCCTGCAGATATTGAGTGAGGCTAGCGCGGATTAAAAGCAAGACGGGGTATGTACCATTTGATGACCTCGCACTCCGTGATGCCCTCACCAATGTCTGCGAGCTTGAACCGCTTGAGGGCAGCGCGGGCGGGCGAGCAATGAAAGAGAGCGCGGGGTAAGTGGCTACGCCCGCGCAAGAGCAGCGCGGCGGGGTGTCTGTAGAGCATCTAGCGAGAGTCAGGGCTGTCTCTTGCTGTGTGCTCGCCGTGTGCAAGAGTGAGACTGGTCGTGGTGAGAGGCGAAGGGAATTTATTGCATTGCGAGGACGTCGGGGAACGAGCTGAGATCCGCGAAGGGGAGCTGCTCACATGTCCTCCACCAGCGTTCATGGGCGTCTACGGGTGCGACGCGTTCTGTTTCTCGATTTGGCTGCTTGCCTCTCCCCTCCTCCTCCGTCCTCGCCGTCGCCCCGCCTGTCCTCGTCGCCGCCGACAACAGCGGCCATCGCTCTCGTCGCCTCCGCTGCTGCTGCCTGCGTCTTTGCCGACGCGTGTACCTCGACTCTGCTCGGCACACTGCCGCCCGTTCACCTCCGTCACTCCGCCGCAGTCACACTCAATCTGCTCGCGTAGACTCTCGCCCGACATTCTCTGTACAGCGCTGTACTTCTCATAGGCACACACGACTGCTATGTCTGCCGTCGACGGTCCGCTGGCTCCCATAACGAACGGTTCCTCCCGTATGAACGGCAGCGCACTGAACGGGAAGGGGGATACCAACGGCGATCTCCACGACGGTATCTCAGAGCCCGCACCAGCCAAACCCATCTCATTCGACCCGGAAGTCTTTCGTTTATTCCTTGCTTCTCTCCTTCCTCCTCTCTTTGGCGCCTCTCCGGAAGAGCTAGAGTCTATCTTTGATGAGGACTTCCACGAACGCGCCTCTCGTTTCGCTCCCGAGGGCGGCGGTGTCATCTACGTCGTCAAGAAGAAGGACGAACAAGACTGTGAGTACCACCCCACCTCACTTTTCTCTGTCGTACTCAAGATGTGCAGCCGAGGACGCGCCGCCCTCATACTCCTACAAGATCACACCCACGCTTACTTACGACCCCTCTCATGTCACGACCCTTGCCATCATCAAGCGAGGCCCTGTCCTCGACTCGACATTCCCGATGTCCACACAACTACATATTCTCAATCTCTTCGGCAGCGATGAGACCCCATACGAGAGTTTGCACGCCGTCATCAGCGGCGCAATGAAGCCCTACTTCGAGGCCTTCGTCGGCGCACGCGGTGGAGGCAAGGACGGCGACTCCAAGATGGGTCAGTACCCTCCCACACTGCCTGTAATCACCGAGCATACTCATCCAGTCGTGCAGGCATTCCCGTCACCAAGAAGAAGTTCGCCGAACTAGAGCTCTCCCTTCTGCACCTGCAACAGAACGTCGAAATCCCGGAAACGCACCTCATTATCCACCCCATTATCCAGCGGACGGTTGAACAGGCCCTGCAGCAAGGCCACCGGCCAAACATCTCCGACTTGCCTCCCAAACTCCTCAACGACAGTACCTTCCTCAACACGCTCCAGAATCACGTCAACCAATGGATCAAGTCCATCCAGACGGTAACCCGCCTTACGCGCGACGTCAGCTCCGGCACCGCATCCCAAGAAATCAACTTCTGGCTCAGTCTCGAGCACGCGCTCGAGGGCATCGAGGTGCAGCTCCGGAGCGACGAGGTCACGATGGTAATGGAGGCCCTCCGGAACGCGAAGCGGTTCCGCGCCACGGTCAGTTTCGTCGCCGACACCGGCCTCAAAGACGCGATGGACAAGGGTGAGTGACGCTCGGTAGGTCCCCTCTGTGACACCCCCGTTTACCCCGCGCGCGTGCAGTGCACAAGTACAACCAGCTCATGAAGGACTTCCCCCTGAACGAGCTGCTATCTGCGACGGACCTCGACAAGATCCAGGAGGCGGTCGTGCTCATCTTCCTGCACATGAACCGCAAACTCAAGCTCTCGCCGTACCCCGTGAACCGCGTGCTCCCGCTCGCGGAGGCGATCTCGCGGGACTTCAATGACGCGCTCCTGCGCGTGCTCACCTCCACGCGGCTACTCTACACGCCGTACGAGACCTTCGAGCGGCTGCTCTCGCAGACCATCGCCATCTTCCGCACCTGGGACGACCACGTGAAGGAGTTCACGAACACCGCGCGTGAGGTGACCCGGAAGCGTAATGAGAAGTTCATCCCTATCAAGGTCGTGTCCGCACACGCCAAAATTCAGGATCGCATTCGGTACCTCCGCGACTGGCGCAAACAGCACGAGCAGCTCGCTGTAATGACTGCGCCTACGAAAGGTCTCGGTGGCGCCGGCAACGAGATCGGAGGGATGGACATGGAGGCCGAGGTCAAGGAAGCGTACGAGGTAATGAAGCGCATCGACGTGCTTGACGTCTCAACAGGTTGGTACCCATTCGTACAATACCGGTACTATGCTAATGACATGCAGAGGGTAACGAGATCTGGATGACGGCCGAGAACGCGTACAACGAGCGTGTCGCACGAGTGGAGAACCAGATCATCGCGCGTTTGCGTGACAGGTTGGGTACGGCTCGCAACGCGAACGAGATGTTCCGTGTATTCTCCAAGTTCAACGCGCTGTTCGTCCGTCCCAAGGTATTTTACCAGCCCTCCTTGAACGTGCATGATTATTTATCCCAATGTGTGCAGATTCGTGGTGCGATTCAAGAGTACCAGACGCAACTGATCGACTCCGTCAAGGAGGATATCAAGCGTCTGCACGAGAAGGTCAGCAACGCGCCGCCCTTTCATTCGTACTCAGTTAACATGAGCGGATAGTTCAAAACGCAATACCGCTTTTCGGAAGCGTACCATATGTCGCAGATGCGCGACCTTCCGCCCATATCTGGCGCGATCATCTGGGCGCGTCAAATCGACCGGCAGCTACAGGCGTACATGAAGCGCGTCGAGGACGTGCTCGGGAAGGGCTGGGAGCTGTACGCCGAGGGCCAGAAGCTGCAGTCCGAGTCCGCCGCGTTCCGCAAGAAGCTCGACGTGCGGCCCGTATACGAGGCATGGCTGCACGACATCAACCGGCGCGACATGGGCGTCGGCGGGCGGCTGTTCGAGATCGTGCGCCTGCGCGGCGGCGGGTACCAGCTCGCGGTGAACTTCGACCCGCAGATCATCACGCTCTTCAAGGAGGTGCGGAACTTGCTGTGGCAGAATTTTCAGGTGCCGCACGCGATCACAAACATGGCAAAGGACGCGAAGCGTGTGTACCCGCACGCGGTGAGTCTGATGGAGACCGTGCGCACATACGGCCAGACGCTCGACCTCGTCGAGCACAACAAGGGCATCGAGTGGCTCGTCGCGGAGTACCGGAACGAGGCTCAGCGGATGGTCACTCGCGGTAAGTCTACGTGTGCTCACACACATTCAGGGACGTTTGGGCTGATCCAGCGGTAGGAATGAACATTCGCTGGGATTACTTCGTCAATCAGTACGACACGGCGCGTTATGTCTCTGGGGACGGCGTACGCGACAACAAGCATATTCAGTTCGTTCGAGAACTTGCTAGCATCGTGTCTATTCTCCAAGTAGGTTCTCATCAATAGCTCCGTGTCACTATGGTCCACTCACAGTCGTATAGGACAAGACGAACAACGTGATCGATCTGTATAAAGACATCCAGCGTTCGGTAGAGGATCTATCAACATGTCCGTACACGCCTGAGGCATTCCGTGATCTCCTCAGCAAGATCCAGACAGCAGTATGTTTAACCCTTACTGAATACCACACTCTTGCTCATACCTTCATAGATTGACAGGCTGAACTTGGAAGGTTATGCGAACCTCGATCACTGGGTAGCTGAGCTGGACGAGCGGATAGAAAGCATCCTCCTGCAGCGCGTGACACACGTCATCCAGCTCTTCTGCAACGAGTTCGAACGGGCGGATGACGACGGCAGGAGAGAACCGGTCACGATCGCCAGCAAGCGGAGAGATAAGCGGGCAAAGAACGACAAGGTCTGCCTGCCGTCCACTTGGGCACATATCCAGTCATAAACTTACGATTTGACAGTCTACGGATGGGGCGCTGGTACTAGCCCCGATCATTCACGAAATTCGGATCCAGAACCAAGTCATCTTCCTCGACCCCCCAATTGAGCACGCGCGTGCAGTCTGGGTCCATCAACTGCACGAATGGCTGGGTAAGTTCACAGCCTCTAATGTTGACGATCTCGGCTCAATTTGCTCTTATAGGTACCGTGTGTCGCCTGAAGCGGATACAGAGTTCGCGATATGAGATCGGGCTGCAGATGCAAGGCCACACAGCAACGGACGTCACGTACACATCTCTCGTGCGCATAATTTCCTTCCTCACCTCGCTCTGGTACAACCACTGACGCTTTGACGCAGCTGACACGATTCCCTGACACCACGCTCGAGAAGCCATTCTCGCTCATCGAGCAGAAAGTGCAGTCACTCAAGCAGTACGTCGCGAAGTGGCTCCAGTTCCAGTCGCTCTGGGACCTTGAGACCGAATACGTCTTCAACCGGCTCGGAGACTCGCTCGCCAACTGGCAGCAACTGCTCACGGAGATCAAGAAGGCGCGCTCGACATTCGACACGACGGAGACGCAGAAGTCGTTCGGCGTGTGCGTGATCGACTACGAGCAGGTGCAGGCGCGCGTGAACGCCAAGTACGACGCGTGGCAGCGCGACATCCTCTCGCGCTACGGCGTGAAGCTCGGGAACGCGATGAAGGAGATGCACGCCGCGATCCTCAAGGCGCGCAACGAGCTCGAGCACCACTCGATAGAGGGCCTCGTCGGCGGCGTCCCGCGCAGGTTCTAGGCGGCCCGCAGCGGGCTGCTGGGCTTGTGTTGCGTTCGCGTTCGGGTTGGGCGTCGTCGTCGCGTGTATCTCGCTGTGCTTGTCAATGTCTTCCTCCATGCATGTATCCACGGATCCGTAATTCCCTACCATACGCTTGTACCTATGTAGTCGTATACCCGCATATTTCAGATGGAGGTTGAGCTGGAGCCGACATGTGCGTGTGTGGACAGTGGAACAAAACCCCGAGTCGCGACGGGCCATTCGCCCATGATAGTAAACATCGCCAAATACCGCAGTGTTCGACCAAGCCCGGCAAGGCTCGGCAGTCCGTGTTTGGTCTCCCTTGTGCCCGCAAGCCCTCGCGTGCACGTACTTTTTGCACCTTGTTCTCCCAACGGTAATATTGTTTTTGTTTCTAGTATTTTCACACTCACGCAGGTATATAACCGCTCACGTGTTTGCAAGTGACTGCTAAGTACTGGCACTCGACCACCGGCATTCAACCATCACTGCACTCTCGACTCTCCGAGTTGCATCCTGTTCCATTTGTCCTCCCTCATCTGCCAACATATGTCTCAAATATTGGTATGGAATGCCGACGGTGAGGAACAGGAGCGTAACCCAATGCCCGATTACACTGGCTGTGTCAAGCCAAGCTGGGTCCCCACTGATGGTGGCGACGCGCCCTTATCGGCGTGGCCACCCATTTTGCGCGAGGTCGAGACAAATTTATCACGCAAGATCGTGCTGATGGAGCGTCTGCATCTTGGTAGCAACCCCGTGAGCTACTTTATACCCTGTGGAAGGCGTGCCACTAACACGCTCACTCGCTGCGCTCGTCGCCGGCTAGGTGATCCGCATCCAATACGAGGACGGAGAAGAGAACGTAGCGCGTAATTTTGTTCGGAATCATTTGAACAGAGAAGAAGATATTCAGACCATCTTCCGCCGATTTAGGCGCGAGATACACCTCATGGAGTGGCTCAAGGCGAACGACAGCGCGATTCCAGGACCGACCATCATCTATCCACGCAACATCTCCCCCGAAATAGGTGTCACGTTCGTCATCCTGGACAAATTGCCCGGTGAACTCGTGGTAAACGTGTTCGGCCGTCTGCCGTACCTCGCCAAGGTACGTGACATGTCTCGCCGAGCCTATGCCAAAATCCATGTTCTGAACGCTGTCGCCAGGCACGGCTTGTCCTTGAACACGCCGACAAGATGCTCGCCCTATTCAGGCTGAGCGTTCCCCAGCGCATCGGGTCGCCCATCTGTGGCAGCGGTGGCACCGTCATGGACGTGGGGCCATGGTGCCCGGCTGATCACAAGTATGCGCCCACCAAGGTGTTCAACACGCTCGAAGAGTGGATCAGCGACATGATCCAGACCAAGGCGCGCATACTGGAGCATGCCGAAGACACGACCCCCTCCGACCGCAGCGACAACGACCGCGTACTTGCACGCCTCACAACGGCGCTCTCCGCGCTCTGCACCCGCTTCTCGCTACCGTCATACCGACGATGCGTGCTCAATCACGACGAGCTCTACCCCACGAAGATCCTCGTGAGCGCACACGGCGCCCTTACCGGGATTGTCGACTGGGAGTATACGTCCATCCGGCCCGCACTCTTAGCCGCCCAGTATCCTAGCTATCTGCGTTACGACCATGCGCGTGAATGGTATGTGGTGAATCCACAGGACGCCCAGAGTCTACGCGACCTGTATAGAGCGGTAAGCGAATCGTCTTGTCTTCGGACGACTGCCGTCTCATTTCGCGTATCTCGATGCAGGCCGTCGAGTTGAAGGATCCGGAGTATTGGGAGGCCCTCGTTGACGGCGAAAATCTTCGCTACGCCGTGGAATTGCTGACTCACGATACCTTCGGGTACCATGATTTGGAAACCTGGATGGACGCGACGTTCTCCCGGGAGAAGATGTGAACACCGACATGGACCTATCCACTCTCTGAACGCGAAACATATCCAAACATGGAAGATGCATGCTGTGATCATTTGCACAACGGAGTCTACAACAAAGCTAGGAAAGCGGACACTGCTCGATCGGGTATCGTACCAAAAATCACCGTGTTCATATGCGTCCGTCTGCAGTCATTTCGTATCATATCTTTGCGTCAGTCAGAACATCCCCTCCCTTCCAAGATATACCGATACACCCAACGCGAACCTCAGCCAGACCTCTAGAAGATGGTCGCAAGCGCGCCATCGTCGTCCCCGCCGCCCCGCGCGCCGCCGCCGATCGCCATCGGCCCGTTCTTGCGGAACGTGAAGCCGACCCACACACCGCGCGCGGCGGGCTCCTCCTTCTCGCGCACGCGGTCGACGTGGCGCTGCTTCTCGATCACCTCCGCGTACTTCTGCATGTCCTGTGGGGACGTGAAGTCGTCGTAGTAACCCGTGTCGTCGTCGCCCGTGAGCTCGGGCACGTACGGCGGGTCCGCCCCGCGCAGGTCGTCCCACTGCACGCCCTTGAAGAATGCGTGGTCGCGCACCTGCGAGAGCGTCGCATAGCGCACGCTCGCGTGTGCAATGAGCCTGGCAAACGGGGTGTGTCAGTCGCTACTGTGAACTTGGGTAGGGAGAGCACACACTTCGTGATCGCGTCCCATGCGATGTCGGTCAGGTTGAACACTTGGTCCTCCGGCGCGTCGTACACCGGCCTCTGCAGCACTGATGTCCATTTGTCCAAGTTCGTCCACGTTTCCTCTGGGGTCCGTCCGCTGAACGGCGGGAATCCAGCAAGGAACTCGAACAGAATGCAGCCAAGAGACCAGTAGTCGACTGAGAACGAGTATGGTTTGCCGCGAAGCACCTCTGGGGCCATGTAGTCTGGCGATCCGACAATGGAGTCGGCGTAGCGAGGAATCTGTTGCCGCATGGAGCGGTAAATAGAGCGGCGCTCGAGTGTCGAGCGGTGGATGATCTCGTTCTCTTTCACTTTGTCCAGCTACATCCGTTGAGACGCGGAATTTACAGTCATCAAGGAGAAGACATACCTTGACTTTGAGAGACTCGATCCGTTGAGGATTGAGTGCTCCGGTGGCCAGCCCAAAGTCAGTCAGCTTGACATGACCCGAACCATCCAACAGGAAGTTCTAGCACACGACGTTAGCCAAAGAGGACGGCATGCCAGACGGTCGGGCGTACCTCCGGCTTCAAGTCTCGATGGATATAACCTAGCTTGTGTAGCTCATTCACGGCAGTGAACATCTCGCCGATGTAGAACCTCGCGATCTCCTCCTTCAAAACGCCAGCGTTGTTGAGGAGCGTGCGGAAATCACCTCCGGGAACGTATTCCATAGCAAGATATACGTGTTGGGGGTCCTGGAAGGCGTAAAGAAGACGCACCAACCACGGAGTCTTTGTCGCGGTAAGGATATCACGCTCGACCAGGACGTGCCGGACCTGGCATCCGCAAGAGATTCAGCAAGTAGAATATCTCGAATAGAATATATCACACCTCGTCCATCTTAAACAAAGTCCGTTTCTTCATCTTCTTGAGCGCACAGACCTCGCGCGTGTCCGCTTTCCGTGCTAGGAAGACCTCGCCGTACCCGCCCTGGCCGACCTGAGCGATGATCTGGAACTGATCTACGCGCAGTTTGACGCGACGTTTGCGGAGGAGGGTGCGTTCGCGACCGCGGTAGGACTTGAACTCTTGGGCATACTCGGATTGGGTAAGTTGACGCTTCGTGGTGTCCTCATCGAAGCGCGCCCGTCGCTCCTTGCGGTGAGCAATGTATCCGAGCAGCTGGAAGTAGTAGTCGAGAAAGTCTAGGCAAGTTGAGCGATGGTCGATACGACCAAACGGCGCGAAAGGCGCGATACGCACAGAGCTGAGCGACGGTGGCCTTGCGACGAACCTCCGGGCTATCGAGTAGCTCCTTCTCCCAGACTTTGAAGTTGCCCTGCTTTATAGTGGTGTTCGCCTTGGCTGTGTCCATATAGATGTCCTTATCCATGGTCATGCCCTTCGCGGTGGCCATGCGGATGTCGGGAACACCGACGGTCAAGCCTTTGGCGGTGTTCATGTGGATGTCTGGCAATCCGTCGTACTGGTTCTGGTTGCGTAAATTCGGTGTAGCCATGGATGCTCCAGCACGCGGCTGTGTGGGGGATGGGGTATCGGCCAGGGAGATGGTGAAGGGCGGGAGGAGGATGCGGGTTCGAACGCGAAAGGCGCGCTCGAAAGTGAACAAAGCCTAATTGAGATGTGTAGATCGGGGCCCGGCCCGACGCTTCCGTAGAGCAAGCAGGTAAGGAAAGGTACAAGTGATCAAGTAAGTACGTAGAGGTGCGTATGGGGGTTACTGGGGCAAGTACAGTACCACCAACAAGACCACCGAGTGATGATCATATCAGGTATGGTCCACTGTCCTCGACATCGGTGAGAATGTAAATGGTCGAGACCTCCCAACCACGAAGCGGATCTTCACCAAGGACTGGTATGCTAGCAGTGGCCAGTCTTGCCCTCAGGCATGATGGACGGTACCGGTATCCCTCTCCACCCAAGTATCGCGATCTGAGCTCGGTCCTGTCGCTGCCTTCCAAACAAACATACCTTCCATCAGGCTCCGATGATGCCTGCACCAGCAGCAGCGCAACTATTCCCAGTCGATCGCCCTCGGATCCTCCGTCGCCATCTATGGTGCAACAGCCCAGGGCGGCACAGTATACTGTCAAAGGCTCCAAAAAGGTGTCGACGCACAAGGAGCTTCGGCGCAGAGGGAGGCGGATCCTAATCCCGGCGTTGGTGTTGGTGTAATGCAGCTCCCCGATGGACTCCACATCTAGTAACTTGTACATGTCGCCATTCAAGATCTTCATCCGCATGTTCGCTTTCGGGTGAAAGTATGCAGGAGACGGAGCGAGGACGCGGCTTCGTGACCAGACATGGGTGTCGCAGCTACCCAGTCGATATGTTGTCCCCGGTGGGAGGGAGCGTAGTATGGGGCACCAATCCTCGATGTCATGTCCCCAAGCCAGGATGCTGCGATCGTTGGTGCGTTGCATGATCTCCAACTGCAGGCGGCGAAATGCACCTTCACCACCCTCACCGTAGATCGGTGGCATGTGGACGTTGAAGACTCCCATCAGGCAGTATGCCATATCCTCCTCCCGGGTTGTCTCCCTCCTCGACGCCCACGACATCCGTTCAGCCACGCTTTTTCTGGAGAGCGGTTCTTCGGGGTCCGTGCCGTGGCGATTGAGAACGTTTGCATCGATGCCCGTGATGTCCTCCAACACGGTCGCCCAGTCCATCCGAGTTCCCAGCTCTATCCAGGACGTCGAATAGAAAACCAATTTGAGCGGTGCGATGAGCTCTTGGATGGTCCACCCGCGCGTGAACCAGCGGCTTTCGCGGAACGATGCCAAAGCACCTTCTGGGAAATCCTCGTCCCAATCCTCGACATCGTGCAGGTACGCGATGCAGATGCTCGCGGCCTCGTACCAGGCATACATGGAGTTGATGGCTTCCGAGAGCTCTGCGCTGCTCGACTTGTCGATGCAGCAAGTGTCGTCCCAAATCCAGGAGCAGTTGAATGTGTTCAAGGCGCACCAGCACGCCTTCTCCACCTTCTCCCATCCGCGCTTCTCCTGCGCCACGCTTAGGTCCTGCATGTCTGCGAACGACACCTCACTTCGGCCCCAGCGGTGAGAGAGGATCGCATACGGGGGGATTCGGCCAGAGACGAAGTTTTGGAGCTCGTACGTCCTCGTGTTCAAGAGCCACATTGTGCGCAATATGACTGTTGGCGTGACCGTCCGATAAGTATATTGTCGCAATGCGCAAGGGGAGAGAGTTGGCGTACCCTTGTGTCAGCGGGGTCGAGCTTGGTCGAGGTTAGATTTAGAGGCTGTCGCAACCTGAAGGTGCAACAAAGCGATATCGCGATGTCTATGTATTAAGATTGCAGCGGTGTTTAGTGAGACCGGCGGATAGCAAGAACAGGTGTAGTATGCTCACAATAGAATCGCGCGTACTTCTTTGTCCCTTGAATGCTACACTACCGAGAGCGCATCTGCTATCGGCGTACACTGAGCTGATAAATCTATGAATCGCGGCTTTTAGTCTACGCACCAAGTAGTGTGGGGCAGGGCGAATTGGTTGACGGAGTTCCAGCGCAGCGCGTCTTATATCGGATTTGATTCGGCGAAGAGGCGATGTACTGCAGTGCGCTCAGGCCAAGGCGCGGCCTCCGGTACATATAGAAGACTCATTCGTGTGAACGAAGCTGTGAAGTCACGGGTATGTCGGCAGCTATAGGTGAGACGACTCATGATGCGCGAAGCCATGATTCCGACTAAGCTGAATACGATGGCGAGTTGATACGACACTGCTGAATCCGATAGCAGCCCGATCGCAACCTCAGGAAGCAGCAGTCGGCAGTGCTTCGCGCGCCGCTCAGGCGCGATACTAGCGTCTGTTCCCTCATCGCCGACGAACCCACAGTACCGGGACGGTCAACGGTCATTGGCAATGATTAGACTCGGAGTAGGACAGCTCACGTAAGTAGTATCTTGTAGTAGCCGCAGAGTCCGTATCTCGACATAGACATGATATCTGCGATCTCGGCGGTAAGTACTGGACCTCTTCGCGTGGATCCACCTGACCTACATGTGCCCCCATTCGGTGTGTCGTCAGGCATGCGTTCGTGAATGCAAAGGCGACACCTTGACCTCCAGGCTGCAGCCCGATTTCAACGTGAGGCGATAAAATTCGCGGCGATAGTGCTCGAGGGCCTGCACAGGCAATGCCACCGTGCTGAACAGCCCGACCTTCAAGATGCGCAGCGTCGTAATTCCCTCGTTTTGCATGCGCCATTGCAAGGCTGAGACGAGAAGTTCGAGCTGGGTCGTTCCTTCTTCCTCGAACTTGATGTCGCCGTAAAGCTCGAGGGAGTCAAGAGCGGGACAGAGGGGCGGAGCGTCGGGGGGCAGCACGGGCCGGGCGCGGAGGCAATCGAGCAGCCTGTCAGGGAACTCCACGAGGTACTCGTCGACGACGACGAGGTGGCGGAGGTTGTGTAGAGGAAAGAGGGAGGTGATCCAGTCGTCCGCTATTATGGCGCCGACGGGGCCGTGGATTTTGAGGTATGTGATGGTCTCGGTCATCAGGAAGATCTCCTCGAGGCTGCGGAGGAGGGAGGAAAGTAGCTGTTTCCGAGCAGTCTGCGCAGCAGGATACGCAGCATGGCCTTGGGTGTGGCAAAGGCCGGTGTCCAGCTCCAGCTCTAGCGTCACGCCCGGCGGGGTGTGGTCGCCTCCTTTTGCCATTGAGCCGTAGACTCGGCACATGCGGTGTGTGACTGTGACCTCGATACTCTCGCAGGCGCGCAATATCTGCATACGGTGCAAGTTATGCGGAAGCATCGCCAGGAATGACAACCGGCACAGCTCGACAGTCGCCCCGCGTGCATTGCCACGGAGAACGACGTTGGCGGATGAGGGGACGTCGAGCTCGGACATGATCCGGCCAATGCTGGAGGGGTAGTCCTCTATCACTACGTCCGTCAACCGCGAGGCGGAAAGAGGAGAACGCGCGGCGGGGACGACATCTGGGGGCGGGCCACCGGGCCGCGGCGCGGCGAAGCAACGGATGAGGGAAAGCTTCTGCAGTTGCGAGAAGCTCCCCAGGGCTGCGAGAAAGGGTTCCAGAGGAAGCTGGTGAGAAGCCCCCACAATACCGCTTTTCATTTCTAGAAAGCACAATTGCGAAGCGAGGGCTGGCGTCAGTGCCATCGAAGCGTGGCTCATACTGATGGAGCTTATGAAGGGCAACCGGAGGTGAGAGAGGTCGAACACGGGGGGTGGGGACAGGGTGGCCCCTGAAGAGCTTGTGGAGTCCGAGTCGTCGTGGCTCACGGTGAGCGTCGTCAGCATTGAGAAGCTGGTGTTCTTAAGGGCTTCGCGCAAGTAAGCCACGTCGGAGGAGCGCAGCAGATGGGCTGTAAGCCCACCCACCCGATCCGGATGTACTGGCATGCGCTGGTAAGGTGTGATTTGAAATCTTGTCCCGTCGACACCAGTTGCCACTATCGTCGAAGCCACTACTGTCGAAGGCGCGGGCTGACCAGCTAGATGCAAAGGAGGGTCGATGGTCAATCAGTAGGACGTGGTCGAGTATTTTATGAGTACGTACTCCTCCTCCGCGATAATGAGGGGGGAATGATGCTTTCGTGATCCATGTTGGAGCAGCGATGTGAACTCTGCAGAGTGGAGGGGTAAGGTTGAGGGCGACGTTGGAGATGGCAGGTGAGCAGGAAAAGAGCCGCAGACATTTATACCCCCTACTCAACATAAAGAAAAAAAGAGGTCAAAGCTACGTGGGCCTTGACCGTAGGGGACCACTCCCAGGCTACGCGGGACTACATGATGATGCGGACACTGTATAGTCCAAGCAGACGTCCGTCCATTCGGTGGGCCAAGGCGCACCAAGCGCACAGATCGCGGGCTTGAGCAAAGTGAGCACCAGAGACAGGCCTTGAAAAGTGCATCGTGTTTGCTGCCGTAAGTAGGTAAATGGAGCATCTTGGAGGTCGGCGGAGAGAGAGACAAAGAGAAGGAGAGACGGATTCGAGTCGCTGCGCCGCCGGGACGCAACAGAGCCAAACAACGCCCAAGTTTCGGCAGGCGCCCGTACCCGAAGCGCCTCCGCTGTCTGCCCACCGCTCACTGCTCTCGTTCTCCCGCCTCGCTCTACGCCTCCCCTTTCCTCCGTCTCACTTCTGGTGGTCTCGCGTCGAAACAGTAAAAGATGCCCAGGAAACCAAAGACCATCCCGGGCCCGTCGCGGCTCTCTGGCATCCTCGCGCGCCTGAACCAGGACCCGAAGCCGCACCTCCCGAACTTGAAGAGCCTGCGCCTCACGTACGCGTTCCGCAACGACCACTTCGGCGCACGGTACGTCTAGAATGTAGATGAGGCAAAGGGTGACAACTCATGATGTCAATGCGCGTGTGTGCTATGTCGTGGGGGACAGACACTTCGTGAAGGAGGAGCTACCGCGGATACGCTACGTGAACCCCGCCGTCGACATCCAGATCGAGAAGCGGCTCAAGACGAAGGAGGAGGTATGGAAGCCGGAGATGGTCATCGAGCTCAGTGAGTCCCGCGCTGCTCGCGCACTGTTGTCAGTAGAACTCACCAGGCTCTTCTCCTCTCCCTCCGCGCCCGCGTCCCGTGTCAGAAAACGGCACGACGCACAAGTTGGACATGGACGGAAAGTGGTCGTCGACGATCTTCAACGAGCTGCTTGACCTCTCGGCCGGGCCATGGTGGCAAAAGTACAAGAGGGAGCGCGCGGCGGCAGGCGAGTCCGCGACACCACCTCCCCCAGTGCAAAAGGCCAAGACCGGCGCCGCTGCTGTCCTTCCTTGACCCGCCCCTCCATACACGGATTCACATGCGCGCACACACCTCCATATTGTAATCTAATCACTGCTATTCACGCGTAGAGATGCGTCCGGTCCTCAGAAAGTCATGAGGTCATCATGGTCCCATTAGTACACACAGCGTGCTCGATTACAAGGAGTATAGCTAGCCCATGAGCTCATGAAGACACTAAGCCCGCCACCCAAATGAGGAAGCCAATCCCTACTATCAACGCAGAGAGGTCGTCGAAGAAGACCCCGCCTATTTGGAGGTACTTCATGCCGTTGGTGATGATCGCGGGCAGTGGAGGGGGTAGGCTCGGGAGCGCGAGCGCGAGTAGCATTGGAGGCTGCACGGGATCCTATAGTCGAAGGTCAGAAACGTGTCAGGGGAAATTGTGGAAAGCGGTGACACGTACTAGGTTCGTGAATATGCGCCACGAGTGCAGCACGAGGGCGAGTGTGGAGAACGCCCAGAAGAATGGCTGTGCCAAGATATTAGCACTTTGCGGATGGCTCAAAGCAATAGTTTAAGGAGACGTACAACTGTCTGCACGCCAAATCCATCGTCTGGACTCTTCCAGCCCAACTCTGCCCACCGCCGCCAGCGGCTGCTCGCCAGCTCAGACCCATGTGTCGTGGCCTCATACGCCTCTGGCTCTTTCCACAACACAAAGTACGCGAGCAGGAACCACGCGGCGAGTACGTGGATGAGCGGCATGAGCTTCTGGAGTAGGGTCTTTGGTTTCGGTGGTGGCGCCATGCCCATCATGCCCATACCAGCTCCAGGGAACTGGGAAGCCGGGGGCCCGCCTTCTCCTGCACCGCCCTGCTGCAGCGCGGCCATGAGCGCAGCCATTGGGTCGTCTCCGAGAGGTGCGTCAGGGCCAAGGGAGGGCGCGGCAGTCGCGGACGATGATGACGAGGGCAGGCGGGGTTGCTGCTGCTCCGGGGCGCGGGCGGAAGCACCGAGGAGGGCGTTCATGAACTGTGCTTGCTGGTCCTCGGACCAGACGGAGGGGTCGGGCATGCCTGCGCCGAACCCGGCCGCCTCGAAGGGCGAGCGCGCGGAGCCGCTGGCGTTGCGCGACGGAGTGGACGAGGTGGGCGGGGTGGGCATTGCGGATGTCTCCCCCACGAAGTCGGAGAGCCCGGGGCGGTTGGGCAGGGATGCCAGTGGAGGGTCTAATCCAAGTACACATTCGTGAGCTGTACTGGGATTAGGGACGGGATGCAATAGGACGGACCGTCGTGCATGTAGGTGGCACCCTCCTCGCCACGGGCGGAGGAGGTGATGCGTGCGAGGCGGTCGCCGCTGCGGGCGAGAATTGCTTTTCTGCGGGCCTCCGCACGGGCTTTGGCGGCGGACATGGTGGGTTGGGCGGTCGACGTGGATGGAGGAGGAGGGGAGGACGCTGCGGTGTGCTGCCACCGCGCGTAGATCTCGAGATGGGCGTCTATCCACGCGACGTTAGCCTTTGGCGCCCCAGCCACAATCGAGCAGCCACTCCCGCTCCTCCCATCTCATCCCCCTGTCTCTCTAGCTATAGCCTTCGCTGCTTCCCTAGGCACGCGTCGTTTGAGATCAGAGCGATACCACACAGTCTGTTAGATCCCACTGGGATAGTACAAGATAGTATCTATGGCAGAGGCGTCTTCATCCGCAACTTCTTCCTCGGGCTCGGCTTCCGAACGCTACTATGCTCTCAAAGGTCGCCATTCCTTTAAACTTAACCCCACACGCGTGACCTGACCGGACATAAAAGGTCTCCCATATTCGCACCTGGACACGCTAGAGCTCTCCCCGGAAGTTGAAGATTACCTAGATATCCTGACTGACATCGCGGATGCGCTCGGTATCGACGACCTCTCTTTCTCAACGTAAGCGGGCCTGACATCCTCTTCGGAACCCCGTTAACAACAGCGGAGAAGGTACTCCAAGGCAATAGAACGACTAGATGAGGAAGAGCTGTCTGTGACACGCTCGCTGCTTCGCACGCGTGAAGCGGAAGACGAGCTCACTCGACATCTCTTGTCTCTCATCCACGAGCAGACACAATTGGAGAAGTGAGTCCAAGTCACAGCCTGTTTTGTGTGTCTCACTCTTGCAGATGGACGCACGTCCTGCAGTCGGATCCTGGCGCGGACGACAACGTCCCTGCGCTCGAGAGGCAGAAGGCTGCGCTCACATCAAAGGCGAAGGAGTACCAGAAAGAGCTCGAAGCAGTCATGGTTGGCCGCCTGCATCTCCGGATATGAGGCGTCTCTCATGATATCGCAGAGCGATATGCCAGAGGCGCCACCTATCAACATCACTGAGCTATACGCGTTTCGTAAGAACCTCAAGGAACAGGAGAAGATCCTGAAAGAGAAGCGAGCCAAGGTCGAGGCTTTCCAGGGCCTGCCTCCAGTACGTCCTTGACCCATACTCGCCCTATCGCCCGCATAATCACTCGGAGCAGAATATAGATCTCGCTCGACATGCTCTTGCGGAAGCGCGAGACAAGCAGATGGAGCTCATTCAGCTGCGGGAACGATTGCTCGGGAAGATGGCGGACGGCGTGAATTAAGCTTTACGGGCTATAACTTGGCTCAACGGGTGCTGTTGCGCTTGTTGAGTCCCTTGTACCTCTACATACTGTATTTTTGCAGCGTTTATATACGAGTACAGATGACGTCGGGTTTCGCAGATGATATAAAGCATCCGTATGTACGTGTATGGGCGCTTAGTCAGACACAGCACGACCGCGTTGACATCGCCCGCCACCGCCGTGCCTGTGCTCCGCTTCAACGTGTTCCTCTGCCACCACCATGTCCCACAGACAGGACAAGGCGACGACTGAACGCAACTCCAAGACCCTGCGCGAGCTGCTGAAGAGGCCCGAAAACAAGACATGCGCGGACTGTAAACGAAACGGTGGGTCTCGCTCGAGGCTTGCGCTCGGAAGTGGCGGGGACTGATTACACGCGGTAGACCCACGATGGGCTTCCTGGAACCTGTGCGTGAACTTGTTGGTCCATACCCACCGTGGTACTGATGTCTACGCTCGCAGCGGCGTGTTTCTGTGCATCCGATGCTCCGGCATCCATCGCTCCATGGGCACGCATATCAGCAAAGTCAAGTCCGTAGATCTCGATGTCTGGACCCCGGAGCAGATGGCCGTGAGTCCTTACTGATTCTCTCGCTACATGTGCGTGGTGTAACAGCGCCCGCTCCGCTGCAGTCAATACAGAAGTGGGGGAACCGGAGAGCGAACCTGTACTGGGAGGCGCACCTGCGCGCAGGCCACGTCCCACCCGACCAGTACGTCCCCCTACCCAATGCACGCGCAACATGCCCTCACGCAGCCTCTCACTTACAGCAAGATGGACTCGTATATCCGTTCAAAGTACGAGAGTAGGCGGTGGGCGCGCGAGGGCCCCGCCCCAGAAGACCCCGCCGTGCTCGAGAACGACGCCCCCGTCCCAGCAGCCGCGTCCTCGCAGCCCGCCCCCGCCCCCGCGCAGACCACGGCTCCCACCCACGTCTCCCGTGCATCCGTCAGCGCCCGCCCACAGCAGGGCCAGCCGCACCAGCTGCTCTCCGCAGGGGTCGCCGCGAGCCGCCAGACGCCGCAGCTGCAACAGCAGCAGCCGGCGTCCGTGCAGGCCCCCCAGCAGGTGCAGCCGCAGCCGCAGAGCGCGGCCCTTGACCTGTTCTCGCTCGACTTCCACGCGCCCGCGAGCCCGCCGCCCCAGCAGCAGGCGCAGCCGAAGAAGGACGTCACGTCCGAGATCATGTCGCTCTTCGCCACCGCGGCGCCAGCTGCGCCCGCCGCCGCCCCTCCTGCGTACAGCGCTGGGATGTTCGGCGCGCAGCCTGTGCAGGCGCAGGGGCAGTTTGGGCAGTTCGGGGGCATGCAGCCGCAGGCCGGCTGGGGGCAGCCTCAGCCTCAGCAGCAGGCGGTCCCGCAGCAGACGAGCATGGTGGGGAACGCGGGGGTGGGGATGTGGGGCGCGAGCTCGGGGTGGAACAGTGCGCCTGCAGCGCCGCCGGCGGGCCCGGATATTTGGGGGAGCGGGGGCTTGGGCGGGGGCGTGCCGGCTCAGCAGCAGAGCTTGTTCTCGACGAGCGATGTGTGGAGCACGCCGGCGGCACAGCCCGCGCCGGCTACTACGCAGAAGAAGGACGATGTGTTTGGGGACCTTTGGGGTGGGTTCAAGTAGAGTGCGGAGTCGGTGAGCAGTCTGGTTGTATCTTGGAAGGAGCGCTGTGGAGGGTTAGGAATGTACGTGTGTAGGTCAAGTATCCGACTTTGTATGTGCCCTGTGGATGTACACCTTCGCAACCTTCCACTCTTTGGAAAGACCGCCGCATTGGTAGTCGCAGTGCTGTCCGCCTCGTCATGCCCAGCAAGACACCTTGAATTGCGCTCATGTATTACAGCAAAAAGGTGATGATGTAAATATCGACAGGCACAGCAAATATATACATGAACGGTCTACGGCCGGCGCGCAGTGCTAAAGGTAGCTTCAGAGTTCAGCCCGCCTCATCTTTGACAATGTCAGGCTCGTCCAGCATATTGCGGAGCACGTCGCATATTTGGGAGTGGAGGTTCTCTAGACGCGTAATAACACGTTCAGCGCGTGAAAGACGCGCACAGCACGCGTCACTTACTGGCACGGTTCACGGCTTGGACATACTCGGCATTGGCGTCGGCCATCTCCTGCTCGAGGGCTTCCAGCCGTTCGACCTGCGTCCCGCCACGTAAGATACGTAGAATAAAAAGCGAAAGGAGCCGGAGCCACACACCTGCTCCTCCTCCGGGTCCGGCTCGGGCAGGGACTGGATCAGGTACTCGACCTGCTTCGCCTTCACGATCAGGTCCGACACGAGCTCCTTTTTGTTCGCTACAAGAAGAGGGGGGAGAAGGGGCGCGTTCAGCGGGGGACAGCGCGCGCGGGAGGAGGAGGGCGCGAGTGACCTTCGAACGCGTCTGGGGCGTCGTACTTGTCCGGGTTGCGCGCCTTCGTGACGGGCACGTCCGCGCTGACCTGCACGAAGTTCGCGCGCGAGGTGAGGTATGCGATGCTGTGCGACATTATCGTGAGCAGCTGCGAATGGCGGGACAGGGGTCAGCGGGAGCAGCGCGCGCAGAAGGGGGGGAGGGACGAACTTGTTGGATCTCATCCTGCAGTTGGGTGATGCGGTCCATATGAGACAGTTCCTGCAGCATGACGCTGCTATGAGGGGGCACGGCGGGAGATGCGGGCCAGCGAGGAGAGGGGACTCGACATAGAACGGCGTCGGGTGCAGCGGCGGGTGAGAGAAAGAGAGAGAGTGCCGGCCTCAGACCCAGGTGAGCCAGTCCAAGCCACAGCAGCGGAACAAGGTAGAACAGACGCCCGTCCCCCTGAAAATCCGGATTAGTCAGCACTCCCCCGCACTCGCGGATAGGCGCCGGGCGTGAGCGACTTCGCCTCCAACCACCACCACCTCTCTGCTTGTATCTTTGTGTCGGTCTCTGCAGCCATGGGTAATGATGGAGGAAGTATCCCGGACAGGAGAGATCTTGTCCGCACCAAGGCCAAGGTGAGCGCTAGCTGATTAGAGCAGTAGCGGAACCGGAGCTGAGATGCAGTCTAGGCTGAGCAGGCAGACAAGGCGAACCAAGTTCGTGCGATGTGGTTCTTCTGCGCGCTGTCAAAGGTGTGCGAAATCGAATGTATCCGTCCAGTGCTCTACTCATATGCTTGCAGCGTCCCTTGCAAGAGCCCGTCGTATCGTGTCCACTAGGCAAGCTGTACAACAAGGATGCGCTGCTAGAATTCCTACTCGATCGGACGTCTTTCGGAGACGGCGAGGAGATCTGCGGGCACATCCGGTCGCTCAAGGTGTGTACACCGTTACAGGGCAAGATATTACGGCCCTCGAAAGACTGTAAGATCTTGAAGCAAACTATAACTGTCACTAATCCGTTGTCCCCGTACAAAGAGATTTTGAACAGTTATCATTTGCTTTAAGTTCCTGGACCTATCCAGAGTCCTGATATTCTGGGATGCTTGCCATGTTACACCCCGACGTGTCCAATCTAATACCTCGTGCAGGACGTCAAGGTCCTGAAGCTCACGCCGAACCCCACCAAGACAACTACTCCCGACAGCTCCTCCGACTCCGCGCCCACCCGCGCGCCCTTCGTCTGCCCCCTGAACCTGAAGGAGATGAACGGCGTGCAGCCCTTCGTCTACCTCGCTACCTGTGGCTGCGTCTTCTCCCAAGGCGGCCTCAAGGCGGTCTCTCGCTCTGCCAAAACCCCGCCCACAGAGGCCCCCGGCGCCGCCGGAAAGGAGGCAGACTCAGAGCAGGCGAAGGACCTCGACCTGTGCCCGCAATGCGGCGCAAAGTACGACCGCGCGTCCGACGTGCGCATGCTCAACCCCCCGGTCGAGGTCGAGGAGCAGATGCGCGCCGCCATGGAGGCGCGCCGCGCTGCTGAGCCCGTGAAGACCAAGGGGAAAGGCAAGAAGCGCAAGGCTGCCGCGGACGCCGCCGCCGAGCCCGCGGCGAAGAAACAGGCGCTGCCGTCGACGAACCCGAGCATCGCGGCGGCGAGCAGGGGCGTCGCGGCGAGCCTTGCGGAGGAGGAGGCGCGGCGGAAGGCGGGGATGAGCGACGCCGTGAAGTCGCTGTACTCGTCGAGCGACGGCCCGAAGAGGAAGGAGACGTTCATGACGATGGGCACCTTCACGAGGGTGAGTCTGCATCATCGACGTCCATTTGAGGAGATGCTGACGGTGGTATCTTTGATTAGTATGCGTGATGGGCTCGTGCTCGCACGGTGGCGTATCGGACCGTTTTCGAGGATGCTCTGGCTATGTATCGTTGTATTGCTATCGTGTGTAACCCTACTTACAGTAATTCTACCCCATCGTTTCTTCAGCATCAGCGATCAGCATCTGCATTCTCCGCGAGGTCCACCTGCATCAGCCTGAATCACAGATTGGGCCAGACAGCACCGCACGCGCTGCACACAAGGACTTGCACGAGACTGCTGCCCGTATTCAGTCCCAAGCGCCGCGGCGGAGCCGGTAGCCCAAGGCTAGTGCCCGATCGCGGCGGATGGACGAAATCCTCGGACCGTTGTTGGCCTACAAGGGTTCTTCCTAGCTAGGCACGCGACAATGAAACCTGCCCGCTAGAAGCACCAGAGGGGATAAGCGAGGCAGACCAAAGACATGATCATCTCCCGCGTCCGGACACCTGGCGTATCGCTTGACAACGCAGCATCGTACCGCAGTACGATAGGGATAAGTGCTCACGCACCTACAGCTGCCTACAGCGCTGCCAAGGAATTTTGTACGCGGCGGGTGCTTGTATACGTGCAGTTTTCAAGGCACTGCGTCGCGACGAAATCAGCCACAACAGAGCTGGGCGGAGAGGAGGGCGTGCGATAGCGAACGCCACTACCCAGGCCCCAGCTAGGGGGGTTGCGCAGGGACTAGCGGAGGTGATGTAGATAAGTACGAAACACCGCCGCTGCCACTCTCGCGATTCCCCGGTGTGCGCTCTACCCTCGCGCGCCGTCGCCCGGGAATAGCGACTGCTAGGGCGGAGGAATCCGAGGATGCGGTCGGTGGCGGAACGCGTCTGGCGCGGGCGCGTCGCCGTGCCCCTCGGTGCCCCTGGGCCGATGGTGTCGCGGGCGTGACCAGCAGTGGCAGCACGGGGACAGCATTGTGGGTCATGCGCGTTGGGCGTGTATGTGCTCGAGCTCGAAGTAGCGCGAAGCCCGGGAAGATAGAGAGAGAGCACGGAGCGGGGATTAATGACGGACGGGATGGTCGGCGGGCACGGTGCCTGATCTCGATGGGGGTTAAAGAGGACAGAGAGCGGTGTTTTCTGATGAGATGGCCCTCGATGGGTGGGCCCGAAAGGGAGTTCGATGGAGAGAAGGAGAGAGCAACGTCGCGAGAGCGAGAGAGACCGGGGCGCCTGCGCAGTCTCCTGATCCCCTCGGCGCTGATCCCGTCTCATATATTACCGTAATTCACTCTAGCTCGCGCTTCTCCCCCGCACTTCTGCTTGTTCTCCCTCCTCTCGGCTGCTGCGCTATCGCGCGACGCGAGCCCCGTCCCTCCTTCCCCTTCCAGTTTCTCTCTCTTCTCAGCTTTCTTACGACCTACTTCCGGGATACGAGCTTTCACGAACAACACCACCGCGCGAGGCCATGTTTGAACGCGCGCGGCGCGCGAAGGAGGGCGAGCTGTACGTGATGACCCCGAGCGCGAGCGGCAGCGGCGCGTCCGCCGAGGGCAGTCGCAACAGTCGGATCGACGGAGGCGCGTACGGTGCGTACGGCGAGGGCAGCCACTCGGACGGAATGAGCGCGATCCACTCGCTCGACACGCACCCGCAGTACCGCGGCTTCAAGGGCGTGTACTACAACCCGGTCGTGCAGGTGTTCTTCCTGGGCTTCGTGTGCTTCATGGGCCCCGGCCTGTTCAACGCGCTCACGGGGCTGGGCGGCGGGGGGCAGCTGGACTCGACGACGAACTCGAACGCGAACTCGGCGCTGTACGCGACGTTTGCGGTCGCCGCCTTCTTCGCCGGGTTAGTCTCTCTTAGAGTTAGAGTTCGCAGCAGACTGACGGGCGGGAATAGATCGATCAACAACGTCCTGGGCTCGCGCCTCACGCTCCTCCTCGGCTCGACCGGATACGCCCTCTACATCGGCTCCTACTTGTATGTCGCTCTTTTATTTTGCAGTGTACGCAGCTGCTGACATATGTCCGCAGGGCATACAACATCCACCGCGACGCAGGCGGGTTTGTCATCGGCGCGGGCGTGGTCCTCGGCATCTGCGCAGGGCTCCTCTGGACCGCCCAGGGCTCCCTCATGCTCGCGTACCCGACCGAGGGCCAGAAGGGCATGTTCATCGGCATCTTCTGGTCCATCTTCAACCTCGGCGGCGTCGTCGGTGCGGCCGTCTCCCTTGGGAACAATTTCGACAATACTGTGTGTATATTCGAACCCCCTCCGCGCCTCCCGGCCTTGCTTACCCTCGTTACCGCCCACAGTCCAATTCCGGTGAGCACAGCCAGCGTTGACCGTCCTGTGAACTCCGTGTACTCATCGGGCCTCCTGGTCGCAGTCTCCAACGGCACATACGTACGCACAGCCCGCTCTGCGCCCGTTCTGACGAAACGCTGATGCAGTGGCTCACCCCACCGCAGATTGGATTCCTCGTTCTCACAGGTATCGGTGTCCTCATCCCCCTTCTCATGGCGGACCCCCGCAAGATGATCCGCTCTGACGGGACGCGCGTCATCACGCCCCGCCATCCGTCATGGCGGACGGAGTTCTACGGGCTGTGGTATACGCTGCGCACCGACCCGTTCATCATCCTCCTCTTCCCGATGTTCTTCGCGAGCAACTGGTTTTACACCTGGCGTAAGTAACTGCAATATTTGGGGACTGCGCGTGCTGAAGAATTTTCGTGCAGAGTTCAGCGACTACAATGGCGCGATATTCACCATCCGCGCGAGGGCGCTGAACAACCTCGTATACTGGCTCTCGCAGATCGTGGGCTCCGTCAGCATCGGCTTCTTGCTCGACCAGCGCGGCCTCTCTCGTCGATTCCGTGCCTTCACAGGCTGGTGTGTGCTGTTTTTCATGGTCTTCGTCGTCCACGTCTGGGGACTCTTCTACCAACGGTGCGTGTTCCTCTCTAATCATCCCCCGCGGCCTGCTAATGCGCCGGTATCGCAGGGAGTACACGCGCGGCACTATCAGCGACAAGATCGACATCCACGAGAAGCCCTACGTCAGCCGGCTATGGTTTTACATTTTTTGCGGCCTGCTGGACGCGATGTGGCAGACGACGGCATACTGGTTCATGGGCGCGATGTCAAATGACCCCGCGAAGCTCGCGAACTTCTCTGGCTTCTGTGCGTACCTTAAGCTTCTGAGGCGTTTGAGCGGTCGCTGACCATCTACTGCACCCATGTGATTCCTGGAACATCCCGGCCGGACGCTGCAGACAAGTCGTTGCAGAGCGCAGGTGCCGCGGGCATATGGCGCGCGGACGCGGTGAAGCTCCCGTGAGTCGAGAACGCCGTTCTGCTTCGTCGCTGTGTGTGCGGCTGACCCCGATACTAGGTTCATGAATATCTTCATCTCTACATGGGTCCTACTCGTCGCGGGACTCGTCTTCGCGCTCCCGATGATCCATATGCGGGTGAAGGACACGACCGATGAGGTCGACGACACCTTGTGAGTGCCTTTCCTGGATCCCGAGGCTTCTCTTTCCTGTTGCGTGTTTGGGTTTGCGCCGCGCCCGCTCGCTGGGTCGTTCGAGCCCGGGTATTCTCGCCCTATCGGGCCTCGGGGGGCCTGCAGTTGGGGCTATCGCCGCCCACTGCGACGATACGCCGACTCGGGCTGCGCGCACCTTATCTGTGAACTTATCGCGCGCGCCCCGTGCCTTCATCCATCTTCCGCGGCCCGTCCTAGTTGTTGCGTTGTTTCATTGCGCGAACGCGCGCTGATCCCGTCTTTTGTGTTTAGTGCGTACATTGCCGACCCCCGACGAGACGAGGAGAAGCACGACCACCGGCCCTCGCATCCACACCGGGCTGCTACCGCATAGCGCGCCCAGACCCTGGCGCAAAGGCACGCAGGTGCCTTTGCAAAACGCTCGTCCGAGCCTTGCACCCGGGAGCTGCAATCCCGCCGTTATTCGGGTCAATATGATCGCCCAGAGCCCCCGCTAGCCGTATCCCGCCACCACCCGTGCACCGCACGCCCACTCTCGCATTGCAAGATACCGCTGGGCTCTCGTCCGCCCCCAAGCCCCGTCCCGCCCGCTCTCTCCGTCGTCTGCAAGATGCTCTGTTATTCTGTGCTGTTGTATATTGCTGCCCGTTGCATCTTGGATCCCCCGCCGCCGCGCCCGACTCTCGCTCTACGCCCTATTTTGACTGCAGATATACCTGGGCGGCGGCGGGGCTGTATTATTCTGTGATGACCATCGACCGGACCCTGGATTAGGATCCGTTATGCCTTGCTTTGCTCTTCCCCACCCCCTCGCCACTGCTGCTTCAACGATACCTCTACCGGATGCACGCTCGCCATCTCATCGTCCGCGTCCAATTCTACCGCCGCGTCCGGATACATTGCCACCCCCACTCGGCACTCGCTGGTGCACATACGCACATGCTGTGCGCTTCCTCCCGACGATTGGCCCCTCTCATCTCCGCCCTCTGCCGCCCATGGCGCTCATCCCTCCCAGAAGACCGCTCCACCTGTCATCCACCACGTCCTCTTCCATTACCCCCTTCGTCCACCCCCTTGTCCATCCTCGCCGCCGTTGCGCAATGCGTCTTCGAGCTTCTAGACCGCAGGCCGCTATAGCGCGAGCGTTCCCCCGCTTCGGACTCCCGCGCTGTCAGCGTCGTGTCGTGGACCTAGGCTGCGGTCTGCGCGCGGCGCTCGGGGCCACCGTCTGTCATCTATGATGCAGTGCCCGGAGGCCGAGGACGGGCGTCGACGGTGCCGAACGTGGACGCCGCCGCCACAATCCCGCTCCCTGCGTCGTCGCTCGTCAACATGGCATAGCAGAGTCGTACGTGGGGAAAGGGGGGCGAGATCGCCGCTGTATACCAGTATTTACTTGCTCGCGAATGGGCCGGGAGATTACATTAGGTACTGTTTAGCTACTACTTACCGACTGGCCAACCGCCTCGCCGGCCTGCTCCGCCTCTTCGTTGGACGACGTGCGCATACGACGTGGTTACTTACTACATACCCTACTGTGTAGTACATAATGTCTCGCCCTGTCGTTGGAAGCTAGAGGCTGATTGCTCAATTTATTGAATGCCGTCGTTGCAGAACCGTTCAGCACAGTGATCCATAAGATGTCATCATGTATATGAAGTCGGCCCTAGTTGCGGGACCGGTGCATTTGCGCATTCCCACAGATCCTTCTGTTACGCTGTCGTCAACAACAACCGCGGTTTAGTTCTGGAAGGGCAGAGTGATGGCGATAGTCTAATTGGTCGCCTCCCGATACGGTGCATATCATGCCAGCGCGACATAAAAGTCATCGAGCAAGACGACCACCAGCACAGCAATAGCTCTTCACTGTTCAACCTTCATTGACAGCAGCGAAATAGCAGGGGGTTACATCGATGTGTGAATGTATAAAGTCGTAAGGTAGAATCATCAACAGCGCGAAACAAACGTTCTTCGGAGCAGCCAGCAAAACCCCGTACAACTACAGTATGTACCCGTACGAGAGTCGGACCAACGGCGGGGGGACAGCGGGGGAGGGTGAGAGAGAGGGGGGCCATATGTGTGAGAGTGTGTATCCTTCGAACGACATGGAAAACCCAATCTTGCCATGCAAAGCGCAGGCGTTTACTCCGAGGACGCGACGCGCTCGCGCAGGCCGTCGGCGGTGACCGTCGGCTCGTGCTGGGTGGGCGCGAGCGAGCTGGCCTTGCCGTGGGCGTTCACGAAGATCGGCCGGACGACGGTGCCGTAGAGCGTTTGCGCACCCTAAAGAGGAGAAGCAACAAGCACATGGCGTGAGCACCGATCATGACGCACGCACACGAGGCGCGAGAGAAGCGCTAGGACGTACGCGGAACTGGGGGAGCTGGAGCCAGAGGATGAACGTGCTCTTGAAGGCGAAGTACCAGGGGAAGTAGTAGAGGACGACGCGGAGGGCGAAGCTCTCGAGGAAGTTGAAGAAGCCGAAGACGATCCAGTACGTGAGCCACTGCACGTCGTCCTGGTTGCCGGGGCTCTCGAGCGCCCGGACAGAGAGGAAGGCGGGGAGCGCCCAGCCGACGAGGTTCGAGACGGGCGAGGCGAACGCGTTGACGCTGTGGAGGATGACGACGAGGATGACGACGCCGAGGAAGGCGTAGCTCTTCGGGACCTGCGTGCGCTGCTCGAACGTGTTCAGGAGCGGGTACTTGGAGAGCTGGCAGACGTGTCGCGTGATTAGCGGCAAATTTCGTGCGGACGTTGCGTTGCACGCCACGCGCGGGCCGCGAGGGCGCAGACGGGGTGGGACACGTACCTCCTTGTCGAGCTGGTTGACGTAGTAGTTCGCCTTGTCCTGGGCCTGGATGAAGGCCGGGTGTTGCTGTACTTTTTGAGTCGCGGACATCTGGCGGGTGACGGGCGCTGTGAGCACCGAGCACGCCTCGCTGGCAGACGGCGAGGAAAGAGCACATACCTTGGTCGTCTAGGGTGTCGTGTGCGTGGAGGAGGACGTTACGGTGGTGGGGCGGATGGGGGAGAGGAGGGAAGGAGGTAGGGAGGGGCGAGCCGGGTTGATATGGGCTTTGATGACGCGTGTTTGTCGGTGCCACGAGTACGTCAGACTGGGCCGCCTCCTCCTCATTCAGGCGCAGCACGCTCCTCCTCCACTCCGACCGCCATGGCAGACTACGCCAGCATACAGGCACGCATCCTCTCTTGTTCCCTGTGATTCTCCTGCTCACTCTACGCTACACACAGGCGCTGCACAAGGCCACGCCGCCCTTCTCTCCTTTGATCCCCGTCGGCCTCCTCCCCTACATCGCCTTCGTCCTCCTCGGTGCCACCTTTGCCCTCGCCTTCTACTTCTCCACGTCAGTCCTCCACGTATGCCATTCTCTGCCCTCATGCTCATGCACACCGCCCACAGACTCCCGAAGGACAAAATTCCCGTGCGCGAGCTCGCCGTGGCGTCCACCGCGTCCCTCCTTGGCGGGTTCGGCGTCGTGGCCATGTTCTGCAACGCTGGTGTCTACTTGTAGCAATCCCATACACTCCGTGCTGCGCCCACACGCGAGGCGTGCGATAAAACCATGCAGGGAGCACGCTAGTTGTTGACGCGCCAGCCGAACTTGCATTTGACGCACTGCGAGGTACAGGCCAGGTGAGTCCGGGTGCATACGTGGAGAGAAGGCCACGTACGGTATAGAAGATGGTCGAGCCCTCGTCTGCGCTCCGCAGCTGCGAGATTATCAAGCACAGTCAAGCGGTGAACACGACGCGAAGCGACGCAAGACGCACCTGTGCTTCCTTGGAATACGCCTCCATGTGTCCGCACTCGGGGCACTTTTCAGTTACCTGTGTCCCGGACATGATGAGTACGCGTTCTTCATCAATTAACATCCAAGCAATGTACCTTGAGCAAGTCCTCGTTTGCGGCGTGCTCCTTCGTCTGAGTCTTCCGCTTCTGTCTAAGGGCGGAGGGGAATGCGTCTGGATGGGACTTGGTGATAATCTCGATGTTTTCATAGGCTGTACATGAAGTAGGGACATATCAGTGCAGGGTGAAGACGACAGAGACACGCGAACGTACAGCTTGCAGGCTCGACATGGGCGCACTGCTCGCAAGTAACCTGAAATTGGCCGTCCTGCGGCAGATTGAGCAAGGTGCCGCAATCGGGGCAGAACAGCAATGATCCTATATGGTAGTACGCGATAAGCTCCTGTATATTGTGCAGCTGATATATTCGAGAGACGCACCAATCTTGTCGGCGTGGCGAGACATGGCGAATGTGGCTGAGGAGAGGGAGCAACAACTTTCTGTGCTCAGGCGCCCGCACGCGATCATCCTCGTTCCGGATTAGGCACGGGCGCCTGCTGAGTAGGATCTGCCCGTCGATCAAGATCTCGCCAGACTCTCCTCCGTCCTCCTTCCTGCCCTCTTGGCCACAGCCACCCTCAACCGACAGTCGTGTGTCAGACAATTACATCACGATGACTCTCCCTTCAGACCCGACTACCCAGACAAACTGGCAAGATGTCGCCTCCGAGCACGTCGACTTTGATTGGGCCGTCGATTTTGACAAGCAGACCCTCTCCGGCTCCGTCACCCATACCCTTGTATGGAAGAAGGCCGATGTCCGCGAGGTCATGTACGTATCTACGTCTACATACATTGGAGAATTCACACTCATTTATACGGCCGCGTTAGTTTCGACACCCAGCATCTGGACGTCCAGAAGGTCATCGTAGAGGATCGGCCCGGGAATGTATGTTTATCCCACTCTCCCTTAGCCCCATCGCTTACGCGGAGCGTAGTTCTCCCTTGGTGCAGAACACAAAGTGATGGGCACGCCGCTCAAGGTGCTCTTGCCGTCCAATCGCGCCGTGGGAGACAAGACCCGCGTACAGATCTTCTACAGCACCACCAAGGACTGCGATGCGCTGCAATGGCTCGAAAAGGAGTAGGCACCGTTCATCCGTGTCATTTAAAATTAACCAGATGCTAATAGCGTACCATAGACAGACACAGGGAAAGAAATTCCCGTTCGTGTTCAGCCAGTGCCAGCCCATCTACGCTCGTAGCATTGCACCGCTGCAGGACTCTCCCTCCGTGAAGATTGTACGTCGATGCTGCCCACTCCCGAAGGATATCATAGTCATCCTGCGCCGCCCAGACCTACACTGCAAAAATCCAATCTGTCCTCCCGGCCCTTCTCTCGGCCATTCGCGTCTCGCCCCCGTCCAACGGGCCCGCGCACGACGGCAAGGAAATCGGAAAGGACGCCGTCACGTACGAGTACAAACAGGTATAAATGCTTTTGTTCCAATATTTCCACTGCGTGCTCATCAATAGCGTCCTCATAGCCTGTGCCCATTCCGTCGTACCTCATCGCCATCGCCGTAGGCAACTTCCGCTACCGGGCTCTCCCTGCGGTCGAGGGTAAGGAGTGGACGACTGGCGCCTGGGCCGAGCCCGAGCTCATTGATGCAACCTACTGGGAGTTCAGTCAGGATGTCGGGAGGTATGCACATTATACTATGTAGAAAGCTCTCTTGCAGGACATGGCTGCTCACCTTCCACCACTAGGTTCTTGTCGACGGCTGAGAAAATCCTGCCGCCATACCGGTTTGGCGTGTTCGATGTTCTTGTCCTCCCACCCTCGTTCCCTTACGGCGGAATGGAGAACGCATGTCTGACCTTCCTTACGCCTTCGCTCCTGGTTGGCGACCGTACTTTGGTGAGGGCAAGCTCAAGTCGCCGGATGATAATATATGCTAACCATAACCAGGTCGACGTTGTTGTGCACGAGCTTACCCACTCCTGGTTCGGCAACGGCGTCACGTACGTCTGCGCTGCCTCCCTACCGCACATCCTTCCCTACTAACAGGACCCATAGCCAAGCGAACTCGACACACTTCTGGCTCAACGAGGGCTGGACGACATACATCGAGCGCGTGCTCCTCCAGCTCCTGCACACGCCCGCCGACCGCGGCTTCTCCTTCCTCATCGGCTCCAAATCCCTGCAGGACGCGCTCAAGCAGTACGAGAAGAAGCCGAAGTACCAGCGGCTCGTGATCGACTTCGACGTCGGCGAGGACCCGGACGACGCGTACAGCACGGTGCCGTACGAGAAGGGCGCGAACTTCCTGCTGCACCTGGAGCGCATGCTCGGGGGGCTCGATGAGTTCTTGCCGTACATCCACGACTATGTGAGCACGTATATGGGGAAGAGCATCACGACGGAGGACTGGAAGGCGCATTTGTATGCGTATTGGGAGAAGCATGGTGGGGAGGAGAAGATCAAGGCGCTCAACAGCGTCAAGTGGGATGTCAGTCTCCGCGCCGCAGTTCATTTCGCCTGTTTGCGGACTAACGACGTGTTGGCGCGTACAGGAATGGTTGTACGGCGAGGGCCTCAAGCTGCCCGTCGAGATGATCTACGACACTGCCCTCGCACGTGAGGCCTTCGCGCTAGCCGAGCGGTGGGATGCCTCCCGGAAGGAGGTTGACGTCTCCAAGCTCAACTTCACGGAGGCCGACATCTCCACCTTCAACGCTAACCAGAGCAGTACGTGCTCCCCTCTTCTTTCCCCGCTCCCTACTCACGCTACCCCCTCCCACAGTCGTCTTCCTCGAGCGCCTCCAATCATACGCCGCGCTTCCGCACACGCACATCCAGCACCTCGGCACGCTGTATGGCTTCCTCGGCACCCCCAACGCAGAGCTGCGCTGGCGCTTCTACGAGGTCGCGCTGCTTGACCCTGTGTCGCCCGCGGCGCAGCAGTTCGCAGCCCCCGCGGCGCAGTGGATCGTCGGCACGGACGGGACGGGCATCGTGCGCGGGCGCATGAAGTTCTGCCGGCCGCTGTTCCGCGCGGTCGCAAGGGCGGACAAGAAGCTCGCGGTGGAGGTGTTTACGGAGCATCGGTTGGCGTTCCACCCGATTGCGCAGCGGTTGATCGAGAAGGTGCGTGTCGTTTTTTTGGTGGGGGATCGGTTGCTGACGAGGAGGGTTTTTGTTGCAGGACCTTGGACTTGTGTGAGCGAAACCGGGAAAGACAATTGCAGATGTCACGTTTGTATCAATATGGTACATGTTGTATGTACGAACAATCTGAATCGACAGCGGGACGCCACTGTGCCTCTTCATCCCCGCGAAGCCAGCTGGGTCCATGTGTGGTCTCGCAAGGAGTCTATCCGTCTTTCCACGACCGTAAAACAAAGTACGTTTTCCACGTCATTCTTGTCCACGTCGTTAGTGACTATGTGGCCTAGCAGCTCGACCAACACATGCCAGGGGCCGCCATAGCCTACTGCTAACTTGGTGCGTCTACAAGCCTTGTAAGGAGGGGCTCGAGCGGGGCGTCGGCGTAGGGTCCTAGCTACGCGGCGGCCTGACTCTAGCTTACGCTTGGATGCAGCGTACAACTTCCGCGTTGCCAGTGGTCGACCGTCGTTTCGTTGTTTTGCGAAACTTGGACACGTTTCATTTCGTCGGAAGGCGAATGCAAACATTGAATATCGCTGACCGGTACAGCTCCAGGCCTGCAACAATATTCCATATAATATCAGGTGGAGCGCCGTTGCCCTCGAGATGCTAATGACGATCGAGCCGCTTGGACTGAATGGCTTCATCGTGTATTTCCGCAGGGGCCTGGCGCAATATCCTCAATGGTCAAAGCTTACGCCACTTGGACATCCGCTGTGCCCCAGAGCAGTATAAATATGCAGGGCTCCCTCCCTACTCACCCCCATCCTCAACCTCGCTCTCAACTTTGTCATCGCCCCCGCAAGTCAGAATTAGTATCACGATGTGTAAGTTCCCACCCAATCACTCCGCTACAACCTCCTCATTTCCCGTCCAACCTCTGTTCTTATAGCTACTCGCGCACCCTGGCCCATCTTTGCGACTACTGTGGACGGGATCAGAGTCCATATGCAGTCTCAGCAAGTGCAAATGGCCCCAGATCGCGTGGACCAACTTACAGCCGATCCACTGCGTTCCTCTGGCACGCCCTACATGCGCGAACTGCTGCGGACAGCCAATTTGCCGGCACTCACAACGCTCGTTGTGCACTACGAAGAAGACGCCGTGGACCCCTCTGGGGCTCCCGCTCGAAGGGAATTCCCCGTGTTCAACCTCCCCTCAGATTCTCAGAGTCGATTTCCCTCGCTGAGCTCTATCAAGATGATCAACGGTTGGATGCGTTGGTCGCCGGCCCTGGCCTCCCAAGTGCGCGTTTTGGAACTAGGCACCAGTGTCGAGGAGGTGTTCCTTGGGCTTCCAGTTGACTCATGGCTCGAATGCCTCGGGAACTTCTCGCGTATAGAGGAGCTTTCCCTCACCCGCTGCTTCGCCCCGCATGTCGGCCCGCCTGGAGGTGTTACCGCCAGCGCACGTCGTCCGCTTGATGCCTCGCGGTTGCGTCTACTGGAAATAGAGGATCACCCCGTCGCCATCGGCATAATCATGTCTGCGCTCATCGTCCCCACATCCGCCACAGTCCATCTTTGCGGCATCGTACGAGAGGCATCCCCTGAGCAGTGCGGCGGGGCGATCTTAGTGATGCTCCCACGTGACAAGTCCCGCCTGCCCATACTGCACTCCTGCAAGGGTGTCGAGGTCGCGGTTCAGGACAAAGAATGCCAAATCATTGCATATGCACAAGAGGGTCACAGCTCCGAGTCCGAGTTGAGCGCTCGGTACCCAGATCAACCATCGCCGAGGTTGTTGCTCACCCTCCACACCAACTTATGCAATCCCGCATTCGACACCGCACAAGAGACCCGGCTATCACTCTTCACCGTCATCCTCTCGATGTTCAAGTACATGTTTTCGGACGCCAAGGACGTCACACTTCTCAAGGTTTGCGGTCCTACCGGCGATTACGACACAATAGACCAACGTTGCTGGGCTGACGCCCTTATTCCCTTCCCCGGCCTTCGCCACCTCATCGCCGACGACGAACACTTCACGTCGTTTCCGGGAACCCTAGTCGACGCCCTCATGATGTTCAACGCGGCACTACCCCACCGCGCCGCGCCTGTCATCTGCCTTGAACTCGACACCCTCGCGCTTTACGGCGATATCGAGGACGAGGTCGAGGGAGCGGCCCTACTCGACCGTATCATCGCGTGTTTGGAATGGCGCAGGGAACGTGGCGGGCCCACGACGCTGCAAAGCTTGAAGATCGGACTATACAGTCCTGCGGCAATTTCCGAGGGGTTCCTCGCGCACTATCGGCGCAAGTTCTATCGCCTCGCGATGAACTGCAGCTTGAAGGTCGACGTGACGGACCATCCGATATATGACCGGTCGCGGTGAGGGCGGATGTGGACCGAATCGGTTGACGCGAAGAATGATCAGGTGCCACTAAGAACAGTACTTATGCTTTGGACAAAGATCCAAATTTCGCGGCTACTATATGATACGTGACCTGTCTCAATAGATATCACCTCAATGACAACGTCCTGAGATCCCACTTATTCCGCCGCTCGGATACTGGAGCCTATATGGATACACCGGCTTCCAGGTTCCACTTCTTCGAATATCTCACAGCGTCTCCTGCGGATGGGCGATGAGTTTCCTGCCGCTCACCAGGTTATTCTTCACGCGTTCGATTCCGTCGGGGATGCCAGCGAGGCCGCCAGGAATCACCTCGACACGGTTAGGCTACCAAGTACAATGAGTCAGCCCGGATTCTCGGCGTATAGTCACCCATCAGCGCACGTACCACAATCGTTCCCGTCTCGAGCCACTCCGTGAGCCGGCTGTAAAGCGCGACGAGGACATCTCTGGTCGCCGGGGTCTGCACGTCCGCGAACACGGGCATGACCCTCTTGTTATCGCCGTCTTTCTTCTTCTCCGCAGGGATTGCCTCCGGATTGACTAAGAGGAGGTTGCCCCCTGGGGCGAGGATGTCGTATGCGAGCGTCTGCGTGTCCGCGGCCGAGACCGGGTCGAACGCGAACTCGATTGGCTTTCCTCCGGCGAGTTTGAGAACCTCGCTCTGGACAGTGGCCGGCGGGAGCGTGCGGTCAATGACGTGCGTCGCGCCGATAGACTTGAGAAACTCCTCGTGGCGGAGCGACGACGTGGTGAGGATGGGCGCAAACCCGGAGAGCCTCGCGAGCTGGATAGCTGTGCGCACATACCACTCGGCTCCACGCATGCAGTATGAGTTGGAGGAGATGCGCACCGTATTGACCGACGGAAGACGATCCGCCGACTATGAGCGCCGGCTTTCCGGCAAACTTGGTCGTGCCGCCTTCTTCCCAGGGAGCGGGGTAGCCTACGCTCTTGGGCTTGGCTGGCTGGCCCACTTCCCAAGGGGCAGGGTAACCGATGCTCGTCGATCCGGGGTTGCGGTTGTACAGTCCGAGGACGACGGTGTTGAGGCCGAGAGGGACAGATGCTGCCTGCTCGAAAGAGAGATTCGGTGGAATCTGCGGTGTTTCGTGTATCAGTTGAGCTGAACCGTCCACACATTCCAGAGCATACCTTCGCTGCGATCTCCGCAGCAACGATGCCGTATTGTTGGAACGCTGCCTCCGGACGCCCGAACCCGCTCTGGTACAAGCTATAGTCGATCGCGTGAGCAAGCATCCTCGTGGGCACGAATAAGCAGGGTGTTGTGCCTACACTCGGTCACCCTTGGCCAGAGTGATGACCTCTGCGCCAACGTCTTCGACGAGTCCGGCGGCATCGAAACCGCCGATGTAAGGGTAGTCGACCATGGAGATCCCGTACGTCTGAATCTTCCAGTCGCCTGGGTTGAGCCCAACGGCGATGATCTTGACGAGGACGTCCTTTGGGCCTGGCGTAGGCACGGGCACTTCGTCAACAGTCCATTGAGCTTTTGGGGCCGGAAGGAGAAGAGCTTTCTGGGCGATAGGAGCCATGACACAAGCAGCACTTTGAGATGATTATCCTCGACGCTCGAAAATGGCCCGGGGACGCTGTGTGGGTTGGGTCAAGCAGAAGAGGTGTCCCAGAATTTATGCGGACCAGACAGGCGCACATGTTGCGAGTGTCCCGGCCAATCGCTACACTGTCATATGTGTCAGATACAGTCTATGCCGAGGAACAATATTTCGGATAGTTTGCACCTGGTATATTCCGCGAGGACGGGCTTTCTGTGAGCCCTCGTGGGATATGAACTAGGTCGTCATTTGTCATACAATTGATGGACGGCTTAGTATGCATGGCTGCGGCGCAATTTCGCGGCGCTAGCACTGAATAGGTCGATGAGATCTCCAGTCCAGCGTCATCAAAGTAGCAGTGAGATGAAGACGAACCTCGTCATATAGTGCATCCGCTGGCCGCAACCGTGGCACCTCCTCAAACTACTGTACTACCTGGTGATCACGCATCACTGGCCATGCGTGCACACAACGTCGACCCCACTGTCACTCATCCCTGTACCGTGATCTGAGATTGTTCACGCAATGCTAGCACAAGAGAGATGTATGAGAAGAGAGGCATGAAGCTTCGAATACGGGAGAGCGATTAATGGTGTGCACGGTCTGAGACACACACGGTCGCGTCGGAGGCGCTTTTGCCGCTTTGGGTATTATGGGCGTCTGCCGAACTTGGGGCGTTGTTTGGCTCTGTTGGGGCCCGGCAGCACAGGGAATTCAGACACGTCTCGTCCGAGTCCTGGCTATCCCCCCCTCTATAGATCACACATCGTCTGCTCAGGGGAGACAACGTCCTGGCGGCGGCCGTGGTCACCTCGTCAAGAGAAATTTGGTTGCCAGATGGGAGCATGCACGATGCGCTTTCAATTTCAAGGTGAGACCTCGGTGTCACTTCCCCGGAGTCCGATGAAGTTGGCTTGGCCTGGATCCACTCAATCCGCCGCGCGCCCGGGCCTTTGAGCCAATGTCGATCTTGTTACTGTGTCGCGCATTGACACAGCCGGCGCACGACGCGGCAGTCGGGTCTAACTGACTAGGTGGCGCCGCCACTGTTGATCTGGTGCATGCCAAAGTCCAGAAAAGATCGGCTCGTGCAAAGCGGTGCCGAGTCCCCACTGCAGGCAGACTGGCCTGGATGCAGCGTACAACCGTGGGTACTCTACTGTTCTGCGAAACTTGAGAACATTTCACTGACACATTTGACTCCAGAGCAGCTTTCCAAGAGGCAGGGAAACTTTCAGCCGGTACAAGCGGACAGACTGAGCCCCGGAATATTGTAAGACTTTCCCTAACCATTGTTGACTGCTCCACGTCCGCAGACAATACTCTGCTTAACAGCAATGCGCCGATCATTTGGACTGGACGACTGCATCAGGCATTCACGCAGGGTCCGGGTGCGAGCCCCAACGGCCAAAGTGTGCGGTGCTTTGACGTCCGTCATCAGCCTTGGGCAAAAGTATAAATATCCGGGGTTGTCGAGCCCCTACTCACCTGCCCATCTTCTACCTCGCCCTCAACCTCTCTCATATCTCTTGACTAGAACACTATGGTGAAACCTATCGACATGAGTCCCAACAACGTCGAGCAGCTCGTGCATATCGTGAAGGGCAAACGTAAGTTTCTATCCGGTCACTCGACTATCATGCCATTCTGATCAGCTTCCCACACCCCATTTTTTCTAGTTGGTGCCTCAAGGGCAGCCCCACTTGCTGTCGACGCGCCCTCAACGATAGTTGCGACTACTGGCGACGGCGAGACAAGGAACATCATACCGTCTCAGCAGGATGAAATCCCACTGGATCGTGTGGTTGATCTTACCGCCGAGTCTCTGCGTTCCTTCGACGCAGACTACATGTTTAGACTTCTGCGGAACGCCAGCATGCCGAAGCTGGACACACTCGCCGTGAAACACGAAGTCCCTGTACCCGTCTCAGGGGGTCCCACCTTCCTGCCAGCGCCCCCCGTGTTCGACCTCTCTCCGGCCCAACTCCCCACTCTGAGCTCTATCAAGATGACGTATGCCGCGATCCGTTTCCTGCCGTCCCTAGCCTCCCAATTACGCATCTTGCACATAGACAGCGGCATCGCAGGGATTTCACTTGGTCTCTCTCTCACACCATTCCTCGAAAGCCTTTGGAGCCTCTCGCGTATAGAAGACCTTCGCCTCATCCGGTGCTTCGCCCCGTCAGCCCCCCAGGGAGATCCTGCCAGCGCGCGTGGTCCGCTCAACGCCTCGCAGTTGACGAACTTGGAGATAGAGGACTATCCCTGGAACATCGGCCGGATCATGACCGAGGTTAATGTCCCCGCATCCGCTTTGGTCACCCTCTCCGGCACCGTGCACGGGGCGTCTCCCGAGCAATGCGGCTTGGCGATCCTGGCCATGCTTCCCCGCGATCGAGTCCGCCTTTCCGTTCTGCGCTTCATCCAAGCGCTCGTGGTTTCGGTCATTTCATACCGATGCGAGGTCACTGCCTACATGCGGGAGGATGATGCTAGCAGGCCACTCCACCCCCTGGTCTCATCGGCTCTACATCTGCGCCTTCTCACCGACATATGTGACGACGAGAACCACTATTCCAGTACCTCGCCGGCCGCTCGACTATCACTCTTCTCCACTCTCCTTTCCGGGCTCAAGCACATGTTTCCGGACACCAGGGGCGCCACATATCTCAGGATGGACGCCCCCGATGGGTTCGAAACCATAGCACAAGCTGTTTGGGTCGACACCCTTATTCGCTTCCCCAACCTCTGCCACCTCGTCGCCCACGACGAATATTTCCGAGAGTACCCTAGACCCTTGCTCAACGCCCTCAGCGTCCCCGGGGGGCGCTCCGAGCCTCCAGCCTCACTCCTCTGCCGTAACATCCACTCCTTCGAGCTTTGCGGCGGTGAGATCGATGTCATGGACATCGACAGTGACAGCTGGGACATTGATACCGAGGACGACGACAACGACAACGAGGACGGCGACATCAAGGACGGCCCAAGAGTGGATCAGCTCGACCACATCGTCGCATGTATGGAATCGCGCAGGAAACACGGTGGACCCGTGCCGCTGAAAGTCTTGACCGTTGTGATATCCAGTTCTGTGGATATTCCTGCGCAGCTCTTCGCACGGTATCGGGGCAAGTTCGAACACCTCGCCCAACATTCCGACTTGACTGAGAACGAGGAGTTCAAGTTGTTGGAAGGGAACTAGTTGAGCTGATGGACACTGGGTTAGGGAGTTTGCGACTGTTATGAGCTACCGTATGATACACGACTTGTATGCATTATCACTCTGATGAAGATGTACTGAGATTCCGAGTTCGCTTGAATTCGTTGCCCACGTACTAGGATCTGCAGGCACAGCAGCTTCCAGCAATCTTCATGCACTCGACCCTGTCGGGAACGCCAGCGAGGCCGCCAAAAGTCACCTCGACGCGGTTAGCCTATTGACACAGAACTTCAACTCTGCATTCTCTACGTTTCAATCACCCTTGAGTGTACGTTCCACGTTCGTCCACGTCTCGAGCCCCCCCTTGAAGTCCGCAACTCTACCGGCCGTAGGGCGCTGGCGTAACGAGGTCATCTCTGGTTGCTGAGGTCTGCACGTCTGCAGATACAGACATGATCGTCTTGTTGTTGTCATCCTTGTTCTCCGTATGAATCGCCTCCTGATTTGCTAAGATAAGGTCGCCCCGGAGGCGAGGAGGCGAGGAGGTCGTATGCGCCGAGCGGCGTCCGCATCTCCACAACCTCGGATTTCGGCCGAGGTCGAACGCGAACTCGATCGGCTTTCCTCCCGCGAGCTTTGAAACGTCGCTCTGGGTAGCGGTCGGTAAGAGTGTGCGGTCGATTGCGTGTATCGTCCCGGGAGACCGCGAGTGAAACTTAGTAAAGCTTTCAGCTTCAAGTTCAGACAGAGTGGTGGGCTACGGCGGCCCATATCGGATCTGCATCACTGGCATCGTAACGTCGTGAATGGGAGATTCAAACGGATGCTCACCCGCAATAGTAGATTTTCGAATGGATGCACGCAGCTGCCACAAGCCTGACCTGTAATTACAAAATTACACCGCTGGTGGTGTAAAAGAGAGCGTTCACAGTGTAGGCCTACGAGCGTCTATACAAAACCGGGACGTTGTTTGTCCTTGTTGATTCCTGGTCAGGAACGCGCCAAAACCGTACCGAGCGCTCTCATAGCACTTGTTCGGTGGCGACCACCGCATCGTCAGTATACTGGGGCAATAGTGGAGACGACAACCCCTCAATCCTACCTACTAGGTCATGAACACTGCTCTCATCGAACTCAAGAGGGGTATGCACGGTATCAACAGGCGCAAGCAACACCAGCTTTGTCCTCGGAATGGATCCGACACTGTGCTACCACCACCCATTATTATGCGTGCATGTCCGCAGTGGCCTAAGCTCTGAAGTGGCCCGCTTTGTTCTCGACGATATAAATAGCCTGGGGGCTGCCAGTCTTCCTCTTCAGTACGCCTGTACACATCCTCTCTCCCAGCTCTAGAACCACTCTCCTCGTACTCTCGTCCTGCCAGGTTGACCATGGATATCGAAATGGCAGACGGCACACGCTCAGCTCAGCGGGGCCAAGTGGGAGGTGTGTCTACCATTCTTCTAAATTATACCCTTTCTGACCGTCCTCAAGTCCGTCCGATGGGTTCACGCCCTAACACTCCAGTCGAAGGAGCGGGAAAATCAGCATCGCACCCAGCGGAAGTCCAGGTAGATTGCGTGGAGACCTTCGTAGCATTGCATATGCGCTCTCATGAAGTGTCTCAAATGCGTGCGCTTTTCGGCCAGGCACGCATGCCCAAGCTGACGACCATCCTCGTCGACTACAAGCCTGAGGACGACACCGCGTCCGGGGCTGCCGGGGCCACACCAATGGTTTTGGACATCGCGCTCGATCGGTTCCCCGCTCTTGAATACATCGCCTTGACGGATGCTGCGGCCGCCTTGACACCCTCTCTGGCCTCTCCACTACGCTATTTGACAATGGGTAATGATGGGTCCACGGGATCACAGCTTAGACTTCCGCTTGCGCCCTTCCTCGATTGCCTGGCGAGTTTTTCCCGCCTGGAAATACTCAGAATCCGAGAATGCTTCGCAGCGCCTACCCCCCCGCCGCTTGGTGGGCCCGGCGCGCGTCCAGTTCAACTCCCTCTGAAGGACGTCGTGATCGCGGACTACCCCTCCAATATCGGCCGAATTATATCCAGGCTCTCCATCCTCTCCTCTGCTAAAATCTACCTCAGGGGAGAAGTGCGCGGCGCATCCCTCCAGCAGTACTGCTCGGCGTTCATGGCGATGCTCCCCCGCGACATCAAGACTTGTCTGCCGGCTCTGTGCTCGGTCGCGAATATCGAGGTGCTGTGTAACAGCCAGGAGTGCTACATCCTCGGCGCACCGGATGTCAGTAACCAGTCCGACGATGACCACCAAATTACCCTCCAGCTCTCTACCGACCTCCTACGCGATAACGACGAGGACGACGCCGCAGCACAGGCGGCGCGGGGTGCGCTCCTCCACACAATGCTCCAAAACATCGTATCCATCTTCCCTGGCACCCCTGCCGCCTCCCGCCTCAAAGTCTTTGGCCCCGTCGACTACATCCCCCTGGGGGTCTGGCACTCCGTCCTCAGGCAATTTCCCTCTCTTCAGCGTCTCATGGTAGACGACGCCACGCTCCGCCACTTCCCGTACGGGCTGCTCTCCGCGCTTAGCTCCCCGCTTCCGCCGACCAACCAGACCGTCATATGCCCCAAGCTCGCGGAACTCGAGATCTACGGGGACTGTGGGGAGGACGAAGGCGGGGAAGAGGGCGACCCGCTCCGCGCCCTCTTCGAGTGCCTGCAATGGCGCCAGACGCACAGTGGCGGCGGCATACTGCGCAAGTTGGACGTACTGCTGTTCAGCGACGCGATGTTGGAGGACGAGCGTTTCGAGCGTTACCGGGCCCGGCTCGCGCCCCTTGCGCTAGACTGCGAGGTGGCCTACCAAGTGATGGATGGGTTGCGCATCCGCCGTGACTAGCGTTGCATGCCGGACATACAGCATGTGGATATGTGGTGCGGGTTCGCGGGTAGGTGTGGCCGAGGGCCTCGACAAAGACGAATGTGGATCATGTGTATATGGGCTGGTTGATCAATGTAATGCTATTCACTCGAACGGAACTTGACCTTCATCACAAGGAAACGATGAACCTCGCGGCCGAGAGCGACAATAATGCAGTAGTTTGAGTAGACGAGTATAGGAGCCCGCCGAGGTGTAAAAAAGACATAGAAGCAACGAAAGGTAGCAAGACGAAACCCGATGCACCCCACACCAATAGACCAGTACTACCCCCACTGAAGTATTGCTTGTATGAACTGACTGATCCCGGACGCTTCATTCGCAGGGGCGAGGTGGCGCGACCACCGGTTCGTCGACGCCTGCGAGTGGCCCGTCTTCCGCGAACCAGTCAACCTCAGTGAACCACTTCTCGCCGCCGCCAGCCTTCCCTCCTCGTTCCATCCCAGCACTCATCTTCGTCTGAGCACGTGCCACACCAAGATCGCCCTGAGCATGCGCGAACCCAGGAGAAACAGGCCCATCCACGACAAACACGCCCTCAGATTCCGAGCCAACCAGGTGCGGCGACACTTGCATATGCGCCAGCTGCGTCACGGGTGCGGCGCTAACGATGTCCAGGCGCGAGATCGCGCTCTTGAAGCTCGCCCCCGTCGTCGCAAAGCTCGACCCCGTGTTGCTCCTCGTAAACGACACCCCAGCACGCCCAAGAGATCCGAGCGACCCCAGCGAGCCAAGCGACAAGTGCGGTGCAGGCGGGCTCAGCTCGGAAAACGTTGTGGCGCCCGCGTCGTCCGAGAATGACTGCGCGGGCGAGACGAACGCGCTGCCAGTAGTGCCCGGGGTCGAGAACCCGAGCGAGGGCGTTCCGACCGGCGACGGGCATCCAAGGGCCCCAGTGCTGGTCGCCGTTATGATACTGACCCCAACACTGCGCGCCCAGGCGACAGGGGCGTCCCCGCTAGCGAGGTGTGTAGCTGGCGCCCCGGTCTCCCATGCGAGAGGGGTGAAGTCGACGACGGGGTGGGTGATGATGGCGGCCTCGCGGTGTCCGTTCTCGTCGTTGGGTGCGCGGGGACGGGGGATGGAGGCATGCACGAGGGTTTGGGATATGACCAGAGAACGTGCGGCGCGCGAAGAAGCAGAGGTGGGACGAGCGGTACCTCCGGAGCTAGACCGAGGTGAAGGAGTCGAGGGTTGGGCAGGCGAAGACGCGCGTGCGGCACGGGCGAAGCGGGAGCTCACAAAAGGCGCGTAGCGGTTAGAAGGCTGAGGCAAGTGCATCCGAGAAGCAAAGCCATAACCAGGCGCAGTAGCAGTCCGGGAGGGAGACCTCGTCGAAGCGTCGACGCCAGAGACAGCCGTAGTATGGGCCAGTGCCGTGCCCTCCGGGTATGTAGAGAACTCGCGAGCGCCGACCAGCGTGGACGTGCTGGAGTTGGTCGAGGTCGTACGAGCAGGAGCTAGAGGACGCATAGAAGGATACCGCAACAAGGCTGGATTGGGCAGCTTAGCGAGCGACTGCGTGCGGCTAGCAGCCATGGTCATCCTGGAGACCATCGCACCATTCTCGTGCAGCCGAGCGTCGATCTGAGCATCGAGGACATCTTGCTTGCGCCGGCTGCTGCAGCGACGAAGGAGCAGGACGACGGCAATAAAGGCAATTCCGCAGAGAACACAACCTGCTGAGATGGCATAGTTCACGATGTTGGGGTGCGCCTTGGAGAGCTGCGTCGGACCAGCGGTGGGATTGTAGTGCTGGAGGTGCCCGATGGCCTCCGTCGGGGTCGGCGTCCGGGGGTACAAGGCAGACATGGCCAGCGGTGTGGGGCGTAGTGGTCGAAGCAGAACAGCAAGGCATTGGGATGCGGGCCTCCCGGCCCCAAGTAGAGGCTGACATGGTACTGGCCTCCGACCTAAAAGTTGGTGATGGAGGCTGGCAGAGGCAGCCCCCATCCTTCTTCCCGACGCTCGGTTTGATAGAGTGTGACCGGCGGCCGTGACGGTGGCGAACGCGTCGCGCCGGATTGAGCGCGCCGTCGGCTTCGGGCTCGACCACCACCACGCTTCCCTGATCCTCGCTCCTGCTTCTGCCCTGTGAACCGTACTCTGTAACTGTAAAACAATGGAGGACTCGCTTGTCTCGCGTCGTCCGAAGCGGAGCACCGCGGGGAACCGCATGGAGGCCGCGCTCGCCGAATTCAAGGAGGAGGAACTAGGCATGGACGTCGACGAGGACGCAGATTTTGCGATGGACAAGGGTGCGCGCGCAGTGAGCTTGGTTCTGCCTTAGGTCTGAGCATGGAACGCCCGCATAGACGAGGAAGATATCTTCGAATCCGACTTTGAGTCTACGGATGAGGAGGGTCAGCAGGAGGATGTCGACGCGGTTGCGGAGAAGATGATTCGCCAGGAGGAGTCACACACGCGCAAGGTTCGCTCACTCTCGTCTGGCTACTTGGCCTTCCACCCTTTCGCCTAAACGCAGTAACCCCGAAGCACCCTTACAGACCAACCGAACGCATTTAGAACGCATCACCGCGCTCGCGCACGCACGGCAAGCCGCCACCTTCCATCCCGAACTCGTAGCGCCGCCCGAGAAAGAGAAGACAGAGAAGAAGATCCGCAGGCGCGTCTCGCTCGGCGTCGCCGTGGATGCAGAAACAGGAGAAGTTACTTCCCTCGGACAGGATACTGTGGACGAGGTTGAGTCTGCGAGTGTAGCACTTGGCCGAAGGCACAGTACACGCACGCACACCGTCGCGAACACCTCCGCGACAGTTAGCAGGGTGAAGGACGAGGAGCGCAAGGTGCGTCCCGGTCTTTCCTCAGCAGCGCTCTCGCACTAACCTCCCCACTCAAGCAATCGTCCGCGCCTAAGCGTGCCAAGTTCAAGAATAAGGCACTCACGCAGGCAGAGCTCATCGCACGCGCGCTCGACATGGAAGAAGGGAATACTGAAGAGCACAAGAACTACCTGACTATCGAGGAAGAGAAACGTCGAAAGGCTCGGGTAGTTCGCGCAAGCGTGCAAGGCCCCCTGCTGCGGTGGACCAGCAGGACAGAAGAAATTACTGTCCGGATAGACCCTGCTCCCCCTGCGGTCATGTATACCCAGTATCCGCCACCTTACGGCGGCGCACCAGGGTACTCGTATGTTCCTCCGCAATACATGCCCCCGCACCATGCATCACCATCTGGGCCACAGTCACCGTTCCAGCAATGGCCCCCGCCTCCACCCCCAGCCCCAGCTATGTACCATACTGAGCCTCCACCTCAACCCTACGTTCCTCCTCCACCCCCACAGCCCGTCTTCCGCAAGGAGAAGGCCGCGAAACAGTACGTCGTACACGAGCTGGAGCAGGTCGAAAAGGCAACCCGGCCAACGTGGAGCAGTACAATGACGGCTATGTTTGGCGATCACGCCGACTGGGAGAACATGCGTGTTTACACAACCAAGGGTCGGCCATTCGGTATGCGCACCATTCACGTTCGCGTCAGAAAACGACTGACCCTGTTCGCTCAGTTCGCCCGACGCAAATATGCCCCATCACAGGCAGGGCGGCGCGTTACTTGGACCCGCGGACCAACGTCCCCTATGCGGACTTGGAGGCTTATCGGGTACTCAGCGGGGTGCTCCGCCACGAGCATGTCTGGAGCTCCGCTCTGGGGTGCTACGTTTCGAAAGAAGGCAGCGTGTTCGCAGGTCCGAGTTGATACACGATATGTGAGTGGAGGTGATTATACAGCGCATATATGCGGACGAGTCTTGCATGTCGCCATGGGTCAATCATGTACGAATGCGCCCGCGAGCCAAGTATTGCGTGTCGCTGTATATGCACAATATACGCAGAAATGTAACATGTAAGTCCCACTGAAGATTAAGCAGCATTCTGGAGCTGCCCAGTGCCCTGCATGGTGCACCACTCGCTCCACGTGATCGCGCTTCGACGCGTTAACATACGCGTCTGTGCTTGACACCCGAGCAGGCTTTCTTCTTGACCACCACCACCAAACCATGTCTTCGATCTCCAGGCCCTACTCTGCGCGTCCTCCCACGTCGCGCCCTGGGACGGCGATGTCCCGTCCACGGTCCGCAATGTCTCGCCCCACTACTGCCCGTCCCCAGAATGCTGCCTCATCGCGTGGCCCCGAAGGTAGCTTCATCATTGCCGTGCTCGAGGGACGCGGCGTCGGGAGGGAGGTTGGAATGGCGGCTCTCGACAAAGACACCGGACGTGTCGCTTTGATCCAGGTACGTGTTTATATCTCGTATATGCGGATGAAGCGATCTTATAACGAGGCTATGTAGCTTGCGGACTGTCCGACATACGTGAAGACGCTGCATCAAATGCATATACACAGCCCCGCCATGATCCTTGTTCCCGACACTTTCTTTTCTCCCACCGATATATCGATGCCGGCTGGCGGCAATAAGTCTCACTCGACTTCGTTGCTCGTACAGTGCATCACGGACGAATTCGAAGGTGTTCCCATCGAACCCGTCATGCGGCGGTACTGGAATGAGAACGCAGGTAACTCAGGCCCATATTCCTTCGCCACGCCGATTGCGATTTAACACTCCATATCAGGGCTTGAATTCCTGAACCAGCTCACCATAGACGACGACGAGCGCGCAGCTACACTCGTTGCTGTGTCCAACAAGTCAGTATATGCGCATATATGCACATTCTATGTCATGTCCTGACTTAAACCAGGTATTACGCCCTCTCCGCTGCGAGTGCCCTCTTCAAGCACACCGAGCTCAGGCTCAACACCCGATATGTAGCCAACTCTCTGCTTATTCGGTACACCCAGGTCGAAGGCACGATGCTGATTGACTCTGGCACGGCCCGTAACTTGGAGCTGGTGGGGAATATGTCCACGCGGAAAAGTGCACACTCTTTGTTTGGGTAAGATGGCACATCCCCGCGTGATTTTGATACTGATTGTTCGGTCTAGTCTACTCAATCATACGTTCACCCCCATGGGTGCTCGCCTTTTGCGAGTGAATATCTTAGCACCTATCACAGGTTCGCCAAGGTTCGTTCCTTTAGATGTTCCTCTCTAACGCAAAGCCCCAGTGAAATCAGCTCTCGAAGCTCGCCTTGATGTGGTGGAGGGTACGATGTATGCATAACAGCTTGCAGTACGCGAAGACTAATACTTCGGCAGAACTCATTCAGACCGAAGATCGTTTCAACGAAGTGAAGAACGCGATGAAGCCTCTCAGCAAGCTCGACCTGGACAAGCTCATCAGCTCGGTATGTATCATAGTCATCTCGTCCACAGCCCGGCTTGCATGCTTACACCTATTCTACTAGCTCGCTTCCTCAGAAGTGCGCGAAACAAGCAGCGCGAAATCTGCCTCCGCGCGCGTCGCTCAGATGTTGAACTTGCGGAGCATAGTACAGAGCCTCCCTCGGCTTGCCAAGGCGCTCGATGGTAGCCGTGCTCAACTCTTACAGATCATCGCCGAGGTAAATCCAGCGTCGTATCCGTGTTGTCGCGCGATGCTAATCGAGTGCACTGGGAAGATGATCTCAGACGAACGATTGTACAAGATTGACGAGCTCGTTAGAGCAAGCTTGAACGATGAAGCCGCACCTGCAAAGGTATGACAGCTATTCTACACTTCCTAGCGGGGATACCTTACTGTTCTGCAGGGCGGTCTGAATGCAGTGAATGCTCGTGTATACGCTGTCAAGGTGAAGCCGAAGTTGAAAGGCATCGTCAAGAGCTTGCTGAACGTTGCCCACATAGGCAAACTACAACCGCCTTCTCGACGTCGCGCGCGAGACGTATAAGGAGAACGTCGGAGACATCTACGCTCTCCGTGCTCGTCTTGCCGAAGAGCACGACCTCCCGCTCACTCTTGTCTACCGTGATTCAGATGCGGGGTTCGTCTTCGCGCTGAAGAAGACAGACCTCAGTGACGCCGGCGGCGAGCTACCACGGGGGTTTATAGACGTCACCGCCCAGAAGGGACGTGTGACGTTCGCCACCATCGAACTGGTAAGGTACAACCAACTGAGCTACCACTCTAAAGCCCGTGACACTCCCGATAGAAAAAACGAAATGCGCGAATGAAGGACGCACTGGACGAGACGCTCATTCTCAGTGACAAGTATGTCATGGTCTTAGGCTCTACATTCTGCCCTTGACCATGCCCCACAGGATCATCCAAGACCTCACCGACGACATTGTGGTCGATATCGGCGCCCTCTACAAAGCGTCCGAAGCAGTTGCGCTACTCGATGTGCTGTGGTCTTTCGCACACGCTTCCATACGTACGTGATTGCTTATACTCTATGGAGGTGCATTCATTCACCAATACGCTAGTACGTAACTACGGTGAGCCAGCAGATCATATGCGACGAGCACCAAACCTGAGGACGGCTTGACTACTTCGACAGTCCGTCCCGAGTTCACCGGGACGCTCGCAATCAAGGGCGGCAGGCATCCCGTGCTCGAAAGCGTCCAGTCTGCAGGAGCAATGGTTCCGAACGACGTATACTGCTGCGAGGCGTCATCGTTTCAAATCGTCCAAGGACCCAAGTGCGCCCCTTCGCTGTTTCCGTATACCAACGACTCATCATCGCTATGCGTAGCATGTCCGGCAAGAGCACATACCTGAAGCAAATCGCCCTCCTCACAGTCATGGCGATGTGCGGCTGCTTCGTGCCAGCAGAATACGGTTCTTTCCAGTTCGTCACACCTAGCTCCTCACGTTTTGAAGGAGACTAACAGCACGGCGGTCTGCTTCAGCATTCAAGATGCACTTCTGACGCGCCTGTCCAACGACGACGATCTGGAGAAGAGTTTGAGCACGTTCGCTAACGAAATGGCGTCTACAGCGATGATCCTAGGTTTGGCCACATACGACTCGCTCGTGTTAATCGACGAAGTCGGGCGCGGCACGTCAGTCAGGGAGGGCGTCGCCATCTCGCATGCCATCGCCGAGGAGCTAATCAGGCTGAAGGTACGGCGCGGCCTTCAGCGCTTTGTCTCACTGCTCACCCATCTATGTTCCTCAGCCGTTCGTATTCTTTGCAACGTGAGGCCCATTGCGCTCTCAGCTCGTCGCAGAGCTCATCACTCTTCTCTCCTAGCCATTTTTCTGAACTCACCACAACGCTTTCACGTCAACCTTCTGTGGTCAAGTACGTCTTTCTTTTCATCTCATGCGTACCAGCTAGACGTCTTCGTTGTAGTCTCCATCTCTCGGTCCAAGTGAGCCTACATTCACTGCCATTCTGAAGCTCCTCACAAATCCGAGACAGAAATCACGCCCTACCGCTTCCAAGTTCGGCATAACGTTCCACTACAAGTAGGTCATCAGGCAGGGCTTCCAACAATAGTTTATATGCTCAACTGCATGCAGGATCATCGACGGCGCTCCAGAGGTGTTCGACCACTACGGTAAAGCATCGTCTCGTTCATCCCACTATACGCTTGCCGTTCTCATTCTCGTAGGTCTCGACCTCGCGAGACTCGCTGATCTTCCTGCACCGGTCGTCACCGAAGCACGCCGCGTCGCTGAGCTCCTGACAGAGCAAGAAGAGCGGGACATGGAACAAAGCCGGACTAGCAAGCTCGCGGTGCGCCGCAAGGCGCTCCTCAGGGTAATCTCTCGTCGCTTTCCTCTCATTCGCTCATCTCTGAAGTTTTCTGGTTACTCTAAACGTCGGCATCTGGGTCCGGGAACTGGCGCACTTGTACAACTTTGGCTGGACTCGGCACTGGCAGCTGCGCACACAACTGGGACAGGCTCTCGACCACTCGACTCTCCCGGACGAGGAGCTTGCGGCGTACCTCGCGCGATTCCAGAAGGACATCATGGCGGTCCTTCAGCAAACTATGTGATCACCTCTTGTGGGCCTGGTAGTACGATGCTGGCACTGCATCACAGCTGTGCTCTCCTATTCATGTTTTTCGTCTGCCGTCCGGGACCCTCGGCTTCTCCTTCTCATAGATATTGAAATTACAAGGGCGTGCCGTACTTACGGGTGCATTCGAAAACCTTACATGAGCACTAAACTCACGCTTGCCGATACTAATGACCATACTTCAGCCGGTCGGGGACCTTTGTGAGTATTTTTTATGAACGGATGGCATCTTCTGCCGAAAGTTATATCCCAAGTTCTATACAAACGCATATGTCATACCCCTATCGGAGCGCCAGTCGTCTGTGTATGGCCATGTTGGGTACCGTGTAGCTGCGCTGCCACTCCAGTGCAACGCAGGACACGAGCGGTCGGCGGCATTCAGGCTCTTCGTAGGTCTCTTCAGTTCTAGCTCTGATCACACATTCTTCCGGTCGGGATATTATTCCATAGTCTGCCGCACGAGTGAGTTCTGTGTGCCAGAGCGACGGAACATGCATATGCAGCAACTACGCGCGCCAAGCCTCCGAATCCGTCTCATCCTATACTCCCTCAGGCTCTCGGGTTAGAAACTGCGGCCGCCGTTTCGCTGAACAACGCTGCGTTGGCCCAGATACAGTTGGTAAGCGACAAGAGGCGAGCTCGCTGGACAAACGGGAAGAAAACAAGTCGGATACTCTCTCCTCCGCCCATCGATATATTCTTCCGCTGGAGCCTCAGCTTACAAACCTCCCAAAACGCGTCTTACTCAGCCACCCCCAGCCACCCTCACCCATGTCGCGACGCGGATTCCTCCTTTGCACGCGGCGGCCCGCGCTTCCTGCCGTTTCTTTTCTCCTCGCCTGGCCTGTTGATATGTTTTCCCTCATCTCGCGTTCGCACTATAAAAGCTAGCTCGCGTCGCCATGTCGTGTCTGCACATCCACACCTTCGATCGATATGGCCCCGCAATTCAACGCTCCCGCCGCAGGCACCTCTTACTTCACCCCCGCTCAGTACCCGCCCGCGGGTACCGTCTACGACCCTCAGCCCGATGGCAAGGCCATCCCCATTCTCTTCACGCCCCTCAAGATTCGCGGCGTTGAGTTCCAGAACCGCATTTGGGTAAGTCTCTGTGCTCTCGCCAGACTACTGCATAAGCTTACGCCTTCCACTGTGCAGCTCTCCCCTCTCTGCCAGTACTCTTCCGAGGATGGCGTGATCCAGGAATGGCAGCACGCGCATCGTGAGTACCCCCGCGCGCCCTGCCCGCGCACGCGTACCTAGCACTAACTCACGCGCACAGTCGGCGGCATCTTCACGCGCGGGCCCGGCCTCACCATGGTCGAAGCCACCGCCGTCCTCCCCGAGGGCCGCATCACGCCCGAGTGCGCCGGCATCTGGAACGACGCGCAGGCCGCCGCCTGGTCCAAAATCGTCGAGTTCGCGCACTCACAGGGCCAGAAGATCGCGATCCAGCTCGCGCACGCCGGCCGCAAGGCGTCCACGCTCGCGCCCTTCGTCAACTTCGGGCGCGTCGCGGACGCCGCCGCGGGCGGCTGGCCCGAGGACGTCCTGGGGCCGAGCACGATCCCCTTCGCCGAGCAGTTCCCGCAGCCGAAGGCGCTCACGAAGGCAGGCATCGAGCGCATCGTCGCGGGCTTCGTCGCGGCCGCGAAGCGCGCGGTGCGCGCGGGCTTCGACGTCGTCGAGGTGCACGGCGCGCACGGGTACCTCATCAGCTCGTTCCTGAGCCCGACGAGCAACGACCGCACGGACGAGTACGGCGGGAGCTTCGAGAACCGCGTGCGCCTCGCGCTCGAGGTCGTCGACGCCGTGCGCGCGGTCATCCCGCCGACGATGCCGCTGCTGTTCCGCGTCAGCGCGAGCGAGTGGCTCGAGGAGGTCTACCCGGACCGCCCGTCGTGGCGCTCGGAGGACACCGTGCGTCTCGCGGGACTCCTCGCGGAGCACGGCGTGGACCTGCTCGACGTGTCTTCGAGCGGGAACCACCCCGCACAGAAGATCAAGACCGGGCCCGCGTACCAGGCGCACTTCTCGGAGGCAGTCAAGAAGGCGCACGGGGACAAGATCCTCGTCGGCGCCGTCGGCTCGCTCGACAGCGGACACGTCGCGGAGGCCGTACTGCAGAAGGGCCAGGCGGACGTCGCGTTCGTCGGACGGCTCTTCCAGAAGAACCCTGGACTCGTGTGGACGTTCGCGGACGATCTCGGCGTGGAGATCCACCACGCTGGTCAGATCGGCTGGGGCTTCAAGGGACGCGCGAGAACGAATGTGCAAAAGAACGTCAACAAGTACGTCATTTAGTTGTTTCAGTTTCCAGGCTCTTCACTCACATCGTCTTCTATAGGTTGTAGACGTACACGGATGTATTCGCCGGGGTCGCTTTGTCAATAATACACTCTATAATCGCACTAGATGAGACGGGGAGAGCTTGAATACAAGTACATCTCGTTATGCAACTTTCAACGACGCAGTCAAATCTTTCCGCGTTCTGCTGCTCTTCTGCGCACTGGGAGTGTCACCCAAAACACCGTATCCGGAGAGGACGACGAGGCAGGGTGCGAGCATAAGGGACGGTATGACGATGAAGGAGGGGGCGACGACGAGGAAGAGGGCTGCAGCGGGGAAGAACACCACGGCCCGTAACTCTATAGCCGCTGCCGTACGTTGCCGCTTACCGTCCTTATGCTCCGTCCCGGGCTCCCTCAGTCTGGCTTTGGGCCTTCCATCGGCTTGATATGTTGCGCGCTGACTCTGCTCGAAGGCCAACCCTTCCTCTCTAGCGAGTGCCAGGCATTCCATAGCGACTCTGTGGTTAATGTACAACTCAGAACACGCGTTCGAGTTTCGGATGGTGATGACGTACCGTGCTCGGATAGAGAAGGACCGTGCACCGAGCTTCTGCTGCCACATAAACGGGAATGCACTTTTCCGGGAGCGAAGCGGAGGACAGAAGACGATGTTGGACGGGATGGCTGTCGGGTTTTCGTCTGTTGACCAAAAGCCCCACGGGATACGACGATCAAACAGGGAGTGGTGGTGTAGGTTGTCGTGTTCCAGCAGGAAGAACCACAACGGTGCCTCGGAAGTTTGTTGTGTCGTGTCAACGGTCTCCAATATCGTCTCCAACGTGTACGCCATCACTGATATTGCTCGTTTAGCTTTGACGCATAGTCGACAAGCGTACGACAGTATCAAACACACCTACAGTGGCAGGCTGTCTGTCCGGAATGGTGGCACTAAAGAAGTTTGAGGGCAGATCCAATCGTAAGGTCAGAGTAGTTCCTGGTCGCAACTGCACAGAATGACGCCTGTGGAGGTCGTAAAAAGATGAAGGTGATGAGAACCCAGGCCGATTGTTCAAGTTCACACCGATGCTCACCTCAACCATGTTGTCCCGTTGGATGCAAAGGTGAACTGGTTCTTGTTCCGAAAGGTTGCTGATGAATTCTCGCCAGTAGGAGGTTCACAGTAGTGTGTATCAGGGAGACGTGAAGAGCGAACACCAGCCCCGGTTGCGTTAGTCGCTGGGCCACCCGGGGTGTTCGGCGGCGGCGGCGGCGGTGAGTCTGACTGAGCGTATTCACGAGGAGGACGGCGATTCTCCATAATGTCCTTCAGCCACCTCGGGGGGTGCTGCTGTTCAGCCAGCCATGCCTTGAATGGTCCGATGAGGTAAAGGGCCGTATGCAACTGAGCCAGGTCGAAGTCAGCGGCCGCGGACTGTGCAGAGCCATACAGAAATCAACACATGGATAAGCCAGCGTTGTGTTATTGAGCATGCGTACCAACGGATCGGTGGACTCTGGCTGTTTGTGAGGGCTCCTAGTACCATACTTGCGAACAGCCCCTCCCTTCAATAAGGGCGGTTCGTATGCATGTCCGTCACCAGCAGCCGCTCTCATCACGCCACGAAGTTGTTCCATTCTATCTAAGCGGGCGATGATCTCTTTGTTGTGGGCCTGTTGTTGGTTATGAGCCTTGCGTTGCCGCTCGTCGGCTTGCGAGATGCGAAGGATGACGTAGCGCAGCTTGCCACCCAGAGATTGATTGCCATGGTATGTAACGCCAATCTGGAATGACCATTGTTAGAGAGCGCGTCTGACATTCTCTGAACTACTATACGCATACCTGGAGGAGTATCATAGCATCTTCGAGTTTATCGTTCAACTCCTTGACCTGTGCAGCGATCTCCCCGTGTTCGCGAGCGAAAGCAAATCTGGATTTCTTGAGACGGCCCTCTATCAACCCCTGGATTCCCTGCAGGGTGCTGCCAACCGTAAAGCTAGGTAAGCAGTGATTTCTAAAGTAAAACAACAGATATAACTTACCAGAGGAACTCTTCTAGATCCGGGCCGATTTCATCATGGCTGTCACGACCTTGCAAGAGATCGGACACCTTCAGCGAAATATCCACTGCCCGCTCGCTGAGCCTTTTACAAGCATCTTTGGTGTCTTTGATTTTCTGCAAGCACGTCCTCGGTCAGTCGGAATTGGCGTGAATCATTGATATACCGCAGCACTCCGAGCTCACGCACTCACCTCAACTGTTTGTGCTATCAACAAGGCCGCTTGTAATACGTGACCCAAGACTGGAATGACGGAGCTCGCCGCTGTTGCGAGAGCCTGCTCAAGGGCAATGATTGTAGCCATCACATTTGTCGACCAATGGAGCGACCAAAGAGAGAAGGCCTAGCACATCTGATGACCGAGGCTGATCAGCTGCGAGACGTCGAGAAATTGTTGGCGAAGAGGAGGAGCAATGCGTGAGTGGGTGAGGCTGGTGGGGGCCCAGTGCAGGGTGACTGTAAATAGCGGCGACAGCGCAACGTTCGCCAGGGAAGAAACCATTAAGATTCGACCCCTGGCAGGCCAGCTACCGGTTGTATGGTAGAAACTCTGAGTGTCCGGCATAGGAGGCGTCAGTCCACATGCTGACAGTTCATCGATGGAGAAAGCTGTAAACTTCACGTACTGTACTGGCGTCGGACTGTATTGGTAGGCGCACACTTGATGGTCCCTTGAGTGCATCGGCCAAGATATGAATAAGTGTACATGACAGCTAGGAGGCAATCGAGGGGAGTGGTTGAGAAACGTCAAGAGATGCCCACACAACGTCCGACTCAAGCGTCACCATAAGCTTCTTGAGACACACGTTGAGAGTTCAAATGAGTCACTCGACAGAATCCAAAGCACATGGGTGAGCGCCGCAGCTGTAGGTCGTGCCTCGAGCCTGAGTCCATCGGAAGGTTGATGTAAGTCCTTTGCTCATCAGAGCAAGGCCCTCACCCGTCGTTCGTAGTCGCTCAAACCGTGTACGACGTTAGCGCTTGTCGTTTGACGACAGGGACGCGCCGCTGCAGACGCCATGGATTCGAGTAGGAAAACTACTCACCCTCAAATCGCGGCTCTAGACAGCGATTTAGGGCCCTAACCACGTAACATGTGGGTTTGGATTTGATCCTGTCCTCGAGCCGTATACAGTCTTGAACACTGCTTGGAATATACACGCCACCATCACATATCAGTTGCAAGCGCACTCCCACCTCTACATGAACCGCTCGATGAGGTGCTCCACATTCGCCTCCTTCCACCGCTTCTCGGTCACGCGCAAGATGTCAGGGAACCACTCACGAATCTCGTCATCCTTGTCCAGAATCATATGCGCGAGCGCCTTCCCGCTCATCCACGCATGCACCATCCCCTCGCCCGAGTATCCCGCCGCGATCCACTCACCCGACTCAGCGAGGTGCGGCAGCACCCGCTCACCCTTCTCCTTATCGTCGGTAGGACCCATGACAAGAGTCGTCGCCGTACGCTGAGCGAGCGTTTCCGGTACCCGGCCAACCCAAGGCAGCAAGTCCGCCGAGATCCCCAAAATCCCACTCCACTGCGCCTTCGTCCTCCCCCCTCCCCACTGCACCCCGCCCTCGCCCCGATCCAGCACCTCCGCCTCCCCGCCCCAATTCCGCGCGCCAAAGTACTGCGGCAGCGCGCCCGCAAGGTAGCTCTGGCTCGCGTGATTCACGCTCCGGTCGTCCGCGATCCCGATCTCCGGCAGCCCGTCGTCGCACGCCTGCGCCCACCCGCCCCCAAACATGAGCTCGCGCTCGCCCGCGGGCAGCTGCGTGAGGTAGTCGTACCCCGCCGTGCCGCGGTAGAAGACGAACGAGCGCGCGCCGTCGAGCGTCGAGGCGGAGAGCGCGCGTCCCGGGCGCTGGGCGGACATCGCGCCGCGCGCGGGCGAGATCTTGGTGCGTAGTGCGGGGAGCAGGTGTGAGACCCAGCCGTTCGTTGCGTGCACGACGTGTCGCGCGTGCAGAGTGCCGCGAGGTGTCGTGACTGCGTAGAGGTCCCCGGAGAGCATCTGACCCACTGGGAGACAATCCTCCGCCGGAGTCCGCCAGACTGTGATGGCAGACTCACGTGAGCGATAATCAGGGAGATAACAGGAGGCACCTACCTTTTGAGGCAGGTAAGTCGAGATAAACTCGTAATCAAGCGCCCTCGCGCTACTGAACTCATTATGGGCGGTGGAAATGCAAGTAAATGATAATCAGAAAGATTCTGCACGCGCGCGGGAGTATATAATCTTCTCCTGAACGTCAATAAGGGTGAGCGCAGTGCCCGCGTTGCTCGCGCGAAGTCGCGCGAGGTATACGAGGTAATTGCGACCTCGCGACGCGCGACGCGCGGCGCGCGAGGCGCGACTTCGTGCGCAATGCGCGTGCCCCCCCAAACATTGTTATCGCGCGCGCGTCCCTAAAAACTGCTTCAGAACCATGTTTAAAGTATTATCACTCTCAAATAGAAGCTGTACAAGTATGAGCACCGTTATAACATCCCTCACAAGTTAATAAGATTAGTAGTAAGGTTTTACTCCTCCTAGTACCTCTCTATGGCTTCAAACCTGTCCCAAATATTATAGAAATGTGCATAAATCTTATAATTTGAGGTTGCGAGCACCACTGTGCTTGTTTTACGAAGTCTAACTAGCCAGGAGTAGATACTACAGTGTTCTCGCCGGGAGTATGAACGCGAGGCGCCCAGTGGAGGCATTACCATATCAGGGCGTTTACGGCGCTTACATTACTATCTGGCCACCGGTATATAGGAGGCGCCGAGGGCCGGCTGCCAGAGTCTGCCGGAAAGTCGCAGTCCCAGCGGGTCAGATGGTTTGGGTCCCCGGGGGCGGCAGCGATTGAGGTGACGGGGGTGTGCGTACAGACTTGAAAGCTGTAAGAGGTGCGTCAGAGGGACGACTCGCGGGATGGAAATCTCAGGCGACGACTTACGTGCCGAAGTGGCGGCTGTTGAGGATGGATAACAGTGAGGTCACGAAGCGGTATGGGTGCATTGCGCCACCTGCATTGGAGATGCAGCCGAGAACCTCGTCCGCGAGGTGAAATTTCTACAGCGCAAAGAAATTGAGTTAACGAGAGAATGGATGGGAAACTGCACTGATACTATATTCTTACAGAGGGCCAACATAGGCGCCTGAGTGTACAAGCTCCTGAACCAACTCACCTCTATTGCTTCCTCGCGCTCATGGCACACAAAACTAGCGGACTCGACAGGCATGACTGCGCGCCATTTCGCGAGGTTTTCCTTCGCTTCAGCAAACGCCTTCGGGCACGTGAACACATCGAGGTGCACCGTCTCGCGGCACTGCGACTGCTCCTGGATGCCCTCCGCCGCAGCGATACGCTGCACTTCGGCCAGATGTGCGCGGCGGAAGGCGATCATGATCTTAGCGGCGTGCGCGCCGTACGTTTCCTCAAGCTCGCTGTAGTCGTGATAGAGAGGCGGGTTTACGTGTCCGCCATTCCTGAGAAGCCAGGTGTGTTAGGTACAAGACGAAGACTCTGCGCCTGGATATGCTCACCTGCCAGTTGCCCCCGAGCAGACTTCGCGAGCCTCGAGCATGACGATTCTCACGAACCTCTCGCGTGCGAGAACATTGTACGCCACGGAGGTGCCGGTGATACCTGAACCAATGATAACAACGTCCGCATAGGTTGGCAGCCATGCCGGCTCTGTGGGCACTGGTTTAGGGGGCACCGTCCAGAGGGGGAGGGTAGGATCCGGAACAGGCAAGCCTGGAGAGGCCTGGAGACGTCCATTAAGTATGTCATATGTCTTGCTGAGCTGCGAGAGCGCCTGGAGGACCAGTCGCGCTTTGCTGAAGGCGGAACCCATCGTGAGTACGGCTGCGGTTGGGCTCGGAGGATAGGAGCGTAAGGTGCGTCTGCTATCAGCGAGAGATACGAGTGCGGTATCCACTTATACTGCCGGCCGTCCGGCTCCCCGGTTAACGTTCGAGATGTGTCCCTGCCGAACCCCTAAGATTACTTCGAGTTCTTTGATTGCTCCGCCTACAGAGCGACGGGAGCTAACACGGTCAGTAGTACTCAAGAGCTGAAAGGGTTGCTCTTCTGGTGTATCGCATGATATACTGTATAGACGATTCATAGAGCCTCCCTGATATTGAACTGACCCATTATCAAGCACAGTTCTCGTATGTATGTCCTGCAAGAGGCGTTTCTTGAAGTTCGATGATGGCCGGCGTCGTGATACATATGTTAGAAGCTTCGCGTGGGACGTCCATGGATATCCACAGGCATTATGCTCATCCCTGGTCAGACAACTTATTTATGGGTGGTAGGATGTTAGTTACACAGGACGTCGCGAGGAATAAACGGCTTACTACAGGATTGAACGAGGTGCAAATGAGTGCGGGAAGGATGTAAAAGGACCCAGGCCAATACACCAAGAGCTCATATGCCGGAATCCCCGAAAATGGGCCCGAAGGGCCCGGAACTCACATGAAATTTAGGTCGATTTCCCCGAAAATGAGGCCGTCAGCGGCCGGAGTTACATCCCTCCCAGCCCCGAAAACAAGCCCTTGCCGGGACAGTCATATGCTGGAACCCCGAAAGTAAGCCTCGGTCGGCTGACCGGACGGCCGGGGCTTCCCCCTGGAGACGAAATATAGCTGAAAAGCGAAGGAATCAGCCCACCGCGCTCTCTTTTCAATGTTTTCTCCTCCAACTCAGTAGGGGCCCGTCGGGCCGGAAAATCCGTTGAGCGCTAAACGGGCGCCTAACTCTATGTTATATGCATTTTACCCCCGAATCCGGCGTAGCCGGTCGCAACTTACGTGAAAATCCCCGAAAAAGAGCGGATTTTCGACCCCCGAAAACGGCCCAAATGGGCCTCCAAACGGATGTGAGCTCTTAGTGTATTGGCCTAGGTCCTGATGTAAAGGCAGGAGGCGAGCGTCTAAATAAACTGCAGATCAAAGTGAGCCAGATTAATCCGTCCACTGCTCTCTTCCATCCTCCATCCTTCGGCCAGTCACTCCCTCCTCGTCGTATAACAACAGAAAGCATCGCAACGATGGCAAAAAGAAAACAACAAGACAACAGAAAGGACACCTCTGACGACGAGTCCGACTCCGAACGCGTAGGTTTTCCTCCGACCCAGATGCCCATCCCGCCCCGCACGCTGACCGGGTCCGCTAGTAGAGCCTCGTCGACGTCGACTTCGAGTTCTTCGACCCCAACCCGGACGTCGACTTCCTCGCCCTCAAGCGCCTCATCACCCAGCTTTTTCAGACGGACGCGCAGATTCTCCCCGTGCACGACCTCGCGGACCTCATCCTCGCCCAGCCCCTCGTCGGCTCCTCCGTGAAATGCGACGGCCGCGAGAGCGATCCCTTCGCGTTCCTCACAGCGCTGAACCTCCATGTGCACAAGGTGCGTCCTCCCATCTCTCTGTCCAAACGCGAACTAACCCGCCCGCACGCGCGCGAGTAGGACCGGCCGTCCATCAAGGCACTCACCGCGTACATCCTCGAAAAGTCCTCCGCGGACCCCACGCTGCACTCCAAGCTGCAAACCCTCCTTGGCCCCGCCGCGCTCGCATCGCCTAACTCAAAACCCGTCGGCTTTGTCTTCTCCGAGCGCCTCATCAACATGCCCGTTCAGATCATGCCGCATATGTTCCGCATGCTCGCGGACGAGATACAGTGGGCCCTTGACGACGTGCGTACCTGTCTCTCTAAAATAATTTCGCCGAGGGAGCGATATAGGCTGACGGCTGCGCGACTCACAGAACGAGCCGTACGACTTCTCGCACCTTATCCTCGTCTCGCGCGTATACCGCCTGACCGCGGAAGAGGTCGCCGAGTTACACGCCTCCGCCCCCCGTTCGAAACGTCAAAAGCAGTCCGACCCGCCCCAGGGCGCGGGCGTGTACCCCTTCCACCCCGAGGACGACATCATCCGTAGGGTACGTCCCCTTTCCCCCACACCCGGCGCACATAGTAAGACTGCGCGTGTGCTGACCCTGACCGCAGTTCGCGGCGCATACACTTGACTACACCTTCACGCACGCGCAACCGAGGACCGAGGAGGCGTTCGGGCTCGACACCGGAGGCCGCATGATGCTCATCCCTACAGGTCGCCTCCGGGACATCGCCGCCGCGCTCGCGGAGGCATTCCCTCAGCCTTCAGAATCATAGCCTTGCATTATCACGCACACGCAACATGTATCTGTAGTTCACCCACAGGTGTATGTGTTACTCTAGTGTATCCAACGGATCCATCGCACCGCGTGTGAGGAAAAGCAAAATAGGAAGTGCATTATACACAGGAAGTACTAAAGGTATCTACGAAGCCACAACACACAACAGTCACGAAAGGCGATAGTAAACCCGGCCCAGTCCATCCTTCCGCCCCGTTCGCCGCCCCGCGCGTGCATCCAGCTTACACTCAACCCGCCTCACATCGCACACGCTCACCGCGCGGGGATGCCCATCTTGATCGTCGCGCCGACGATGTCGACGTCGTCCCAGCGCGACTCCGCCGCGCCCCCAGCGTCCGCAGCCGCGGCTGCGGCCGCCTTCTTCCCCTGGATGTACACGAGCGTGTTCCGGAAGTGGCGCGTGATCATCTCCGGGGTCTGCACGCCCTCGAGCAGCCCTGGGGGCGCGCGCTGCGACGGGTGCACGTCGGGCGACGCGATGCTGTCGATCGACGCGGTGATGAGCTCGACGAGGCTGTTCACTAACTTCGCGTTGATCTGCGGAGCAGGCGTGAGCACTGAGTGTTCTGTGCGGGAAGGGAAGGATGTATGCTTACCGCTGGGGCGCCGCGGTCGAGGTAGAAACAGTACTGGTCCAGCGTGTCGCAGTACAGCTGGATCGTGATGATCTCCTCCGTCGCAGAGTTCGCGATCCGAAGCGCCTTCTGGAGACATTCCAACACGCGCTTGCTGTCCTGGAGAGGATACTGCACCGACCCTTAGAAAAACTCTAAGCATGAGATCGCTAAAGCACACGTACCGACTTCGGACTCTCGCCTTCCTCCTTGCTCGCACTCTTCTCGGTAGCCTCCTTCGGAGCCGGTGACGGCGCCTCCGCCTGCTCCTCCTCAGCAGGCACGTCCTGCCACCACAGGTGGCTCGCGAGGTTGACCGCGCTCGCCTGGTGCGGCTTCTTCAGCAGCTTCGCGCCGTGCAGCGCGGCCTTCGTGATGAGCGTGTCGTAGTTGTCCTCGCTGAACACCCGCGCGCCTTGCAGCGTGCCGATGATAAGCGTGATCGCCTGCAGCTGCGCGCGGCTCTCCGAGATGCTCTCCTCGAATACGCTGAACGCGTCGACGTACATGTCGTACGTCAGGTTCTCGAACCCGCACTCGTCCGCGATCTGCGCGGCAAGCAGGAAGAGCCGGAGCGCGATCGAGGGGGCCTCCACAGTCGTGGAGAGGATGGAGTTGAGTTGCCGCACAAATTTGAGGATGGTTGACACCTTCGACTGCCAGTCGTCCTCCTGTATGGTGGCGCTTGTTTAGGTTCTCGGCAATTACTATACGATGGAGATTAACATACCAAGTGCTCGCGGTTGTGATACCTTCGGCACAGCTTGATCGCGGAGGTGATGAGTGCTGGGTAGGTGAAGCGCATGCGCTCCCCACCAGTCTCGAAGTGCCGGCGTGCCGTTTGGAGAATCTACTGCACGTCAGACTCGACCGCTCTACCACGCTGAAAAGCGGCACGCACCTCGAACTGTACGTCCAAGTTGTCCGACCGGAACAGGTGAACCATCCGCGCCACCCATCCCTGCTCCTCCGCAAGCTCTTCCCGTTCGTTGTGGTAGGGCCCTCTCCTGGGGTCCTTGACGTGAACAGTCGCGCCATGCGAACCTGGTCCAGTGGCAGCATCTGCTTGGTCGCGGACGAGGACATGACACAGCTCCAGGATGCCGTTCACGTCTTCTGGGGTCTCGATAATGGTCTCGTTCTTTAGCACGGACGAAATCAGAGAATGTGACAGGGTGCGTCGGTTAGAGTACGGCTGTTGACTGAGGAGAGCAGTATACTGCTGAAGAGCGAGGAGCGTCAGAACAGACGTGTAGGAGTTGATGGGCGCGAGGAGGAGTGCTTGAAGGTTAGAGATTGTTTGTGGTGAGTGGAGATCAGGGCTACGGCAACGCGAAGGTGAGTTGTATGTTGCGCGATAACAAGTCAAACTACCAACCTGTCAGTGAATTCCTTGATCTTCTCTGCGGCAAAACCCAGAATCTGATCGACATATTCTAGTCGGTCTGGATAGCAGCTCACTGACAAATTTGTCAATGACACCAGCAGCGCGGTGATGTCTTGTATCGAGAGGTCCGGGCGAGCCTGTCGATAGGGCGCGAGTTGAGTGGAGGGTTCCGTTATATGTGATATGCCAGGTGCTCACCTTGATGAGTTCGACTACTTGGTGCCAGAATACCTCAAACAGCTTCACATTCTCCGGGATGCCTCGGAACTTCCGGATCTGGACTGCCGCTGGCTCCTGCTCCTTCTCGCCGCCCTCCTTCTCCTTCCCCTTCCCATTATTCTCGCCCTCCCCGTCCTCTGCAGTGCCATTTTCTGTTGGCGCAACTGACTCCGTCTTCTCGCTGGCGACGGGGCTGGTGGGTGTCGAGCCCCATTCATTGCTGACGGCGGTTTCGGAGTCAGTCGTTACAGACACCTGGCTCTGCCGCAGACGAGCCTGGGTGACCCTCTCCGCCAGGCGCTTTGCTGCGGCCTCCTCCTGTCGCTTAGTCTCCTCCGGGTCCTCGTTTTCCGCCTCGCGCGCTGCGTACGCAGCAAGGCGGTCAATGAGCGCGATCACTATCTGCTTGATGTTGACTTTCGGGTGCAGTTGCGCGGTGGCGGACAAGAAGGGGCCAAGGGTGTACAGGTGGAATTCGTCCGTAAATACCTGCCAATCTTACGTTAAGATACGGAAGAATGAACGGAAATTACAAGGCACGCACCTGGATGACGACCTCCATGAGATACTCCTGGGCGATGACGTCCTTGCAGACCACGATTTGCTGCAGGATACTAGGCAGGATGAATTTCTGGTACATGTCGAGGTCGACGCCATCCAGCTGGCTAAGCCGGACGAGGTTCGTGCCGACCAATATGCGCAGCTCTTTCCGTTCCAGTTCGCGCTTCTCGCGTTCCCTCGAGTGACCTTGATGTTGCAGCCGCACCCATAGCTTGTTCATCTCGATGAAGTTCGTGAGCACGAAGTTAATTGAATCCTGGAGATTACCCTTCGGTCTGCGGGGAATCAACGCGACGCCCCACGCCCCAACAACGGATACAACTCACCCCTGGTCGTCTCCCAGTGGCAGATGGTCCCTCGTCTGCCCACTGAGGTAGTGCCGCAGGAATAGCCCCCGGATGGGGTGTAGTACACCACGCGACATCTCCAGCATGTCCTTCATAACCTCCTTCACCGGAGCTTCGGGGATAGACATGTAGACGGACCCGACGGTGATCATGAGGTAGAGGCGGGGGACGATGTTGCCGGCATATTGTACAAGTTCGTAGAGGTCGGCCAGATGGTGTCGGCCTTGGACGTGTGCGTCATATAGATAGTTGGATAAGTGACGGAGAGCATCGAAGACAGCGATGTCTGCACATCCCAGTGAGTATCCCAGAACCGTTCACGTAGAGAAGATCACGCACAGAGCTCATAATATTGTTTGGGCGTGAGCGAGGACGTTCGGAGCTCAGCCAACATCAAACTCGCGCTCTTCAGCGCGTCCATGAGCTGGTCCAGTTCCTGCAGAAGGTCGCTTTCAATCGCGGTCGCGCCGGCCCACTGAGCTGACTGGACGCACCAGATGCCGCTTCATTTGCTGTACCTGTATCTTGACGGTGGCAAGCGACTCGCTGAGCAACTTGCCCTCCTCGGCAGGTAATGGCGTCACTGCAGCCATGATTGGTGGTACAGCGGCCAGTTAAGAGGGCAGTCCGGTCGCAAAGTGATCGTAGAGCAGCCTCAGATAATACGGCCAAGAGAGAGAAGGAGAAGGAGAGTGTGCAGGTAACGGAGGGGGAGGAGAGGAGAGGACGAGTCTGCGCCTGTCTGCGCAGTGCGCATAGTGTACCGGGCATAATTATTTTGGTCCGATCTCCCGGCAGAAATGGCAACTCCCAAGGCCGGCAAATACTGGCAGATATTTAAGCGCCAGAATTCTTAGAGCCTTGCGCCGACAGAAAATGTGTGGACATTAACCAACGAAGTGGACACCAGAGCATCAGAACGATGTCGAACATATCCCTGGTACTTTTTGGCCACTGTCGCACCCGGCTGGGAGCGTACGGTGAGCTCGTAAACCACTTCTCTCCGCCAACTCTCCGCGGGGCACCTGCCGCGATTAGCGCCCATGCCGCTTGGTGTGAATCATGGGCACTCGTGTTCCTCAGAAGGGTCACTATACTCGGTTTCTAGCAAACAAATGACGGTGGCGAGTTTTATACAAGCTCTTTGGACTAGGGAAATCTAATTTGAGGGACTATACCCTCGTTGGGCGCGGATATTCTACCAAATTCTGCCGGAGTCGGAGCCCGCGGCGAAATGCATGGCAGCATCCTGCCACTATTTAAACTGTTAGGGCCTGGTCGGCTGCCAGTGACTAGCTAGTCACTCCCCGCCAAAAATCAGTCACTAGTGACAAGTAGTCGTGATCCGACTGAAAAGCCCAGTCGTGATCGGGAGGACCGGTCGGCAGCGCACGACCGCGGGCGCCAGCGTGTCACTTCCGAGCGCCTAGGCGTCACTCGCGGTGCACGTCCACTGAGAGCTTCAGGGACGTTCTTCCCCGTCGTATAGCTCTCGTTCCAACCGCGAGGGCTCGTACAAATGCAGGATGCTTAATATAGTATAACAGATGAATTTAAACATCTCGCGCTAAACTTTCGAGCCGCATAGCGTCGCGCGTATCTGATAGACTCCGATAGAGCATGCGCGCCGACTACTAATCGAGCCTCCGGGCATTTGAGAGTTTTGTGCTAGCTCGCGCGTAAGCCGAGAATAATATGTGTAGCTATTTTCTGCTTTTACAAAGAGTTCCAAAGATATGCTGACCCTTTCCAGATCGCGCGATGGGAGTGAAGCTGAAATCCTGGGTATCAGCTTACCCTCTCTAAAAGCTCATCGCGTCTATACTTTGACCTATCGCGCACTAGTTCTGTGTTTTATATTATCATTCATGTACTCGCGCAGGAGATTTGACCAACAGGTCGTCCGCGCTCGACGGTTTATGTTTCCGCTACGTGCGCGCCTTACCTGTCGCGCGAGTCCCTCCAGCACGCGCGCGGATGAGCGCGGCGGGCTGGCGTGACCCGACTGTGACCAGGGCGCCTCCGTTAACCACTCCCGATCGCCGACTCCCCGGTGATCTCGGGCTTTAAACCTCTCACTAGTGACTAGTTAGTCACTGGCAGCCGACCAGGCCCTTACTGTGCGCAACAGCACTGCAACAGCCAACGCTAGCTACGCGCTCCCTTCTCAAATTGGTAATTCTCCGCAATTCATATTACCGCTCGGCCCGGCCGCAATCAAACATACGCTCAGGGCAGGCCGGCCAAGCGAAGGGGTTACAGACAGAACCACAGGATATGATACGAGCGGACATTAATCTACAGGTTTGCATTGAGAGCTAGATGACGAGATGATACGAGTATGTTCAAGAATCCCATGTGGTGTATACTACTCAGTCCCAGGATGGAGAGGTGCTGTAGGAATGCCCACGGTTCGTCGACGATGACCCATTCTGATTCTGGGCGGGGCTCGAGGGCGACCACTGCGGCGAGGTCGGGCTATAGGCAGGCGAGGCCGGGGAGTACGCCGGAGCTGCAAAGGCATCATCAGCGCAAGTCGCGAGCATGTGGGGCACACTTCAACTTACAGGCTGGAGAATAAGTAGGAGATGTGGGGGCTGTTGACGTCAATTAGCTGGCGCAAGAATATGTGACAGAGAGAGAACTTACAATATCTGGGAGATGCAGGTGAAGCGGGTGAGGTAGGTGAGTATTTGGGGGATGTTGGGGACATTTGAGCCGGGGCTGCGAGGGAATATCAGCAACAAGCTCGGCGTCCAACTAGGAAATGTACTCACAAGCTGTATCGAGGGAAAGAGGGAGGAAGTGAATAACCGGTTAGAGTTGTGCACAAACCAAACGAGATCGAGAAAGTACTGACTAGGGGAATAACGAGGCGACGCGGGACTGAACGACGGACTCGTTGGAGAGTACCGCGGAGAGGTAGGACTGAACGACGGGGACTGTGGACTGTACCGCGGCGAGGTAGGGGAGAACGACGGAGATGTCGGCGAGTACCGCGGACTCGTCGGTGAGTACCCAGGGGACGTTAGGTTGAGGGCGGGAGACGTCGGCGAGTACGTCGGTGATGTCGCGCCGTGGCTGCGGTCGTAGAACGGCGACGTCGCGTACGGCGAAGTGCCCATTGGAGACGTCCCACCCGTGAAGGGCGACTGTGCCAAGTACGGTGAGGTGGGCGAGTACGCATTTGGCGAACTCGGGCTGTACCCGGGCGCAGCAGGCGACATGCCTCCGGCGCCCATTGGGCTCATTCCGATACCCAGGAGCGAGAACGACGACGCTGCCTCTTCGCCTCCGTTGACCGCTAGTGGCGAGAACGCCGCGGCCTCTCCCTTCATCGTCACATCCTGCGACCACGTTGGCGAGTTGCTGTCGTAAGGCGTCATCGCGACCTGACCAGGAGTCATGCCGCCGTCCACCTGAGCTGCGAGCATGGTCTGCACTGGTAGACGGTGGTCCACGATGACATCCTTCAACATGTCGATGTCGAGCGCGACGTCGAATGCACCGGTACCCATCGGCGCCATCTGCCCGAACAAGATGTTCTCCGCAATGCCGTGGCAGTCGTCCTTCTCGCCAACCGCGGCAGCCTCCATGAGAATTTCGACCGTCTCCTCGAATGAACAACGCATGAGAGCGCCAGTGTCCGCCCTGTTGATACCGTGTCGAGTAATGGCCATGAGTGTACCGCGGTGCGTCATGAGGTCGCACAACAGCGCAAGGTGACGGTAGTTGACGTAGGAACCGTCGAACTCGATGACGTTCCTCAGCTCGCGCATGATGGCGGCACGCGCGGCCTCGATACCGAGCACGTCGAAGATCTCCACGCAGTTGTTGGAGTACGTCCGCTTGAAATCGACACCGTCGATGCACATGACGGTCTTCAGGTTGACACCATCCGTCTCCAACACCCACTCCTTGTCCCCACGAGCTTCGATGTTGCCTGCAGCCGTAACCGAGATCTTGTCGTGCTCCAGCAGGAAGACACGCTGGATGCCCGGGACACCGCGCAAGCTGACTTGGCCCAACATGGTGTTCTCGAGCTGCCGCAGGAAGATGTCTTCCTCCACCTGCCCGAGGTCTTCCTCATCCTTGTCCATCCCGCCGAGAACGCGACACCGAATGACGAGCTTCTCGGAGTTGTCCTCGCTCCAGATGACGAAGAGGTCCGTCTTGAAGTTCTCCGCGACTCGGCTAGCGACGTAAGCCATCGTGAGTTTTCGGTCGATCATCTTCGCACGATCGAGCTCCAGACGGAGCAGCCATGGCGACATCAAGTGAAGCTTCTGCTCAACGTCTTCGTCGGGAATTGCGAAGAACGACTCCACAAAGACCTGATCCTCCTCGATGATCGTCGAACTCGGGTCGGGGTCGTACCAGATCTCGACCGAAGCGGTGACAGTGCGGAGGGAGGTGAACGCGAGCTCCTGCTGCACGTTCTTGGCAAGGATGGCATCCTTCGCAATCTCTGGCTCGAGGTAGACGGAGAGGGATGGCGTCTTGATGTTGGTGGCGACGTTGATGATCTCCTTCAGGCGCGGAACACCCAGGGTGACGTTCTTGCTAGAGACACCGGCGTAATGGAAGGTGTTGAGGGTCATCTGTGTAGCAGGCTCTCCAATCGACTGCGCCGCGAGAGTGCCACACATCTCGCCGGGGTGCGCCACGGACTGGTTGAACTTCGTCTCAATCTCTCCAAGCGTCCACTCGAAAGCCTCCCGATTGAGATGGTACCGCTCCAGAACCCGGCGAGTGGCCAGGGTAGCTCGGAGATGCATACGGAAGAGCAATGTCGCGTTCTCTTGCGCCTCCTTTGGAAGTGCGCCTTCGCCACGGACGACGACGAGTCGGTTACACAACTCGCGAACGGAGTCAACGATGTAGATAGGGTCCAAGTCGCTCGGCTTTCGCCTGTCGATATGGAAGATCTGGATGGCGTTCTGCACGATGCGTTGGAGGTTGACCGGAAGATAACGAGGGGCGGAAGGGTCGGTTCGAGGGAAGATCCAGTCTCGCAGCAGTTTCCGGTCGCCGCTGAGCTGCGCATACTCCTCGTCCAGCTTGGACTGAAGCTCCAGCGAGCTGTCATCCAAACCAACCTGGAGGACCCCTGGGAGGAAACCGCCGGAGGGATCCGTGACGTCAACGCGGTAGTCGTGCTCGAACTGCGCGTGGTTCAGAGCGAACGTCTCGATGTTCTGCTTCTCGATGAAGGCGCCGTCCATACCGTCTTCCCCATAGACGAACTGGATGAGATCGCCCAGGGAATTCCGCACCGTGCCGTCGTAGCAAACCGAGACATCCTCCAACGCTTTGACGAGTCGACGCTGGATGTAACCCGTTTCCGCGGTCTTGACAGCCGTATCGATGAGACCTTCGCGACCAGCCATCGCGTGGAAGAAGAACTCCTGGGGAGTGAGTCCTCGCAAGTATGAGTTCTCGACGAAGCCGCGAGCCTCGGGACTGAAGTCGTCCTTCGTGAAATGGGGAAGTGTTCGGTGTCGGAAGCCGAATGGGATACGCTTTCCCTCGACGGACTGTTGCCCGACACAGACAGACATCTGCGAGATGTTGATGAACGAACCCTTGGATCCAGCAACCACCATCTGCTTCACGTTGTTGTCCTCCTTCAGGTTCTTCTGCGCGTACTGACCGCTTTGATCACGCGCCAAGTTGAGCTCGCGCTCGACGCGTTTCTCGAAGGACTCGCGAATGGTCATACCGGGCGCTGCCTTGAGACGGGCGTGGTAAGCGTCGTCGACGACCTTCAGCACTTCCTGTTTCCGCATCGCGATCTGATCCTGGATGTAGGTCATGGTCTTGTGGTCCGCAATTGTGTCCCCGATACCGATACTGAAACCGTTGTGGAACAGCCAGTAGTTGACGACCTGCTGCAACCCGGTAAAGAGCGTTCGAGTTGCCTCAGGGCCCTTCTCGCGGAAGACGACGTGGACCAGACCGCCCTGGGAGGCACCAACCGTCTTCTTCTCCACGATACCAAAGACGATATCCCCGTTCTCAATCATCATACCGTCGTCGAACACTGGGTTGTTTGACTTCGGATCCGGGGAGCGGAAGATGTTGATACCGCGAGGAATGCACATGCTCAGAATCTGCTTGCCCGTCCAGAGCGGCTTGGGCTTGATGATCGCTGGTGTAGGCACGCTGCCGTCCCAGTCGGGAACCCAGAGCAAGATGTTCTGGACTTGCGACCACTCCAGGAATGTGTCTCGAAGGGTAAACTTCCGTACACCGCACAGGGTGTCCTGGACGATCCCCATGACGGGCTTGTTCGCCTGAGGCGAGATGATCTAGTTGGAACATTAGCATACCGCATCTCACTGAAGCTGGCACGCATCAGTACCTGACGCGGTACCCAGGCGATCTGGGAGAGCTCCGCTCGAGTCTCTTCACTCTGAGGCACGCTGATACAAGCGTCAGATAACTTGACAATACGTGAGAGTCCGCACGTACTGCATATTCATCTCATCACCATCGAAATCGGCATTGTAAGGTGGCGTGCTACGAGGATGGTCAGCATCATAGAATGTTGTGTGAGAGCACGTCCTTACACAGAGAGGTTCAGACGGAACGCTGGAAAACATTATTAGTACACCCCAAATGTGAATAGCAATTCAGGGCTTACTGGAGTACGGCATCAGCCTCACACGATGACTCATCATACTCATCTTGTGCAGACTAGGCTGCCGGTTGAAGAGGACGAAGCTACCGAACATCATCAGTACGGTGACCCAGAAGGTGACTTGATGCCACTCACTCTCCATCCTTCAGATGCCGTTCAACGATCCAACCGTATTGCAAGAATGCATCCGCACGCTTGTTGTATCGCAAATCTATCCGCTCACCCGTGTCGCGTACAACGTATCGGGCTCCAGGGTAGACTGTAGGCCCATTCCGCACTAGTTCCTGGAGGTACGTGATGTTGTACGGTGTCACTGCAAGGAGTCAGCATTGAGAGGGCTACGGCAAATGCATCTACTGACCTCGTTCGGGAAAAGTCAGGTTCATCGCAATACTCCTAGGTACGCCGACCTCGTCCAGTTCGAGATTGGGATCACCGGTGATGACCGTCCGAGCAGAAAAGTCGACACGTTTACCCATCAGGTTACCACGCAGACGTCCTTCTTTGCCCTTCAGACGAGCACGGATGGCTTTAACAGGACGACCCGACTTTTGCAGCGCCTGGGGGATACCGGCGATATCGTTGTCCATGTATGTCGCAACGTGGAACTACAGGCAGGATGAGAATGACTATCGAACAGAATGCTACCCAAGGAGGCTTACCTGCAGAAGCTGTTCGAATTCGTTAATGACGTGCGCGGGTGCGCCCTCCTGTTCGCAACGACGGACGTTCGCCGACGCCTTGATGATGTCTCCGAGCTTGTATGTCAGATCATCCTCACTGCGCATCGTGCCACCATCGACAGCGATACTAGGTCGTACAGGGGGAGGGGGTACCGGAAGAACCGTGAGGATCATCCACTCTGGCCGGGCATACTCGACTGAGAGCCCAAGGAGATGAAGGTCCGACTCCGAAACCTTCTTCAACGCCGTGTAGACCTCGTGTGGAGGGAATAGCCGCTTGTCCGGCTGGAGCGACTTCACCTCCTGCGGGAGATGAGATGACGGAGGAAGAACACCAATGAGTTACGAACCTCATCTTCGTCCTTCCCCCGCTTGTACTGAACAAAAAGCTTCAGCCCCTCTTTCCTGACCTGAGGTTGAGTGGCACCACATCCGCCATGACCCTTCTTAGCCTCATCGTCCGCGTTGTCATTGTCGTCCTTGGGTTCGTCAGGCTCGCAAATCATCTTGCTCTTGCAGTAATTCCAGACGGCTTGCATGCGAGCCTTGGGATCGCGAATATGCCTGATTCGATCCGCGAACGTGGGGTCGGACTTACATTATGCAACGATCCAATTCGAGGGATGAGAAGGATATAGAGACCAAAATGTCAGCGTGCGCTCGAACATGGAAGGTGGCGCGTTGTCTGTGTCCCAATCAACGGGTACAACGCTGAAAACGGTTACACAGGGGGCTACGTGAATCGAGTAAAAAGTGCATCGCCGACATGCCACTCAAACTGCGTCACAGCGAGTGCAGTCGGTTATCCAACCATGCAGCTCCCAGAGGGATATACTGCTGTCTTTTCCGCACTCCTCGCTCAGCCCCCCATTTCACCACACAACCGCGCGTCCAACCATGACCGGACGTATGCAGCGGTCCACGCGGCGATCAAGCGATCGAAAACGCGCGCGGACCTCGTCACGGGTGGAAGAACGTCTCGATTGTCGAGAACAGACGCAGTGCGGGTTTGGGGTTCTCCATAAGGTTGGAGAGAGCCCCCAGAAAATTGGGTGGTGGGGTGCGAAACGAGTAGAGGAAAGAAGAGGTCACTCACGCTATCAGCCTTCAACCGCCCGCAATTTACACAGATACACTCCAGGATCTTTTTCACTTTCACAATGAACCCTGTGATAAAGTGTCAGAGGGCGAGCAGGTGGCTAAAACGAGGACGACGCACCAGGGTGAAACACGGGTCTCGCCAGCTCAATGTGCCCGAAGTGCCCAGGACATTCTGACATCCCCTCTCCACACGTCTGACACTTGAAGTTGCGGTCTATCGTGCCCATGCGGGGGTCCATGAGACCACCCAACTTGGGTTTGTGGGTGGTCTCGTCCATGACCTCCGGGTGCTCAATTTTTGCAACTGAGTATGCTTTCTGTGTTGCTGGTCAGACACACGCCCTGAGGGCGCAAAGGGAATGGAAAGACGCACTATCTCTTCTGGAGAGAGGATACCGAACTGTACTTCCCGCACCTTGCGGATGGGGGCCGCCGAATACGCGAACTGGTGTCCCAGCATGATGGGCGACGGAAACGAGGGGAAACTCGCGAGGGAGAGGACAAAAACCCGTCAGAGACGCTAACAGACACAGCCAGCCAAGAGAGAGCGCGTCGACAAGAGGATGAGAGGGGACAGAAGAGAGATGGGCGACGTCGTCGACGTGGTCGAGGACAAGGAGTTGCGGACTCAGCCAACGCCCACTCCGCCGGAACCGCTCCCCAGTGACAACGGTCACCCATTGTTGTCACGCATGCGTCACTGTCACGACGACCCCGCAGTCCCCGGCTAGCAGCGGCGCTAAGGCTTGGTCACTCCAGTCCAACGCATTCGGCGCAGCGTCCTCTCTTCCTCCTCAACCGCCATGTCTTCATACTTGAGCTCGTTACTGTGGGGAACCTCGCAGCTTGATGATGCTGTTGGTGAGCTCTACCACTGCTCTGTGGCCTGCGTGCGTCGCACTGACCTCGATCACCAGACAAGGCAACCTCTGAACTGCTGCCAAGCGGTTCCGAGGACATCGCGCTCAACCTCGAAATATGCGACCAAATTCGTTCAAAGTCTGCTCAGCCGAAGGATGCCATGCGTGCTCTGAAGCGACGTCTCAATCACAAGAACCCAAACGTGCAACTCCTCGCCCTCAGTGTATGTATAGGCGTCTTGACCAATCGCGCACACAGGTTAACACATTGTGCAGTTAACGGACATTTGTATCAAGAATGGGGGTGACCCATTCCTGAACGAAGTTGCATCTCGCGAGTTCATGGACAATCTCGTCTCAATACTGAAGATGCCCGCGCTCAACCATGATGTCAAGAACAAGATGCTCCGATACATCCAGGACTGGGCCACTGCGTTTGAGGGCAAGCCAAGTTTGAGCTATGTGAGCGAGGTTTACAGGTCTCTGCAACGTGACGGTAAGCTTGTCTCCCCTCTACCAAGCACGCGTTGTCTCAACGCCACTGTCGCAGGCTTCAACTTCCCTCCGCGTGATCCCGCTCTGACCTCCTCAGCTATGGTCGACACTCAAACGGCGCCTGAATGGATTGACTCGGACTACTGTCTGCGCTGCAGGGAGCCCTTCTCGTTCACCAACCGCAAGCACCACTGCCGCAACTGCGGGTGGGTTGTTGATCATCAATGCTCCAACAAGACCCTCCCTCTACCACACTTCGGTATCGCCCAAGAAGTCCGAGTATGCAACAGCTGTTACACTACGCTCTCGAAGAAGAACAAGTACGTACCTCCTTCTCTCCACCCCTCCAGATTAACTGATAGCTTCCCACAGGACGCACCGGTCTTCGCAAAGTGTTTCTACTTCGCGGCACAGGCATGCCCGCGACGTCGCAGACGCTGACTTGCAACGCGCCATCCAACTCTCTCTCGAAGAAGTCGGTGCTGCGGGAGGTCATCGTCCAGGCTATGTCCCCTCCCCTTCCCCATGGCAAATCTCCGAACCACCCCTAGTCGATCGTCCCAGCTCTCGATATGCCCCTCCTGCGCGCGACCAGGAGGAGGACGACCCAGACCTGCGGGCCGCCATCGAGGCCAGCCTACGCGAAGCGAACGCGCCTAAGCCCAGCGCGCCCATCGTAATTGACGTATCCGATCGCTACACGACTCCTGAGCAAGGCCCGGGATACCCGCAGTCATACCCACCTTCGAGTGCCACACCGAAGCCGAGGCTGCCTACGATACCCAATTACGACCTGGAACCTATGGAGGCGGACGCTATCTTGACGTTCAACCAGACGGTGGAGCAGCTGCAGGCACAGGGCGGAAGAGACATCTCCAGGTATCCCGCTGTGACAGAGCTGTACGACAAGGCGAGTGCCCTACGTCCGAAGCTGGCCATGAACTTGAGCGACACGAGCCGGAAAGAGGGTCAGTCGCTATTCCTCCACGCGTTCATGTAAACGAATTACTCATTTGCGCGCTTCCAGAAGTGCTTGTCGACATGCACGAGAAGCTCTCGCAGGCAGTCAAGCTGTACGACCAACTTCTCACCGAACAACTCTCGCGCCCATCATGGAGGTCCGCACCACCTCAGGAAGCGCCACCTCAAGCTGCCTACGGACAATACCAGCAGCCGAACGGCGCAGCATACAACCAGTGGCAACCCGAGCCCCAGCAGGTCCAGCAGGTTTCCTCCCCATCCATCCAGACACAAGCCCCTTCGTACTTCTCTCAGCCAAACGGTGCACCATACGAGCAACAACAGCAGATGTATCAGCCCCAAGCAACTCCCGTACTCGGCCCCAGTTCCCCGTCTCTGTCTCAGCCAGGATACAGGCAGGAAGCCCCGCAATACGGCGCCATTTCTCCCCCACCGGTCAGCGTGCTCCAGTACGGCGCCTCTCCAACCCCCGCTCCTCCGCCAGTATCCTATCAGCCGGCCGCTCAAGCCCCGCCCCCACCCATCCAGCACCAAACCCACCCCCAGCCTCAGTCCCAATACTCGCAACAACCACAGCAGCAGCAGCAACACTATGCCGCGCCTCCGTCCCCCGGCCTCGCTCGTCATAACACCGTCGCCGCGTCCTATCGTCCCGCTCAAGCACAGGCACCAGCGCGTTCGAACACACTTGCCCGTTCACACACGCAGACGCAGCTCCAACAGCTCCAGCAGACGTCCGTGCCGCTCCCCAGCTTCCCGCAGGTGCCTGCCACGCACCCACAGTACGCGGGCTACGACGCGTACGGCGCGAGCCCCCAGGAGCCGGAGCGCAAGGAGGCGCTGTTGATCGATCTGTGAGTTGCTGCGGTAGTTCATAGGCAGGAGGACGAGATCTCGGCGTGGATGGATGAGCGGGAGGTGTAACATTACGGACGATTGCCATAATATGCTAGACTGTTATGTTTATGGATTGTATGACACGACATGATATCGATACACGCCACTGCGCTCTTCTCTTGCGTTGGCAAGCCCCAATATGCGTCGCATACGCAGCCTTGCAGATATCCAAATATCCCACTCAGACGCAGTGCGCACACCCAAGGTTTGGCTTTTGTGAGCGAATTCTACGTTGCCACACCGGTACGAGCCACGCAGCGCGAGCAGCTATACACCACCCGCGCCACGCAATAGGAATAATACGGAAAATAAGCAGAGATCAACAGACGGGGGACCAGACGATCGACAAGACTAAACTACGGGCGTGGGTGCGTGCGCGAGGAAGCATCAGCCAGCGAGCGACGTCAACGAGCGGGATTGGGGGGAGACATGAGAGAGCATGCAGCGATGGTACCGTAGTCGACACGAACACGGCAGGCGGGGCGGGGCGAGCGAGACGAGGGGGAGTGTGTATACGTAGTACTACTGGTGAGCTATGGGGGCGGTCGCGCGGCGGCAAAGACTTGTCTCCCAGAAGGTCCGTCAATGTACCGCTAGCGACCGAATGCAGGAACTGTGACCGAGCGAGTGAGATAAAGTGAGAGTGGGAACGAGAGACTAGTGGGAGTAGTGCGCCGAGCGAGAGTAGAAAGATGCGGGTGGGGCGACGTACGGCGCAGCGTACATCTGCGTACTGTAGGGACCGAGCGACGTGCGTCATAGTATTACACGTGAGGATTGAGGGGTATACTATAACTTGGATGAGATCAGAGACCGCGGATAATCGATCCAAAAAGCCGGGGGTCGTGCGCGAATACGTAGGGTGAATGTTGAAAGACGTTTAGGGGATGGGGGATGGGGTTGGTAGGTACGAACAAGTGGGATGAATGGGGGTAAAGGCAAACCGCGTGTGCAAGAATAATAAAAACGGGAGAGGTGTTGCGGGCACTAGACTAGGACTGTGGTTTCGTATTTTCGCCAAGTGTGAGAAGATGGACAGCAAAGATTGTAGCGACAATACGACGACGACCAGACCATATTCGCAGCGTTATACGAAAAACTGGGTACTGTAGCACACATCAAGTCAGCATCATGCATGTACAGAGCAACGAAAACGACGTACTGAACGCGACTGGCCGCGTGCACCTCCATTTCCTCCATTTTATAGGAGTTAAGCTCTTCCTTTATGCGTTGCGCCAGCGCTGGTGTCAGTCGGCTCCACGTCGCAGGCTCGCTTCGTCGATCGTATACCGTCGCCGGGAAGGTGTCGTACACAGACAGGTTAGCCGCAAAGGCAAGGCGCTTCGACGGTGCTGTCTGAGAACGATGGGTGAGGGTGGGCGCGTTTGCGGAGTGCAGTGACAGCGCCGGGGCAGACGAGTTCGGGTGGCTGAAGAGCACCTTGTCCGCCGCAGAAGGCCCTGTCGTGTGGACGGGGGACTCATGCTTCGGCGACTCGACAGCCAAGCCGTTCGAGTCGAACGACAGCGGTGGTAGGAAGGAGCCGGAGTTCTGTGGTGAGTGACCGTTCGCCGAGCCGTGCTGCTTGTGGATCCCGTCGATCTGGGCGGGATCCGATTGCGGAAGATGCCCGAGGGGCGGTACTTCCGAGTTCGGCTGCGCCGAGTCGTATGAGTTTGACCGCATGCGCGTGAACGCCGGGTTCGGTGGGAGGTAGGCGTCCTGAGAGTACTCGCTGCCATCTGGTCGCGCTGCTCGAACTATTAGATCAGGGACATTGAGAAAACTATGAACTTACTCTTCAGAATGCCCTTCGCCGGCTTCAATGTCCGCTCGATGCTACGACGGACGTTGATTGCCCACGGCTCCATCTCCGAGTCCTCCTCCAGACTCGCGTTGTCAAGAGCCTGACGGATCGTAACGTCCTCCTCCTCGTGCGCCTCATTCCAGTCTTCGTCATCCTCCCAGCCCTCGATGCTGTAGTTCTGGGCGTGATTGGGGTGCCCGAGGTCGCTGTGCCCATCTTCGCTATCCGAGTCATCGTGCTCGACGACAACACGCGTCCCGTTCTCGCCGACCCGTGAAGAGCTGCCGGGCTTAGCGGGGGAAGCATCGCCCTGCCGAGTAGTCGTATTCTTCTCCCATGTTGTCGGTACCGGTCCCGAGCTCGAGGCGGCAGCAGCAGCCGCAGCGCGTGCCTCGGCTTCGGCCTTGGCCCTAGCAGCAGCCTCTGCGTTCGTCTTGAGGGTGTGCTGACGCGCCAATCTCGCAGCCGGACTGAGTCCTGCCATCTCCGGGCTCGCCGTCCAGTCCGAACGATCGACCTCAGCGGTGGCATGCGACACGCTAGCTTCAGCAACGGCGGCCTTCTCGCCCTTCTTCTTCTTGCTCTTCTTCCCCGCGCCACTCTCCTCCTCGTCCTTGTCCTTCTTGTCCTTGAACAGGGACGTGATGCCAGCCAGCGAATTTCTCCGAGCGAGCTTGCCGATGTTGCCGAGCTTCCGAATGACCATCGAAGCCGACGACATCGTCGACGATAGCGAGATGTTGTCGGTCGAGCGATTAAGCTTCGAGTTGAACAGCGAGCGCGACTTCTTCTTCTGCACTGTCGCAGTGGAGTCGCTGTCGTCCATGGCAAGTGTCGCACTCGAGCCCATGCTCGACTGGCTAGGTCTTGGGGTCTGCAGCTTGGACGTGTCTTCCTCCTCCTCTTCCCGAAGCGCATTGCTCGCGTTGAGCGAAAGCGCCCGACGCAATCGCCCTTTCAGGCCTGCGCTCCTCACGCCGGCCGCGGGCTCCAGCATCGCTGCTAGATCGCTATCGTCACGCGACATGCGTTTCTCCGCTGCCGTAAATGTGCCTTGAGACAAGGGCGACGGTTTTCGCAGGTTCACGGTGCTTGCAGGGGCCGGAGCTGATGACGTCGATGCGGGTGATGGTGCAGCGGGACGGGCAGACGCGTTAGAAGAGGTTGATCCCGTGCGCTGATGGACGCGAGGGGCGGAGACGGGGTTGCTGGACGGGGCGGGAGGCGTGGATGGGGACGTGGCTGTTCTACCGTGGCCGTTGCTGTTGCTGCTCGACGATTTCGTATGTGAATGAGTAGAGCCGGGGCCATTACCAACCGCAGCGGGTCCCTGCGTGCTGTTCGTGCGTTGTCGTTGGCTCCCAGATTGCGAAGAGCCCGAATTTACCGAAGTGGAGGAACCCGCAGCATCTGCATGCGCGTAGGGGGGTTTGAATGGACCTGCGTGCTGAGGCCCAGCACGCCAATCATCCTGGTTTTGGGAACCATGGCGCTGTGGACGGCGGTAGGGATGATAACCGCCATATTGAGAACCCTGCTCCGACGGGGGACCTTGAGAGTAGCCCATCGGCAGCTGCGACGGGTGAGGCGGAGGCGTGCCGCTGGGGAAGGGACTGAATCCGGGTATGGGGCTCTGACCGAAATAGTCGGGAGAAGGGTTTCCACCACTCCGACTCCGTTGGCTGCCCGGTTGGGACATCTGCGACATTTGATGGGCTTGGTTGAGCAGCATCTGCTGGTAGGCCCACTGCGCAAACTGGGCATTAGCTGGGTCGTAGTATTGCATCTGCCCCTGCTGTGGGTGGCCCGGATGAGCGTGCATGGGGTACGGCTGCTGATGGGGATTTTGATAGAACTGGGGGTAGAACTGCTGAGGGGAGGGCGACCATCCGGCCTGCTGCTGTTGGGGCGGTTGCTGTTGCTGGACGGGGTAGGGGTATGGCTGTTGCTGGGGCATGGGGGACTGTGCGAGGGAGTGTTCGTTTGCGGGCGAGGAGCGCTGGCGGGGTACAGAGGCGTTGATGGAGTTGGGAGAAGGCGCGTCCATGGTATGATCTCTAGGTGGATGCCAGTCTTGAGGGGCAAGAACGGCCATGGACTGCGCGTCGAGCAGAATACGCCTAGACCGAGCTGCACGCGCGAAGCGAGGACGCGATGAACGTGGTTGGCGAACGGGGTGAGGGGGACAACGGAATGTGGAGAAAGGCAACGGTTAGATACGGTCACGGAGGCGTCAAGCTCACGCACAGAAGTCCTAGCAACTGTTTTAAGGAGAGGGGGAGAAAAAGAAGGGAGAAGTGGACAGGCGGGGCGGGGCTGTGGGTGAGGTCGTTGGGCCCGACGACGAGGAAGGCAGGCTGGCCAACGACTGCGACAACGTCAACGACAACGACGGCGACCGCAGGCGCCCGTCTCTGAGACGGTGCCACCACGCGCAAACACAGCCAAAGCTCCGATATATCCTGATTCTGCTTTTCCTGACATTTCCTCGCAACTTGATCTTGCCGACCTCCGCAGCCGCAGGCTCCCCTCTGCAACCATCATCCTCTGCAATGCAGATCTCGCGCCCTCGTCGTGCTCCGACCGACACACGCTGAGCACGCTCTGCAGCAGCCAGAACGGCCTCAGCCAGTCTCTTCGGCGGGGAAGAGCCCACAGCCTGTGCTTTCCGGCGGTCCGTACCCGGGCTCGCCAATTGTGCACCGTCCTCCGGCGCGGACACAAACTCCGATTGGACATTCCATCACGCTCTCGTGAGCTATTCCATATCCGAATGCCCTTGTTCCCTCAGCCTGGCACCCTGGCAGTGACGTCGACCGTCCACTCCGCTCGGAACATGTTTCTGCATGCCCACCACGATGCCCGGGAACAACAAGCACAGTCCTTTCTCGAGCGTTCTCCCCGTCTCCCGGCCAGGCCCTGAGCAGATGACAAGCAAATACATATGGTGGTGGGGGTCTTGGCTGGCGAACGCGGACAGCGAAGACCGCTGGCTGATGAGAGAAGATCCGAGATCTGTGGAGTGTCGACGGTATTCCTTCGTTCATCTTATCTCCTCCCATCCCCCGCATTCTCTTCGCACGTCGTCCCAAACCGCTGAGCGTTGCGATAAGCTGACAGAGCAATAATACAGGTTTTTGTACTCAACGCTTCATCACGCCCACCATGCTTGTCTCAATATCGCTTTCATCATGTAAATTGACAATTTGATAGAGACGCGATTCTTATCCGACCAGTCAAATATTGACTACCACCCATCCCGCAAGCAATGCAGGGACATATTCTTCTTATGCCAGCTTCAGTGACCCTGAATATACTTATGTATCTATCGTTCCTAGGGTATTATGATTTTAGGATCGCACCCTCGAGCGACGTCTCGTTGTGGCAGGATTTCCTGGTCGGTCCCTTAGCTTCGACTTCACCTGGACGTTCTGCAAGGGTCGGATAAACGCATATTCATGTGCACCGTCATCTTCAAGTACCCCGTATCCCGATGTCACGCTCAGTGGCCGTCATAGCTCGTTGACCACACAGTGGCGGAGCGAAGAAAAAGTTCGCGTGAGTCTTGGAGGTTCCCCGTGCCGCGCAGACAACGTTCAAAATCTACACAGTACACTATACTAGCTTATGAATAAGAGGAGCCTTGAAGTAGGACCAGCTTGGACCAGCTGAGGAGTATAAGTATAGGTCTGGCTGTTCGCTGCTGTTCGACGAAAGGCGGACGCGTCGGGCGCGCGACGCGTCAAGTACTGTAAGTTACCTGTGTATAGATCTGGACGCGTCGTCGGAGATCAATTGTCTGCTGACAAATCATGTACACGATACGACGGGACCCTCCGAGTCCTGCTCATGCCTCAGCGATTGCATGCAGACCACCACCATGCCCGCGCAAGACTGGAAGACCCTGTGCGCCGAGCGCAAGCAGCGCCAACTGGATCTCATTCCCAAAGAGTGGACCATCACCCTCCCGCCAGACAGCCAGCGCAACGTGTTAGATGTGCCCCGGACTTGTGGCCTTCTCAGCGCGCGCGAGCTTGACATCACTGATACCGTCAATGTCGCGATCCTCCTCGACAATCTCCGCACCGGCCAATGGTCCTCGGTCGAGGTCACCACCGCGTTCTATAAACGTGCCATCATTGCTCAACAGCTGGTATGTTCAGTACTAATAATATGAATGATATGTACGATGATCAGGCTCTAATCCGCATACGATTAGACCAACTGTTTGACAGAGATATTTATCGAACGTGCCCTTGCGCGCGCGGCAGAAGTCGACGAGTACCTCAAGACTCATGGAAACCCTATTGGACCTCTCCATGGCCTCCCCATCTCCCTCAAGGACCAGTTCTGCATCAAAGGCATGGAGACGATCATGGGTACGTACTACGCAGTTATTGAGCCGCTCCCCTCACGATTACGTGTGGGCCGAATTGATTGCATGGAAAGCACCGTTCACGCCCTGCTGCCCACCGACTCACATGCGTCTTTTATATTCAGAACCTCTTCCACTATATTGCGGCTCTCCATGCAATTACTTGTAAGGGCGGGCAACCCCTCAGCCTGTCTGAACGTCCCTTTCTTCAACGCATTACAAGGAAGCTGGCTGCAGGACCTCTGGAAAAACCGTTTCGTAAAGCATGTTCCACCATTCCACGGTGTAGCACAACGTGAACGCGCGATGCGTTGCAAGGACTAGTCCTGCACCGCGTCGTCATAATTTTTCTGCGGCACAGTCTACTGGGGTTCGCATGTACTTTCCACGCCGATATTTCTCTCTGATTATGAAAACCAACTAATGACTTGTTACAGGCTACGCCGGCTGGATAGGTCGCGTAGCCAACCGCGACAGCGTCCTTGTCGAACTGCTGTACGAGTGCGGTGCCGTACCCTTTGTGCGCACGAACGTGCCGCAGACTCTCATGGTGCGCCTACTCTCTCATCGCTTCTGCCACTTCCCCTGCTCGGCACGCTCGGGGTGACACATAGAACGCCCTCCCGCGTACCTGCGATCTGTCAATGCGCAGGGATCTGTACGCGCTCCACCCGACCTGAGAATCCGGATTCAGTTGCGCTCCCGCAACGCTCCCGGGGTTCCGATGGAACGATCCTATCTGCGCGTCCGTGCATGCTGGTTCGCGAAGCTGATGCTCGATCACACACGCAGTGGGGCGAGACGTACAACCACGTCTTCGGCCGCACAACGAACCCATTCAACCGGTACATGGCCCCGGGCGGCTCCTCCGGCGGGGAGGGCGCGCTCGTCGCTCTCCACGGCAGCCCCCTCGGCGTAGGCACCGATATCGGCGGGTACGTCTTCTCGTGCACCCACCCCTTCATCCTTCCAAATTAGTGCCGCTCTCCTCTGTCGCTGTGCACTACTGCCTCCGGACCGCCATGTGTGCCTGACGCTGACGCTGACGTCGCACCAGGTCTGTCCGCATCCCGAGCGCCTTCTGCGGGCTCTACGGCTTGCGCCCGTCGTATGAGCGCCTGCCGTACTGCAACGCGGTGAACGCGATGGAGGGCCAGGAGAGCATCTCGTCCGTGCTCGGGCCGATGACGAACTCCCTTGAAGGCGTTAAGCTCTTCACGAAGGCGATCATCGATGCAAAGCCATGGCGCAAAGACCCCCTCGCCGTGCGGAAAGAGTGGAGCGCGCGCGAGTACGCGCTCGGTGACCACGGTGAGGGCGGCAAGATGTGCTTCGCTATCATGTGGGACAACGGTCTTGTCAAGCCCCACCCGCCGCTCGTCCGAGCGATGGAAATCGCAAAGAAGGCACTGGAGGCGGCCGGACATACCGGTAAGACAGACAGCGACACATCACTCGGTGGCCAGCACTAGACTGACGTGTGCAGTGATTGACTGGGAGAACCACCGACACCTCGAGATCTTCGAGAACGGTGTCAGTGCCACTATCTTCCCCGCGTCAGCCAGAAATACTCACCGGTGCCGCACCCGCATTGCATGAAACAGCAAAGGATCTTCGTTGCGGACGATGCGCAGGACCTTCTCAACGACTGCGCGCTCTCGGGCGAGCCGCTCATCCAGTCTATGAGCCCTGAAACGGACGCACACGAGTACGCGCTCGACGAGCCTCTCATCCGCACGATCGTGGGCGAGCGCCGGCACCTGTCCGCGTACGAGGTGCGTCGCGTCTTGCTCTCATCTCCGGTCCATGTGCGACAAAGTAATGGTGACGCGAATGTATGTAGTTGTGGGAACTGCACAAGCAGAAGCGCGGGCTCCGGAAGTCGTACCTCGATCACTGGGAAGCCACCGCCGCGAACACGGGCACAGGACGGCCAGTCGACGCGATAATCAGCCCTGCGGCGGCGTATGCCGCGTGCCCTCACGGCTGTAACTCGTGAGTCCAGCTGCGCTCGGTCATTGTGCAGGTCCGTGCGCAGTTTTTGCTGACAGTGTTCTGCGCGACAGCGACTTCTTCTACACGGAGCTGTGCAACTTCCTGGACTACACGGCCTCCATCTTGCCCGTCACCACTGTGGACAAGGCGCTCGACCAGCGCGTCGCGCCGCATACATTCCACAACCACGAGGACGAGGCCGTGTACAAGCTCTGTACGTTTTCCTCGCCGCGTCCTCGATCCCTCCCACAGCCTGCCAATAATGCTCATTCAATGCACCGCTTTTCTCCCTTGCGTAGATGATCCGGAGCTGTGGCACGGCATGCCTGTCAACCTCCAGCTCATCGGCCGCACGCAGGAGGAAGAGGGCGTCATCGGCATGACCGAGGTCCTTGACAAGGCCTTGAAGGCGTTCAAGCAGGCGGAGGGGCAGTAGCCTCAAGCTTGAAGCTGAATATAGCGGATACGCTGACGGAGGTGCAAGCCAAAGATGCCGACGAAGACAAACCAAGATGTATGCATACAAGATTATCCTGCCCTGCGAGCCACGAAACAAATGCAACACGTCGTCATGTATCCATATGCAATGTCTATCATCTCGTGTGTCGTCGCGAAGTGTCAGGCTTCGGTCCATCGCATCGTCATACGCCCTGAGTTTTCGTAAGAGCATTTCATCGGGCCACCCAAGCATACATACAACATGACAACACTATACACTAATGCGCTCACCCAATAATCCGAGTCCAGATCTCCGCCGCCGCCCTGCGGCGCTCATCCTCCGCTGCGCCATTACCCAGCACCGACTTGTTCTCGATCGCCCGCCGGCTCAAATACGGCATCACCTACGGACCGACGCATCGTCAGAAACGCTTGCACATACCCCGGCCTCGCAAGACCGGGGGGATGAAGCTCACCTCGGACAGACGACCGTACGGGATGTACTTGATGACGAAGGGCGACGAGGAGCGGACCCGATCGACGAGGTGGCCGGTCAGCGCGGCCGTCATACCTGTTCCATCCCGGCGCGGTCAGCACATCCTCCATCACGACCGTAAGCACCTCTTATCCAAATGACCAAGGCCACAGAGGCAAGCCCGCTCGAGTGCCTCTCGGTCGCTCTCGGTCCGAGCAAGAAAGCGGAAACATGACGCACCATACAGCTGCCCAAGCGTCACCCTCTCGGCAACCTCGTCCCCCACCGCCACCACCCCGCCCTCGCCCTCCACCTTTACTGCCAGTCCCTGCCTAACGAGCTCATCCACGATCAACCCCGCGCTCTCCCAATTATGCGTCCCAAACAGCACCCCGAGCCCTAGCTGGCCCCCGCGCGCGACGTCCTCCCTGACGGCCGCGACGAGCGCGCGCACGCCCGCGTTGTACCGGGCGTCCGTGTCCGCCTTCGCCGTCCACACGGGCGGCACGGGGTCGGGCGAGATCGAGAGCGAGGTGGACATGGCGGGCGACGCGAGCGACGCGTCCACCGTCGCGCTCGTGGAGGGGTGCGCGACGAGCTCGTGTGGGTGGTACGCCCCGCGCACGAGCTTTACACCGAGCGCGTAGCCCTCTTTGCGCGCCGCGGCGATGCTCTGCGCGAGATACTCGGGTGTCCTGGATGATGCTGGTACGTCAGTATTTGGTTGGGAAGGCAATCTGCGTGGTGTGCCGCATTACCGTCGGAGGTAGGCTTGGTAGGTTGCGTATATGAGTGGCTGTACTGTCGCAGGCTCCGGCCTCCTTGTACCAAACCACGATGATGTCGGCCGTGCAGGCAGCTTATTAAACTTGCGCATCATGTCCAAGGTGAACGCATCTATCGCAGGCTGGCAAGGCGTAATTCATTTTGTGAGCGGGCAAAGGCGTAGATGTTTGGTGGACACTTACCTCGTACCAGCTGTCGAATGCGTCCCAGTCGTGCTGAGCGATTAATGCGCCATAACAGTTACCGATTTACCTCACCTGTACTCGGCATCGAATATAAGCCGCACCCCTCTCTCCTTCGCGCGCGTGCAAATCGCGACCAGGTCCTCGCGCAGCTCCCTTAGCGCCGCGATATCTACGTCCGTGAGTGGTCCAGAGGCCTTGCTGGGCGCAGCCAGCACGTCCAAGTCCGTCGGAAGCGGGCATCCGGGAAACGCGACGGCAGTACTGATCTGCGGACGCGTGTCCAGGAGGTACTTCGAGAACTTGCGCAGGATCTCTGCGTTCGGGACCATCGCGCTCTGCACCACCGCATCGTCAGTCATTCGTCGCGCCAATGAATACGCACATTATATCTCAAGAGGCACGTACCAGCTTGATCGCGACCCACGTCCGCCTGCCCTTCACGCTCCCCGCCGTGTACCTATCCTCGAACCCCGCAGCGACGTCGATGCAATGCAGCGTCTCGGCCACGACCTGCTTGTGCGCCGCCGCCTCCCCCGTATGCTTACCCTCCTTCGCGTGCCCCGACGCCTCCGCCTGGTCCACCTCCACGCTGTACGCGAACAGGCACCCCGTGTTCTGCGCGCGCAGCCCCTCGATCAGCGGGAACGCGTCCTCGGCCGTGTCGCCGCCCACGAACTAGCAGACGCGTCCTGCACATCAGTACTCAGCACTGCGCGAGACTTGCGTTGACGGCACCTGATCGAAGAACGTCGCGCGCACGGCCGCCTCCGTCACCTGCCGCACGCCCGGCACCGCAGTGAGCGCGGCGAGTATCGCCGGGGCCCACTCCACCAGCGTCGGCACCGAGCAGAACGCGAATACGACGTACGTCCGGAAAAGCTCGGAGAGTGGAGTCGGCGGCAGATCGCTTCTCTTGCTGCTGCTACTGGCGGTGTTCGCCCCCGAGGTCGCAGCGGTGCCTGCGCGTGCATCCTGCACGAAGATCGACGCCCCCAAAGCCACGCTCGACGCGAGCCCGAGCGCAGTCAGACGGCGCAGGCTGAAAAGCCGCGATCGCGGGGCACTCCCACCAGATGCCGCCGAGGTGCCTATCGCCCGCGCGCGCATATACGCACCGGACTGCGTGGGTACGCGGCTTCTCGAGAGCAGCCTGAGCCGTGCGCAGAGGAGAAGAGGGGCCGTCGTCATGTCGGGTGGTCAAGGTGTGTGGGGCGGGCGCATTCAGAGAGGGCCTTGTGCAGCCTCAGGGGGCATACATACATACATGATCTGCGATAGCCAGGTCAGCGGGCACGTTGTCTGGTACGTACTGGAACACGCATGCACACGTACCAAAAACGCCGCAGGGTCCGGAACATAGGCCGTATCTTCTGATACCACTTCATGGCTGGAGGATAGTGGATTGAAGACGTCTTATCAACGTGTAAAGCTTCTGTACTCCAGCTTGCGCCCTTCTCTCGCCCCTGCAAAGCTACAGTTACGGTCGTACTGGCCGACCACTATCTACGCTACAGTGGCAAAGGATCAGCATGTGCACAGACACCTTAGCGCAATGAAATGTATACGTGCCAGGTCATGAGTACTGCCAGTGAGTATCCGAGGTACATCCTCCGGGCCGTTGACGGTGGAAGATAGGCTATCTGAGTTGGGAGGCGGCAAGCACGTTGCCCCCCGACACGGTCATGTGAGCTAAACACCATCTGTCGCGTGTACGCGACGCGTCTCGAAACTGTTCAGCGAAGATTGGGAATTAGTCGAAGGTACTCTGAGTCTACAGCAGCAGCTCTTAGTATACGATCTATCCAACAAACCAGGGTTCGTCCAAGAAATCCAGAGCCTCAATCCAGCACCGATATCTACACACCTCATGCCGCCGGGTGCTTACTGTCCAAACAGCCTCGCCCGAATCTCCGACGCAGCGCGTTTCCGCTCGCTCGCAGCACCGCCGTTCCCGAGAACCGACTTGTTCTCAATCGCGCGGCGGCTGAGGTACGGCATGACCTGAAAGCAACTCCGTCAGCGTTCTCGAATTACACTGGAGACTGCAGGCTGAGCGGACCTCTGCGAGACTGCCGTACGGCAGGTACTTCAGCACGAACGGAGACGTGGTGCGAGTACGGCGGACCAGATGGTCCGTTAGCTCGTCGCACATGCCTGTCCCGAGCCATAGTCAGCGTACGCGCGCGCATTCCTCGTAGCAGATACCACGCACCGTAAAGCTGCGCGACCACGACGCGCTTCATCGCCGCATCGCTGATCCACACGCTCCCACTCTCGCCCTCACCCATCTTTGTCGCCAGCCCCTGCCTCACGAGCTCGTCAATCACCAAATTCGCGCTCTCCCAGTTATGTGTCCCGAATAACGCCCCGATCGCCGGACCTGGCGCGCCCTTCTCCACGGCATCCGCGTCCTCGCGCACAAGCTGCACAAGCATCCGCACACTTTCGTCATAGCAGGTGTCCGTCTCATCCTTCACAAGCCAGACAGGCGGCATGTTGTCGGGCGAGATCGAGAGCTCATGTGTACCTGAGGGTGTGGTGCGATCGATGCGCGATTGGGTCGCTGCCTTGTGCACCTCCATCTCGTGCGGGTGGTATGCGCCGCGGACGAGCTTCACGCCAAGCGCGTAACCGCCTGCGCGCGCATCTGCGATGCTCTGAGCAAGGTATTCCGGCGTCCTGGTAGTAGTTCAATGAGCTAAACGGCTGTATGTCTACCGCACTAGCTGCTCACCGACGAAGATAGCCTTGGAACGTGTTATAGATTAGTGGCTGCGTCTCAACGGAAGGAATCGGCGACTCTCTCCGCGAGAACCAGGAGCTCTTCGACGGCGCAGGAAGCTTGTTAAACGTGCGCATCATGTCCAGAGTGAACGAATCTATGGCGGGCTACCAGATTAGGGTTAAGGTCTATCCTAACCCCACCGACACCACCGCCAAAGAGCTGCATACCTGGTACCAACTTCCCCCCAACCAAAATCAGCCACGCATACACCCACACCGAGCACAGCAACATACCTATGTTCCGCATCGACCGTGATCCTGATCCCGCGTGCACGGGCGCGCTCGCAGATGGCGGCGAGGTCGTCCCGCAGCTCGCACAGCGCCGCGACGTCCGCTTCCGAGAGACTCCCGGCGGGCGCAGATAGGACGTCGAGGTCGCTCGCGCGCGGGCACCCCGGGAACGCGACGCGCGGCGTCGTCGGTGCGCGCGTGTCGACGAGGTGCTTCGACAGCCGCCGCAGCGCCTCCGCGTCGGGCACCATCGCACTCTGCCCAGCATCCGTCAGTCACAGGTCCGTCGTCGGCCGGAGCATGAGGGGGAACGCACGAGCTTGATGGCGACCCAGGTGCCCTTCCCGCCGTCCGTGGACGCGTGCTTGTCCTCAAAGTCCGCCGCGACGTCGATGCAGCGCAGCGTCTCGCTCACGATCTGCTTGTGCGCGGACAGCGCGGCGGGCGCCGCGGATGCAGGTGCGCTCTCGTCGACCTCGACGCTGTACACGAAGAGCACGCCCTTGTTTTCCGCGCGGAGCTGCTCGAGCACCGGAATAGCCTCTTCCGCGCTGTCCCCACCTACGAACTGCGCCACACCTCAGTCTTCAGCGGAACAACACGAGAAGATGCGCGACACTCACTTGGTTGAAGAACGTGTAGCGCACGACGACTTCGGTAATCTGCTTCACCCCCGGGATGGCGAGCAGTATAGAGAGAATGACGGGCGACCAGTCCACGAGCGGGGGGATAGAGCACAGTGAGTACACAACGTACGTCCTCACCAGCGCCGACAGCGGCGTGCCGCCCCCTGGTGAGCTCCGCCCGGTCGCCTTCCCTGGCACGTCCGCGTCCTCCGCCGCATCCGCATACACGACGGGGGCGAGCAGCGACGTTCCAAGCACCGCGCCCGAGATGAGCCCAGCTGCAGCCATTCGACGTGTGGTGAGTAACCTGGGTCTGGGAGGACATGAGCCTGGAGACGAGGTCGCCAGCGTTCGCGCTCGTAATGGTGGTCGGCCAGTAGAGAATCGCGAGAGCAGTCTCGTCGCCCGAACCAGCGACATCATGAGTATTTGCGAGCACACGGGTAGGGAGACAGACGAATCGTAGACAAGGTGGAAGTACGGGGAAGAGAGCGGGCCATTAGAATCATACGCAGACGATCGTTCAGGACAGGTAGGTCCGAGTCAGGCGATCGTGCAGGACGGCGGCTCGCGATCGGGCGTTCAGTACGCCCGCTTCATCCGTCCGCCCGCCCACGGATCACACTCCCGACGCGCCCGCGCCCCTTCCACCGGCGCGCACCTCCTCCGCGAAGCATCTTATCTTGTGCCCTCGCTGTGTGCACACATTACCCGCGGACAGTACAGATGGTGAAGGGGAAATCGATGGACGACAGCACTACGCGAGATATCTAACACACAGATGGAACATGGAAGACGCATCGATGCGGAGCGAGGGGGGAACATTCAAAGATACACGGGGAGACATTCGCTCGACATTCTTTCGGTACAACACTCGAGTTCTCTTTCTTCTCTTCGCCGGGGTGCACAGTATACGCACCGGACGCCCACACGCTCGCTCACGCACCAACGAGCTCCCTGAACTCGACGCCCCACTCCGCCGACTTCTGCGTCGCGGCCACAAACGCATCGAACTTCGGGCTCGCGCCGGGCTGGCTAATCCGGCTCAGTGCCGCGGCCGCGCGCAGCGTGCTCCGCTGCAGCTCCGCCGCGCGCTCGATGTCCTGCTTCACCGTGTCCTTCGTCATCGTCGCGCCCTTCATGCTCTTCTCCAGCGGCGCGGCCAGCTCGTCCAGCCGCTGCGCCGTCGCCGTCGGCGCCACCTGCGCCAGCCGGAACAGCATCATGTGGCAGATCACCTTCACCTCGTCCGAGTCGTCCGCGAGCCCCGCCGTGACGTGCCCCAGGAACTCGTGCAGGTCGAGGCGTGACAGGCACGTGTCGAGCTGTGGGTGGATGATGAGACATGCACAACGCAAGAGCTACGTCGCGACACTCACGAGGGTGTAGAGCGTCTCGTACGCTGTCTTGCGGGCCTCGAGACCGTCGTCGACCTTGTGTGTCCACGGGCCCATCTGCACAGTACGGATGAGGTCCGGGTTGACGAGCGTCTCCTTGTACAGGCTCGGCAGAAGCGCAGGCAGGTGGTCGCGGATCAAGTGCGGTTTCGACCGGGCAGCAGAGTTTAGTGCCGACAGTGCGAGACGACGGACAGTCTACGGAGCGCGATGAGTGAGATATTCTAACCCAAAAACTGGTCCTGTGACGTACCAAATCAGAGTCAGAGAGCAACGACAGGAAGTCCATGATGACAGTGCCGAGCAGCTCGTCGAACGAGCTCGGGCTCTCCGCGAACGTATAACGGATCGCCGACAGCACGGTGGCCCTCGTAGCGGGATTCGGGTCCGCAATGCGAGCCTAATAGATGTATATGAGCACTGTACGAGTCTGCCTGGCGTTCAAGCTTACCTGGAGTTGAGGCAGGTAGCGCGAGGGATGCGTCGTGGTGAGCTTGCCGAGGCACGCCGCAGCGACGTTCCGCGTCGTCTCTTCCTGGTTCTCCGAGTTCTCGAACAGCGGCGTCCAGAGCATGTCCGCGACGGTCTCCAGCTGTCCGTGCGAGCAGTGCGTCACGATCTAGAGCTATGTTAGAATTATACGACAGCAACGAGTAAAGCACCGCGCACCTCCTTCAGGGCGTGCAGAGACAGCAGACGCCTCTCCTGTTCGTTCTCGACGATCTTAACGATGACGGGCAAGAAGTGGTGCAGGTTTCCGACCGCCATGTTGCCTGCGGCGAAGGCAGCTGCTGTACGAACCTCCTCCTGCTCTGCGGTAAACCGCTCGATCGCATGGGTGAAGATGTCGTGCTGAGGCGACATATCGCTACAAACGTATCAGACACAGGCACTCACCGCACGAGAGCAAAAGCTTACATGAAGCGTCCAACCTCGCCCACGACGAGCAGGCTGAGGACGACTTGCGGCGTCTTGGCTTTCGAAGTCGGCTACAATGCCGTGTCAGTGGAGACTGGTGCAACAAACAACGCTAGTACACGTACCTTGAGGTGCCGGGCGAACTCCGCGATCGTCCCGGCGGCGACCGCACGCTGGGATTTGACGACCTGGCCCACGCACTTGGCGACATTCGGGAGGCTCACATCGCCCTTCGGCGCCTTCTCGACCGAGGAAACGAGGTTCGCGACGACGTGCGGCGCGATCTGCATGTCAGCCTCGACGAGCGCCGCGTAGAACGCGAGCACGGAGTCGAACGGCGCGCCCGCGAGAAGCGGCGAGTGCGCGATCCCGTAGACGTCCGTGAGCACGTCGCGCTCGACCTCGGGGAACGTCGCCACCGGGGAGAGCTCGAGCAGGAGAGCGATGATGTCGAGTGCGGCACCGAGGAGCAGGATGTCGGCGGGGATGATGTACGCCTTGAGCGTCGGGATGAGGTTTGCGGATAGATCAGCTGGGATCGCGGAATATCTGAAACGCAGGGTAAGCGTTTGTGCTGTACGAAGAGGAGAAGCAGCTTACCTCCTCAAGAGGGCGTCCAAGCAGTTGAACGCCTCCACCTTACCCGTACGCCCACTCTTCTTCAAGAGGGTCGACACCCACTCGACAGAACCATTCACCCACGC